AACTTGTGGTATCATGCAAGAAACACTTGCACTAAACCAGTAGCCCAAACCAGAAGCAAATTAATATTTTAACGCAATGCATAGAAGAGGACATCGTAAATACGTGCTATCTCCTCCCTAATAGGTAACCAACCCCACAATGTGTGCTGCCAACCAACCCTGCCTTCGATCTGTCCATCCCTTATAACGACATAATGGCTATCAGAATTTAATCAGTGGGTGGATTGAAAATTTTATTTCATAAACTGATCGATGTGAGTGAGTGTGTGTGAGAGAGTCGTTGAGGTGATGATCGGTGGTGATGAAGAATTATCAGAGTCAATAAAACTTATTTAAGAGGAAATTCTTCTCAAATGGTCAGATAAACAAGTGCTGACATAGTCTATCAATAGAATATGTGTGCTCATCCCCTTTTCATCTACACGTATACGACCACTTGCTCGATAAGTTGATCTCATTGTCTATGAAAAAAATGAAAGCATAAAATTGGTCTTTGCACTTACCATTTAGATACGTGTACCAAAAAATGCATGGATTGGAATTGATTTTTCCTAGTTGAGGTATGCGGACTGATAACACAACATGTGAAGAATTTGGATTGTCTCTCCCAACCCTATAAGATATGCCTCATGCCATCATGAGATATTGAATGGTTGATCAGCAGTCGGGCATGAACATTAAAAAATCCAATCGCTACTTGCCGACGACTATAAATGTAATTTAAGAGACTGGCTGACTGACTGACAAAGTGGGTCCCTCCCCGATTTAGAATCAGGAATTGAAGAAGTAATAAATGAGATTGTTATTCCATTCTGACTGCCGTGGTGTCTGGTTTAGATCTTGAAACTGTAATAAGAGAATGAATTTGAGATGAGCACAATTTCACCTGAACGAACCCCTCTCTGCAATCTTATTGTTTTGAAACTTGCAGTCATATCGAAGCCTGATAAGAGCCAGCCATTTGACATTTTATAAACATTGAAACATTTAAAGCGCATAATATCTACTTTGGAAATCACTAATCACATACAGTCGTTATAATCTTTGTTCATGATTCATATTTGCTACCCATGTGTACATTATCTCAATCTGACAGTTGTAAGTGGTGGTGGTTGTGGATGAAAAAAAACAGTTTATTTTTCTCGGAGGATCGAATCGACATTGTTGATATCTTTGTTCAATCGATCAACAATCCAGGTAGCTGCTGTAAACTGTTTATTGGAATTCGGCTCTGCTGCTTTCAAATTTAAATCCGCCGATCAATCAACTATTGCTCCCAGCAGCTCCAGCTCCCGTTTTGTAAAGTCAGTTCGTCCAATGTGAATTATTCATATTGATTGATACAGTTGATAGGAAACCACAAACAACTACTGTGCTGCTGGGCTAAGTGCCTTTATCAGATCTATGTAGAGAGAGTTTCCTCCTCCGCCCGGCCAGGTTTACTCTAATATGTGCATACTTATATTCCACCCGTGTCCTGCATCTATTATATTTCCATTCCGTATTAACTTCCGATATGTAACAAGTATTTGCCATGTAGAAAATTCTCAAATCCGTAATAATTGTTGTTGGCTTATCCTAATTAATACGTAAAATATTTATATCTAAGCATAAAAAATAATCGATTGGGTGCACGGAATCAGGTTTGCAATTGGCGTTGGGCCCCGAACAATTTGAGAATTATGATCGGATAAAGTCCCCTATTTTATAACCTCTGATTATTTGCATGAGAGAAATTAACTCAATGTCAAACCGAAATATTTATAGGTGCATGAGATAGAATGATTATTTATTATTGAGATACATACATATACAAGACGGGTTCAACATTTCATGTACGATTATTTTAGAAAATTATGTCTTTCGGTCTGTTGATACTAAACCTGTCGTCACATAGACGCATTTTAGTCAAGACGTTGATTTTGCTTGTATATCTTGATTTAAAATCAGAGAGACAAACTCATCTCTTAAATCATCCTAGCCACGTACAACATCAAAGCTTAATTTTACTAACAGAGAGACAGAAATGCTCTCGATGGCTGGCAAAACAAACAAACTGTTTGTTATCATAAATCAGACGTATAATAGTGGTTGTTGTATGCATTGTGGTTTGTCCATCGTCTAACTCATCTTCAATCTACTGCATGTACATGTGCGTCTTCCCCTCAGAATAGAATTGGAAGCAGATCGGTTCGATTGTCATTTGTTGGCTTGATCTGTGCCTCTCTCAAGGAAGGAAAAAACTCTTACAAATCAATCTATCGGATTGTGACAGTAAAAAAAGTTATTCAATTTTGACAGCTCCCTTGTCTGTTGATCTACTTGTTGAGGCTGTCACTCCATTTCTACGCCTTTTTAGAGAGCAATTATTTTCTATTGCTGTCACGTACTTACTTATTATTTAATTTATCATGAAGGAGTTGACTAGTGAAGTGAGATGAGGGGCATCTAGTGTCTCAAAGACTGTACAAGCTATGATATTTTAAGAAATGTCAATACATATTTTAATTTGGAATTAATTGTTGTACATTAATTTTTGTGTTCTTTAATACCTTATATAATATGCAAAGAATTTATCTGTTATTCACATTATTGTGAGACTGATAATACTTCAAGATTTCTTCGTTTTCCAACATTTGCTATTACGCGATGTATGTAAATGTATTGGCACGATATATTTTGCCATCAACACATTTTAGATTGTAGTTATGTAGTTCAATCCAAGTAACTTATTGAGCGTCTTTGCAACCGAATACTTAAGATACTCCCAAAAAAGCAGCAATTTTTCTGTCGAACTATCGTACCTGGCAGCTCATCGGTTTAAATACATGTACATGTTTCGTGCAGGCAGTCCACATTACACGGAACCTTTTTAATTGTCTGTCTGATGGAACCGATAAGAAGTAGATTTTTATCTGAATGATTGCGGAAAATTAATGGAAAGGTTCCCCAGTTCTATCACATTCACATTGACGGATGTGCATGTTTGCATGCAAAGTTTAATCCAGCAAAACATCCAATCCACCTCCTCCTCCTCCTCGGTCTAGAGCCGAACAATAACTTATTTACTAAAACGTTACTTCTTAAATTATTCTTCTTTATTCAGTACCTGCGCCTGTATGCTATGCTACAGAACGATATTTTACATAAATACTACTACATAAATCTGCTACATAAATAATGGGCGAATATGTTCTGGACTCGTGGCAATTTATGTATGGGAACCAGGGATGAACGGACAATAGTAAAACGGCCGAACCACATCATTTATTTATGCTCCGTGTCCTGAAATATTATTTGTGTCCAATGAAGTGGCACTAAGGAATCAAGCCAACAATCAACAAAGGATTGTTAGAATTGGAGCTTATCTCTGCCAAGATTATGCGGATTAGCTGTTTTGCTTGCACTTAACCGTTTATGACTCAAGTCATGCATGCACGTCGTAGTCGAATCAGCCTAGCCTACCTTCATTTATTTGAGATACTTGCCACGCAACTGTGAACTACAACACCGTCGTGGCTGCATTATATTATAGATGAGTGAGTGAGTGTACTGCTGCTGGTGCCCAAACCGAGTCCATTAGACGACGCAGCGATATTATTATTGCTACTGATGAGATAAGCTCCTGTTTTCTCATACAGATCTTGGCATGATATCCCGGCTCGCCATGCCTCGTCCATTGTTCCGTAATTCAACTGTCGATTTGCTTCATTAGCTTTGAAATGTTATTTCATCGTGGAGCTTTTCATGTCCAATTTCTTCGAGGCAGATTTAGATTTCGAGTGGCGATGAAATCGCACCGGAGATGATACCAATAATATTAATAACAATGAGGACACATGAGGGGAGCTGCCAATAGTGTATCATGTGCTAAATTCAAATCCAATACCATCACCGTGAGCTTATCTCCCTCATCACAAGCAGCTACATGCATAGAGCGTAAATTCATACAACATGCGTGGTTATATTGTGTTTCAGTGGACATTCATTATTGGTGCTGCTGCTGGTGGTGGTTAAGTTGGTTGGACGGGTACCATGACCATTTTTTATCTACTCTTTTCAGCCATTTAGCTAGTTTTAACTGCCACTCCTTCTATTCCTGACATTTTTTGAATTTTATTGTGCTCTCCATGTATGAATTACGTATCACTCGCTCGTCGTCCATTCAAAGTGGTTATTTGCTTTTTAATATCAAAACGATCTAGCGCATGTTAGTCAATGAGCTGGCATATGGCATAGTAGAGCAAACACAGTGGATTAAATTCACAAAATGACCTGCACTTTTCATCTCACCAAGTTTCATGTCAACCGTGACATGGGCAAGATTTTCATCGTCGCATTCCTAACCAAAGTGGGACTGAGATTTCACTGCTCCCATAAAGAGCGTGAGATATTTTGAATTCCTCAAAAGTATATTTCTTGCATTCTTTTAGGAGCCAGAGCTCAATTAATTTTCGAGATGCACTCCAAATATTCTTCATTAATGCACATATTTGCTCTCTGTAAATATCGGATATAATTTTGGATAACCATTGCACCCAAAAAATAATTTAAAATTGGTAATCTCCTAGAACCCTGGGATTTCCAAGGCTGAACACATTAATGAGGCACGTACAAGAAGAGCTCCATCAAAATTAAGATATTATCACTGTGCAAAACTTGTTCAGCTAATTTGCCGCAGTATGCGTACCCTCTAATTAAATAAGTTTACATTTACAAACACCTGCGCCCAAAAAGGCGTACCTCATAGTTTCCTGACGAGAGTATCGAAAAGCAATTTACTTGAAATGTAATTTAAATTTTAATCAGAGAGATTATTTACTTTTGCAATCTTGCTGGGAAAACATGGCATTACAAAAGTGTACATACATAACACATAATTGCAGTAATGCATTGCATAAAATAATTTATAAAACAGAATAAGAATCCAGAATGGAAGAATTCATATGCATATGCCACAAACAAATCCAATAAATTTCGGTTTTATTTGCTATTTGCAGTAGAGGAAGAGAGGAGTGAAGAAGGTGGAGGGCGAGAAGGTGAGAAAAAGGTTGTTGATCTAGAGGAACCACAAGACGAAGAAAGTCCAGGTAGTCAGGAATCCAATGATTCAACATCAGCCCCAGCCCCCCTCGAAGACGATGCAAATTGTGAAAACAGTGACAGATCTACCAACCACTTGACGGAACCAGAGTCGACCAAGGACGACATAAAAATCCCAATTTTTTCGGTGAAAGTCAAACGAGAAGGAGCCGACTTGGGGCGTCCTGACTCAAAACCTCGACTTCGAAGTCAAAGCAGATCTTCCTCCGACCACCTAGCAGAGTTTCCCGAAGTTGAGAGCGCGTCCGAAAGTGGGGAGGGTGACGGTAGGAGGAAGCGTCGTCGAGAAAGTGAGAGTTGCATCAGCGTCTCCCGGAGAAAAAGTCCAGAATTGCCCGAATCCGGGGATCGGGAAATGATGAACGGAGGAGCAACTCTCTCGTCTCAACAGCTCTTGCAAGGCTTACCTTACCTGCACCTCCTGCCCCCCTCGATCAGAAACGGTAATAATATTTTTTTAAATGTGCATGTCGTAATCGTGACCCCTTCCCTGCGTGCTTAGATAAGTTGTAAGAGACTTTTAATGAACTTAAGCTTAAGCACACCGGCGTGAGGGCTGATATTTACTCACTTGATAGAATTGCATACATGCATTAAGTTTTAATTACCTCATTAAATAAATACTTTTTCGCTGCTAACGTTTTTCTCACAAGTCGATACGAGACTATTGGCGAGATTGTGCTATCAAAAAAATCCAAATCTATCAGCCATCTTTTCAAGTTTTCACTAAGTAATGGGCCGGGTTTTGATACATGCATACATAGTTTCCAAAGCGGATTATGTTTTGTTGAGCGAATCACCGATGCAAAGCCAATTTCTCATCCTCTCTTTAAACATTAGTGCATACATACATGCATATGTACATATGCGTACACGTTCGGTTCAGTGTATGATCAAACCTACTCAATGCTCACATTTCCTTCTCAGTATCTTTTGTTATCGGATCGACAAATTTTTATTAAAAATACGTTATAACCAGTTTGCAATCAAGATAATGAACGATGTGTTACATGCTTCGTGTTTTTAAAAGATAAGAGCAACTGATGAAGATGAAGGAATTTTTTCCCCAACGCACCTCATAATAATTCTAGTTTGCTCCGTATCAGATTTATCATTAGCTCCATTAAATAATTAATTTAAAAGCACTGCAATGAAATATTTTTTGTGCTTGCTCCTTGTAGTACAGGACATTAGTGTTCATTATCACCGTTTTCTTTCAAAAAGTTTCCCAGTTTGGTCATAAATTTTTCCCTGCTGGGAAATTTATGACTGGAACAAGGAGTGTGGTTGGTACAAGTGCTCATAGCCGTTGGTAAAAGCACCACGACATGAACTGTTTACTCGGCTGAGTTGTTGCTGCTGTGCTACCAGTTAAGAGCCACCATAGTAAATAAATAGTTGGGCATATTTCATTTTCGCACAGCCTCGGACAAGCGTTTCCAGCCCAAATGTGATTATTTAGCCACTAAATAAACCCTTAATAAGCTCAAAGGTATATGACAAACTTCTCCTGAAATGATGTTTATTACTCTCAACTGAATTGCTTGAGTGTGTCAAAAGTAGTTCAGAGTAAACAGCTCGTCTCGTTTTTACTTAAAATTAAAAAAATGCTCTTACATAATTAAGTTGGATGTATGCCAACAATTTAATTTTGATATTTTTAACCTCGTCAGATGCTGCAAGGCTTCTTTTCATGCCACCAATTTTGCCATCAGAGCTGTCTGGAAATATGAATGTCGCCAATGGCTGTGTGGACTCGGAAAAAGCTTCAGGAGGAGAAACCTCGCGAAGTGGTAAGAATTTTCGATCTCTCAGGAGGGGAGCTTGCGAGGTTGATAATAACAGATCTTGGTGCCCTTTGGATATGTGGTAGGGACCCATGAGTGTACTAAAACCCTGAAGTAGTTTGACTCCATGGCCACATTTGCGCCCGCCACACCCACTCAAAAATGTCCAAAAAACGCTTTCACCCCAGTTTTCACTCACTCAAATCCACGCCAAAAATCCAATTTTACTCGGATTTTGAAATTTCTTTCACCATTATACTCCCAGATAGTTGCTTTCTTCAATCCAATATCAAACTCAATTTTTTCGAAATTTTTAGTATTTTTAAAATTTAAAATTCTGAATGAGCATTGTTGTAGTCATCAACAAAACAAATTATGTTTGCGAAATAATCATCAATAAAATTGAGTTTGATATTGGATTGAAGAAAGCAACTATCTGGGAGTATAATGGTGAAAGAAATTTCAAAATCCGAGTAAAATTGGATTTTTGGCGTGGATTTGAGTGAGTGAAAACTGGGGTGAAAGCGTTTTTTGGACATTTTTGAGTGGGTGTGGCGGGCGCAAATGTGGCCATGGAGTCAAACTACTTCAGGGTTTTAGTACACTCATGGGTCCCTACCACATATCCAAAGGGCACCAAGATCTGTTATTATCAACCTCGCAAGCTCCCCTCCTCAGTTCATTCCATGCCCGGAGGAGAAAGCAGTTGATATTGGATCATGTCTGTCTCCTCGAAAATCGATGGCGAAACAAGCTGACTGTTGGATGTGAACGATTTAAATAGTTTCACATTTAAGCGATTTACATCACATCGCACTACTCACAGTAAATTCCGATATCCGATCCGATAACAGAATGAGAGATGGCCCAAAATCGAAATTCTAAATTCCCAATGATTCTGTTTCGTGTTTTTAAAAAATTTCATGAATGAAACCAACAGGTCCTTCCTTCTTTTGTAAACCGTGCAATATCAAGTTCAGCTCGGCTCGCACGCTCGACGCCCACCAAACTTATTATTGCTCCTTTCGACGAGAAATGGGTAAGCATTATATTTATATATATTTTTTTAACTTTGTGGCAGTTGGGTGACATTTATCTCCCTGCTGATATTGCGTCCATAATATTACGACGTACGAAAAGGTGTGACATTTGGAGAGTGGGTCCTTTCATTGATGTGTTAATAATAAATGTTTATAAATAAGAAAGCATTAAGGACAGGGCGAGTACTCTCTCACACACTGACTGAAGCTCTGCTTTCTTCTTCGTCTGATGATGATGCACTCAATTCTATTTCTTATTTATGACACTCTTTTCCTGGGTGGTAAAATCAATATCATTTCAGACCATGGGATCAGAGGAGGATTTTTTTCTCTTCATGTTTTTCAATGACGTACTTAAAGCATTTTGTGTTCAATAAAAACCACAAAGCAAGTTGCTACTGCCAATTTAATTTCCACGCGAAGGGGTAAATTTTATACGAATTCGATTTTTCGAGATAAAAGTTTGAGAAAATTGTTGCAATTCAGTTCAATGGGAAATTTCAAAGAGTTTGACTTGAATTGTAGTTTTCTTCGGTTTCTAGAACATTGAGATAAAATGAAATTGTGCTGCAATGAACACTATGATGGTGGACATTAACCAGAAATCTGCTCTAATTCCAATAGATGACGAGAAACATAAATGTATCGAAACTTGAAAGCCTCGAGTTAACCATTTAATTTTGATTGCAGGAGGTAAGGAAGGGTCAAAAGACGAGCAATTGGACGTAGATGCCAAAGGAGTAGAGTCAATCGGGCCCAGAAAGCGAGAGAGAGAAAGTGGAGATGAAGATCGTGAACTAATGACTGACGAATCAATGGAAGTGTCTCCAGACGGCGGACGAATTGGGTTTAACGAGTCAATGGATGGGAATTCTAATAAAGTGGCGAAAACTGGAAAGCTCTACGCTTGCATGTAATTGCATATATGCACTTCATTATATTTTAATTCAGCACATATATCCTATAAGCATTCACACGTGTGTATGTACGTATGTTGTATGTACATATAACACATGAATTTGTGGACGACGGATTATGAATGAAAGCAGTTGCATTTCACACATTACATATACATGTTAAATCAATTTTCCTTCTTTTGAATTCCAAGGTACTGCTCTTATTCCGCGGACAAGAAAGTCAGCCTGAATCGGCACATGAGAATGCACTCTGGAAGTATTTCTGTCACCTCAGGTCAAAACAATGCAGGTGATGACTGCGTTTCTGGGAGCGGATCGACAACCCCAAGTAGCTCCAACAATATTGGATTGAATAAAAATTTGCCAGGTATTCTTGAATTTATTTTATTCGTCAAGTTTAAAATTAAATTAGCAATATGGTAATTAGAAATTAGTCAGTTTACATTTTTCATTAATATGCATAATAAATTAAATAACATGCGTATATTTCTGTTAATCTGCAGAAGGAGTAAATGCTCTCGAAAGATACTGCGGAGACTGTGACATACAATTCTCTTCAATAAAGACGTTCCGCGTTCACAAGCAACACTACTGTCGGACCAGACACGTTCTGAAGACCCAACAGGGTCCAGCAGGATCTCCACCGGGAATTCCAATGAAAATTCATCATCAGTCATCCGGAGAAATGGGAGGCGGGAGAACTTCACTCACACCTGTAAGAAAGAGTTCAGGGTCACCAGTTCCGTCTGACGGAAGCCCAACATCGACGCCGGGGCCTATGCTGTCCTCGCATCAACAACCATTTGTGGTTCTCCCCACAAATCCTCTCATCGTGGTGCCATACTGCTTTATCCAGGCTGCCAGTATTCTCCCATTCGGAAATGTTCTCCCGTCTCAAAATGCCCTCATTGTACTTCCCAACGGATCTGTTCAAGGATTGCCCTTCACCTCTGTCCAAATCCCTGTTCCATCCCCATCTCAATCACTTTTGTCTCAGCCGGCTTTCTCCAGCGGTGGTGGTGTTGTTCTTAGTGGTGGTGGAAAAGGGAGCATTGGCAGCCTGTCCCCAACAACGACAACGAATCAGTCACATTCCGTATTTAACGATCCAAAGGATATCCTAAGAAAAATATCCTGCGTTAGTAAAGCGGGCTACGATTCATCTGGATTCATTGGATATAATAGTACTAATAAAAATGGATCTCTAGACGATTTGAATACCAGTCAAAATAACAGTGATGAAATTGTGCAATCCGAGAATAACACTCAAATGGCCAGTTATGGTTCCGATGAGCACTCAGATAAAAACCCAGACGAGGAGACCATGGAGGAGCAAAGGAGTGAAGAAAATGATGAAGGAATGCCAGCGATAGATCTCACGCTTCGGAAAACGCGTTCCATCAAGGAAATCAGTGGAGATGAAGAAAAGGAGAATCGAGAGGTTTGTCTTCGGTTACAGAATCAAAGGGGAGAGCAGCAGCAGTCTGGTAATTCTTCGTATAATACCAATGACACAAACAGCGGAGGAGTTGGAAAAAAGTCATCTCAATCATCCACCATTACTTTTACCACCGACTTTCACCGAGACCGAGAGCGAGAAATGTGCAGCCCTTCTGAACGTGTCTCCTATGGCGGCGGAGGAGGAAGTGGTGGAAGTTGTGGCAAGAGGACCCCAAGACCTTCCTCAACCTCAATTAGCAGTTCATGCTCCACTCCACCAGCTCTTTGTGAGCCAAAAGTAAATGGTCTCGTAAATAGACTTTCTCCTGTCGACCAGCGTGATGTGGGCGCCAGTGCAAATAACAAGAATCATTCTCACATCAACATGATGAGTCCATCCATGATGGTCGGGATGGGAAAGGGGTCGATGGATTTCACCAGCGGGTTAGATATGGTGAAGCATGGCAAATTGTCGTCTGTGGGAGGAGACGGGAAAGGTAAACGTGGTGGGAAGATGGGTCACATCGCAACTCAACTTCCCGGTGGAGCAATTTTGACCACGTCTGGCGGTGGTCAGACTCTGACAGATTTACTGATTCCCAACTCCCCTGAATTTAACGAAATCTTGGCCAAAATCAGTCCTCAGCTCTTGGTAAATTCTGCTCGCTCTTCAGCTGGGTCCCCAATGGCACTCAATCCAGCCCTACTTCAAGCTTTGTCTCAATCAGATCCTGAAATTCTCATTCGAATGCTAGACCCCACATATTTGGCAAACTTGCAACAAAACATCCAACTCCAGCAGCAGCACGCCTCTGGAGGGGGCAAAAGGGGATATTCCAAGTGTGTGGAGTGCGATATCGTTTTCTATAAGCATGAAAACTACTTGGTACACAAGGAGCATTACTGTGCCGCTCGGATTTCCAACAGCTCTCCCAACAACAACAACGGTGGGTCCATCAAAGAAATGCAATCTAGTCGAGGGGGCAGCAAGGAAGTAATATCTTCATGCATTTCTTCTTGCTCATCCCCCGCAAAGAGTGACGCGGATGAAAGTCAGAGCTCTCCAGTCTCAGCAGCCGTTCACAGAGCGTCATCATCCACACCAAACTCGCAAAATCAAATGAGTATAAAAGTCCCTCGGAAATCTACAGACTCTTCCTCATCTGATTTTTTTCCTCTACCTGTGTACGAAAAGACAAAGTCCCGATCGCCCCAAGGAATCTCCTCTTCAATTTCAATTTCCCCAGTCGCAAGTCCAAATGAGAGAAAGCAGGAGAAGCAGCAAGTGCAAAATTTCGTAGGAGGCCAACATCCCTGTATGCATTGTGGTGTCAAATACAGGTAAATATACTCTAAAAAAACAGTTGCTTATTTTAGCTTCTTATTTAGAAATTGCATTGTAAACAAGCCGTGGTGTCAAGCCGATTAATTTGGATTTCTGATAACTCTGACTCGGTATTATATGTTCAAATGTACATATTGTAGTAGTATTGCGAACAAAAGTTTATTCTTTGAGTGGTTCTTTAATCTGACTGTTTGTTCTTTGCAGCACGATTGACAATCTAAAAGCACACCAAAGCTTTTACTGCACGAAGCGACGGAATGGCAAAGATTCGATTTCGCTGGAAGGAGATGCGGACGAGTTAGCGGTTGGCAATATAAAGTCTGAGCAGGATTCTGTCGAAGGATATGGGATGAGCCACAGCCAACCATTATCCTCAAACAACAAAGGACTTTTGCAATGTGGAAAATGTAAACTAGCCATTCCAGATTCTCAACTAACTACGCACATCAAGGTCTGCTTAGGAAGCAATGTCACTCTGCCATATGGACCTGGTCTGCCAGGTTTAATGACACCAGCAACAACAACAACATTGGGAGGAGAGGGGGGAAACCGAACAGGTTGGAAATGCCCTTGTTGCGACACGTATAGCCCCACCGTTTCTCAAGCACAAAAACATCTCGAGTGTCACACTGGAATAAAAGCATTCAAATGTCTCCTCTGTGGGTATCGAGGAAATACGTTGAGAGGTATGAGGTAAGTATCAGGAGCATCCATTCGATAAATACTTTACGGGGTTAACATAGGACAAGTAAGACATGTCAGTTTCAATGATATTTTGTCACAGGACCCATATTCGAACACATTTCGACCGGGCCTCACGTGTGTCGGACCTGCTTGAAGGAGAGTACATGACCTGTATCACCGCAAATGACGTGGAGCACAATGTCACCACCCCGACAAATAAATCCTTTTCGTCGTCTTCAGAGCCCCGAAGAAGTTTGGGAAGTCTTGTAAATCACCATCCAGCAAATAGCAGGCAGTCAGCGGAAAAAAACAAATTAAATCATTCACCACCAACGACGAGTGGCTCGGTGGTAACCACTACGACTACAATTGCTTCCTCTCCTGGCTCTCCTCCACAAGAGTTGGTGCCACAAGACATAAAACTCTTTTCCACTCCGGAGGGATCATCGTCATCGATAATGGAGGAGAAAGCAGAGAATAACAACCGAGCTGGTAATTGTACGCTCTGCAACTATACCTCGTCCTATCGGGGCAATATTATCAAACACATGAAGTCGGTGCATAAAATATCAGAAGAGGCTGCGGACAAGATTTTGACTGACATGAGCTCCATCATAAAGGTGCACTCAACGAGCGAGCTGGACGACGATTACAGCTCTGAGAGGTCGGATCGTAAATTAAATCTTTCGCCAGGAGGAAAGAACACCCATATCAAGGAAGCGGATGGAGCAGTTTCCAATAATGTCTCCTCTTCTGGCATGGAGGTTGCCAGCCATCGGAGAAAGAATATAAACGGCCGTGGCTGTGGGGACAGGGATGAGAAGAGTGACGTCGATTGTGCGGAAAGAAATTGTACAAGTCGATCATCTTCACCAGAGGAGGACGTGGACGGCCTCTCTACCCTTCAAAAAAAGGAGAAGCCTTGTGCCGTCAAATACTGTAAATCGTGCGACATTTACTTCAACCATCTGTCTACTTTCGACGCTCACAGGAAATCGTACTGCTCCGCCACCCTCAACAATAAAGCGGCTGAGCGGGCTGAAACCCCCGTGCAATAGGATATCAAATTCTAACAAAACAAAATAAATAGACTTTTAGACTATATGTATGGTTACTCTTACATTATGTATGCAGTCAGTGCGGAGGAGTCGGGTTGGGCAGGAGGGTGAGCCAAAGTAAAGCCAAAGGAAAGTGGTCGTACAGCGGAGAAAGAAAGCAGAGAGAGCAAAACTTGTTCTTGGTGAGAAAGGAACCAAGAAGGGAAAGAAATAGCTGATAAATAAATCTGTCATAGTGTAAAATGGCTTTGTGCGAGTGCGGGGGGACATACATACATTTACTTCTCCCTCTGTCTCATTCCCTGTCCTCCTTTTTTAGCCCACTGGAGCTGTTAAAAAATCAATACTTGTCACCTTCAAATAAATATGTATGCACTTCTACATCTCTCTGCGAAAAAAAATAATTCACAATTTTAGTAGGTTTCAACATTTTTTGTTACTCAACAACAATCAAGGTTACCCTGAGCAGTATACGGTTCAAAAATGAGTCATGTTTGATGAATGATCAAATGTGATTTTCCATGCTTTGTGAATTCAAGTAGTTGATACATGTACTGTAGTAGACATACAAAGTAGCTGATATGTACTAAGTTTCAGAGAGTTGATGTAAGCACTAAAATAGTTCTGTGATTTAATTAATGATCCCGTGTCGTTGATTGCTTTGTTATTTCAACAACTTATTGTAGCTAATTTTACTGTCGGAGCTTTTATTTATCTGATTAGGCGTAGGCTTACAACATCAATGGATCCACGATTCTCACTAATTCAATAATAACACGGCAAGTTTATTCTCAAATTATTAAATGTACAATGTTTAGTGTTTGTTATTTGGGAAGGTGTTCAAATTTTAGGAGTTGTTGTTGGTGCTAGGTAAATAACTTCATTGTGTATCTTCATTCCATCGTGTGAATTTATTTTTTGGTGGAACGTTATCTGAGCAAAAACCAAAATGTAATATGTAAATTTACTTACATAGATCCCGACACACACACACATACACATACACACAGTAGTACAAAAAGATACTTTTTTGAAAATATATGTACGTCTTGTTTTTACTTTAACTTCTTTAACTAATTTTGCAGCATTTTATATACCTTGATGTTTATACATAATACAATTTGCAATCTTTTTTATTGATTATTTATTGCATCGAATTTTTTCTGTATCAGTCGTTCCAATTTACACAGCTTCTGCAAATAATAAATACCTAAGAGTTTTTCGAAACAGATAGAATACAGGGTACCCAAAAAACGTCTTGTGGTTATGTTACACCTAAAATACAACAGACAGAACATACTATAGTTATTTAGCTTTTAGACATATCTCTGAAATTGTTAATTTAACAGTTCTTCATCCACGCACCATGTATAACTATCGAGAGAGTTGCCAAAATCTTTGAGTGATGAGACAATTTGCACTTGCAATGTATAAAATAATTTGATGCTGTTCGTAGAGCTTTATATGTTCCAAAAATAAATAAATTATGAAGCTTATAGTTGAAAATTGTCATTTATTGAGTCATGAAAATATTGGCATAATACTATTTCGCACGTATGCAGAAATATGTTGCGTAAGGCTTCGGATCTGTTCAATTTTTATAATGAGTTCACAGAGAGCTTTCTCAAATAACTACGTTCATATTCCGATTGACTTTTTCCATCACATTTACTAAATACTTTTTGTGGTCATGTCAAAAATCACTCTATTTGCACAGATATTGTACCTTCTAGTTTCATATAAAACGGCAAAATGGGCCTACAACCAAAGCCAATCAAAGTACTTTACAGTTTTAGCACGTCAGGAGAAGATGGGAGATTAAACTAGACACTGACATTTTGTCAGGTCATTTTGTCACGTTTCTTTCAAAAAAGCTCAAGAGACCATAGTTATTTGCACAATGAATGTTCAAATATAACTTTGGTGGCGCACAAGAATAATGGAATAAAAGTGTCACCGATTAATTCATTTAGTGACTTCATGCCAACTATTGCCAACACTCGGATAGTATGCGCATACATATGTAGCAGGAAATCAATTACGAAATTTCTGTCTTTATCTCAAACTTATTTGTCTATATTCTGAAGGTTATATCCTCCTCGGAGCAGCAGCACCACCATCAAATCCAAGGAAAGTATGTACGCCGGCCTTTATTTAAGTGAACAACGTTGAATTAGAGCCCATTTCATAACCTGGAAAGTATTTAATACCCATTGATTTTATGCATATAAATTCAAGGATGTGGATGTAATAAGCCTTTGCCTTTTCATTTTGACAGTGGCCCGTTGGGGATGCGAGATGCTTTCTATTCTCATATCTGCTTCATCTCTCCCATTTAGCTATGAAAATGCGGCAGAGTTTTATTAAAATTTGTACATGAGGGAACATGGTTATTAATCTAATGAACTCCTTTTCCTCGTATTTAGTTTTGGCATAAAATCCGCAGAAAACGGAACAAAGAGTCCTTTATTTGATTAACTTGTAGCCTTTTTCGGTATTAATTTACTTTATTTGAACAATAATGCCCGGCTTTTGACTCTGTGGTGATTCAGCTTGAGGAAAATTTGTTTTTCTAATTTTGTTTCGATATGAAAACTGAGTTTGCTTACTTTCTCCCAAGCATTTATTCCGAATAATGCGATGGTCTCACAACCATTATTCGTTTGTGTACCCATACATACATAACACGTATGTTTGTAAACTAACGTGTAACCCCAAATTAAATCAATCAACACGTGACCTTGTCCATCAAAGTTGATTAATAAGTAGAGTGATTGCAATTTATATCGTTATAATTAATTGGTAAAGTTTACTAATTTTATATAAACACGCGTGTCATGTATGTCGTCAGAAATTGTAAATATTTTTCGTAAAGCTACGATAGAAAACATCTAATGCGTTCCTCACAACTCGGGAATGAGATTGGGTGTTTGTGCATATCTCGGCCATTTTCAACGGATTTGAGAGATTAATGTACTTATTCCGAACTTATCCTAGTACAGCAAGAAAGAATTTTTTCACACATTATTTGATGCTGTGACCTCGGTCAAGATTTCAAATGCAAATGATATACATAGTCATGAAAGGGGGGTGATATCCAAAGCGGAGATATATTTACATAATAACACGCCCTTAGGTAATTAGTTTGTTTTGTAATCGCTCTTTCCTATGTGTTTTTCGTAAGCACTCTTTTTTGAGATTAGTTTAATATCTGCACACTGTACTTACACTTACACACTGTATGCAGATATTTAAACTGCATTTTACAACAGTGTGTGTTCCGATAAATCTTTTAAAATTTCACGTTATAAATAAATCAATATCACCCTCCAACTATGCTCACAGTTTCCACGCATATCTTATGATGATGCAAATTGAAAATTTTCAATCAACTCGTAGCAGTATGAAGGTAAATAGAAATATTTATAAACCTCTCGCTTCGCATATCACTGTTTGTTTGTAGCTCATCAAAATTGGGTATTCTCGGGAACTGCAATAATACAAGATTAAAGTCGGCCGAGATTTATTTTATTGGATATTGTCTGAAATACATCAAATTTCATGATAATAATGACGACTTGCGATATTACAAATATTTTCCGACTCATTCCACCCCTTGCCTCGTGTCAATTCTCTTTTCTGACGCATAATTAATTTTGAGCACTGAAGCGTGATTCTCAACTGTCGAATTAAACGATAGAAGAATTGAAATATGCACTACGAGTAGTTTACTCTAATATTGGGGAAGAGAAAATAGCAAGATCCTCTACGTCGAGATTCCCAAAGTGACTTGACAGGCAGAGGTATTTCAAATTCGCTGCAAGTTTGAGCTCATGCTGTTTCGTTAATCAGAGTTGAATATACGTATGAAAAAGGCCATAGTGCATGTGTACAAATGTGTGTGGCACTTAGACACATATCTCCTCCGCGGGTTGATAGATAAGAAGAATTAGGTGCGAGAACGGGGGTGATGTATTTGCGTGAGCAGAGTGAAAGCAGCGAGTGGTGACTGTGAGACGACGGCTGATAGTTATATGGGCTATTAATTGTAAGGGAAAACGACGGCTGAGGTGAGTTAGCGTGGTTTGTGGGCACCCGATTTTCATTTTATTGCCAACTCAGCATTCTGTTGTGTCACCGACCATGGCACCAAACCAAAGTTCCTGTCAACACTTTCACCCATCCAAATTTCACTTATTTGCTCCAACGTGTGTTCCCACCCTCTCATTAATCTCTTCGCATAGCTATAGATATGTAGAAGACTTGTAAATACGATGTAGAACCTAAGACCAGGCCAGGTACTTGCATGCACATAATATCAGCCATAAAATAAATAACCTAGTTCAAAAATCTCACATGCCGTTAAATCGCGGAACATTTTTCTCCGTTATACGACGAGAAAAATCTCCATTAAGCATGAGGTGAACATGTCCTTACACGTGCATAATAGGCAACATTCAGCAATGTGTTGTACACATGGTTGCGTGATGCAAGCAACGAAGTTAAATAATTACTTCTGGTAAACTGCAAATTAACAAGTTAACGATTTGATCCTAATAAAACTAGGAGTAAACTTTTACATTTGCAGAATGTGTGGGCACATTCTCTACCGAAAAGTTTGACCAAATAATTTGAGAGGAGGGCAAGAGTTTTCAGAAACAGGGAAAATATTTTCTCTTACTCTGCATTGTAATTCCCTACTGTAAAAATTCTTATGTCCAATTAAATCGATTTATTTGGTAATAAGTGCACGAGTATGTCAAACTGTTATTCCACCATCCAAATGGCGAGGGCTATTTTTTAGCACTCATTCAACAAACAACAGAGATAACAACATTACATTATACGGACTGGACTACCATTTTACGTTAGATAATCCGAAAAGTGAGGCTTCCTTGAACCTCTATAAAAGTGTGTACACGAATTTTATTGCTCTTCACGTGCCCACACTTGATCTGTATCATAAATAAGTATGTAGTTGCGTATACTGTTTCCGTATAGTTAGTATTTCGCCATTGCCCAGTTGGTTTCAAGCAGGATTCCATCAACACACAATTTATCGCAGAGTTCATTCAATTAATTATCATAATAAGGATTAAGCAAATGATTTCGATTCATTACTTACTTACGAGGAGGGCAGATAAATAAAGTGCCGATGGTGGTAGGGAGGAAATAGGAAGTATTTGGTCGTCCATCTGATATTCATGTACTAGATTTCCCTTGAGGGATCTGGAAGAATCTTATGGTGGCTTAAACTTGGATCAAACGCTTCACTCTCAGAAAACCAGCCAGCCAGGCAGCTATGTAGCCATGCATTCGTCCATTAGAAAAGCAGGCATTAGGGAGAGAGGACCCTTCCTAAATAACAAACCATTCTCACCCAATGCTAATTTCACAGCATTTATCTCTCAAGCCTACATCGCGATTCACAACAGCTCGTCTTCCCAACTTGGAGAATAGCAAACGGTTCTAATAATCCGCAATATTTTGCATAATCGTCCGCCTGACTTTAATGATTAAGTATTTTGACAGCTTTTCCTATATATTTCCAGTCTTCTTTTAGCTCTTGTGGCGGCAGCGGAATCGAGGAGATTTATTCCAACATTGTTTCAATACTTCAAAGGATTTGAGTTCATTATTTTATTTGGATTTGTTCTTTTGTCTCAAATGGGACTTTCACACCCGATCATTCTTTACACACAGTTGCCTTTGCATTATACAATTAGCGGCTTAATGCCGTTGAATTTAAAGACGTTTCATATCGCTTTCCTGCTGAAAAACACGGCCGTATGCGCACTATGTAGTACGTATCCGTCTATAAATATGTACGTACATATAAAGATTGGACCCCCGTTGCAAACTTTCCCGACTTGATTGAATCTTGGTGCTTGTGTCCATAGACTCTCTTTCTGTAAAATCTTAGGCAGGCTCAACAGCCAGCTAGATGCACGAGATAGAAAATGGGATGCAAGGGAGAAAACCAAGCCAAATTCCAACGTGGCGTGTATATAGGTCTGTAATCGTGCCCTCACCATCCGTTGAACGGCCTGGGTTGTGTGGACCGAGAGCTGAGAGCGATTAGGTCTCTCACACAGTTGCATTGTGCCACTCGCTCCCTCGCCTCTGCTTTCTCCAGAAAACGAGCGATCTTGAAAAGGGGGTTTCCTCAACCACTTTCTCCCAGTCTCACTCTCTCGCTCTCTCTCTCTGAGTTTTCTCTCGTAGCCACCAGTGTCATTTTCACATCCATCCTCATTTCCGTCTCACTTCCAGCCAAACAAACCTCCATATTCATCCACCAACTCAAGACAACAATCCTCTTCTGATTCGGTCGTGTGCTCAAGTTGACGGAGAAAGGATAGAATTTGCTTCTGATTGTGAGCTGGTGTTTTATATACTAATGAGCAAAGTTGGACTGGGTAAATAGTAGGGCCACCTAAGTACGCAGCTACTTATTCACCGGCACACTTTCTCCCTGCTCGACATCAGTTTGAAAATTCCAAATTAGACATCAGTTTTATTACTGAACAGCTCAGGAAGCGTTATTTATTTATACGTTGCTGTTTTCCCAAACTAAGTTTTCCATGTCCAACTGTTGGTAACGAATTAGCCCATAAAATCAGATAAGTAAATAAAACTCTTGCTCGGGAGGATACATAAAGTGTTACAAGTTAACAACCGTGACGAGTTCTGAAATACATATATTTTCAAACTGGCTGCTGGAGGAGGGCGCGGACAGTGGACTTTCTGTCAGTTGTGCTTTTAAATACAGTTTATCATAAAGAATGGTTGAAGTAAGGACGACTTGATGAAGAAAGCACAGCGCAATTAGAAACATAATACTGCTAATAACGTATATCAAATATTCCGTACCACCCCCAGGCCTGTAAGAAGGATGTATTTCAGGTCATAATAATTTATTTTATTCGGACGGCGAATACGCCTCGTGAACTCTCTCTAAAAGATTAGACCTTATCCATTCTGTTTTCAAACCAGCTTAGGAAACAGCCAGTGAGCTATTCTCGTAATTTTTAAAAATATCTGCTGTGCCATCTCGATCCTTTTGTCATAACCATCAAGCACTCCATTATTAAATTATGCGAGTGGCATTCTCAACAACAACTTGATTCCGTCGACGGATTCATGCGTCAGTAAAAGACCAAAGAGAGAGAGGAACTGCTTTTGTGCACGTCGAACCTTCACAATGTTGTTCGCTAATTGCACCAGCCCACTTGACTGTGCTCCAGAGCAGTTGTATCCCGAAAGTTCTAATGACACTGTTCCGGATCCGTACAAAGTCTTCCTTGAAGATCCCTATTTTTGCTTGAAGGGTTGGATTGGTCGGAACGACACGCCATGTGAGGATCCTTTGTACTTTTCATACAACTATCGCATAGTGGGGACCCTCTTCCAGGGCATTGTGTTTCTCGTGGGTGTCTTCGGTAACCTCATGGTCGTCGTCGTCGTGGCCAGAACGAAGAGCATGCATTCTCCAACAAATTGCTATCTCGTGTCCCTTGCCCTTGCTGACAGCATTGTGTTACTAGCGTCCGTACCTCAGGAGATTGTCAGCTACTACGTAGTAGGTAAGGTTCTCAATAATAAAACATGTACGTACATAAGAATTGACATATGTATAGTGGTGTTCTTGACCGGCAGCTCTCAATCTAAAAGCAGATTGTTATATTAATAATAATAAGTGACATTATCAATAAGTGTCAATAACAAGTGTCACCGTCTGTATAATCGGTATAAATGCCTGCCCAGAAATAGTGACAACATTAATAGCTTTCATTTGGGTAGGAAACCTTTGGATTTGGGGTGAACTGGGATGTCGTCTTCTCATCTTCTTACAACATTTGGGGATCAATGTTTCATCACTGAGTTTGGCTGCATTTACTGTAGAAAGGTATGTACATGTGTGACTCTGGTTGTTTTGTTTGTTTGTTTGGTGTTGGGTTTCGTGTAAAAGACGTAATGACAAGATTGACAATGTTGATGCATTATTGACAACTTTTTTTCAGATGGGTCGCAATATGTAAGCCATTTTTCGGTATGTAGGACTTTCGCACTTGTACCATTATTATATACAATGTATTATATTTATGTATTTATGCACATATGTGGTGCATACGGTTAGTCTTCACTGAAATCATGTACCGTTATTTTCACTTGTTATTTTAAGCTCAAACAGTGTGCACTGTGAATCGAGCAAAGAAAATTATTGCGGGTATGAATAACTTTTAGACTTACAGATTACAAAAAATATAAGCATCATTGTAACATATAAAATCTGCTTATAGGAGTTTGGATTTTCGCCCTGATCTACTGCTTTCCCTGGTTGTTTCTCACACAAACTTATCCCCTGTAAGTCTTACATACGTAATCGTTGCACATTCAGATATCAGTGAAAGTACGAAAAGTATGAGTTTGTTGTATGCCACATGCCCATGACAGGAGCATGGGATATTGGGCTTGGGCATGAAGTCCTTGTCGAATGTCGATGCAGTATACAATTTTTCTGGTTAAAATCAAATGTCATAAATGTATTATGTGTCTTGTTCATCCTAATATCTGAAATGATCAGTATATTTTATTTCATGCAGAATTTAGTTGAACATCAAAACTGCACAGATTATTATAATGACACGTTTATTATCACAATTTTAGGTTTTACAAAGGATTTGCTAACATTGAGAGTTGCGAGTACAAAATAGAGCGCAACCAGTACCTTGGCTATTATTTCACGGATTTAGTTGTTTTCTATGTGATACCACTTCTACTGTCGGTATGTCATAAACTACATGATTACGTGTATTTATAGTTTTGAATACCTTATTATACTCATTAGTACCTCTTTTTTTACCCAAGGTCATCTTGTACGGACTGATTGCAAGAATTTTGTATCAAAGTCAAAATGCCAAATCATCCCATCATGGAACAAACGGACCATTGTCGGTCGACTCCTCTAAAACCAATGCGTCACGAGTGCAGGTAACTATAATTAGCATCCACCTATATTTCTAGCCATTTCCCAAAATTTGAACATGAATTTTGCATGCCCAACCAGAGGTCGAGCATATAGACTCATCCTCAGTGAGACTTGCTGTGTCTTTGGCACACGATGCGGCAGAATAAGCTAGTATGGGTTCTCAGAATTGCAGTTATGTAATTCTGCGAATGCCCACTCTCAAATTACCCACAAATTGGAATAGAGATCGATTTCAGTCCTATTAAGCAAGGTTAATGTGAAAAGTTTATCAATTCTTCTGGTGGATGTTCAACCAGCAAATTAATTATTAACTGACAGGATATACGTCGTTCTTGGGAAATACTAAGATTTACAGAGTAAAACTGCAAGTAAAGTGAAGATTTGCTCAAGCATGCAAGATGCAATCTTGAATACAAATCGAAGGGTAACAGTAGCCTGCCATGCCTCGCATATAAAACGCATCAGATTTTGCTTGTGGGCAATGTACATAAAACATGCATTGGCACGGAATCTCTCCCACTTGTTGTTGAGGATCTCGACAAATTAGAACGAATTGCAGCTGTATTCCTGCACTTTGTGACACAAATCATGAGATCCCTGGAGCCCTAAATATTCATCGTTTAATAAATTTAGAGGGTCGAGTGTTTTGCAAATACTTGGGTCGACCTCTGCTCAACGTAATCTGGATAACTAGATATTTATTTGATGTTGGGTAAAGCATATGCACATCAATTCCGCCAACAAGGAAAACTCAGCAGAGCACAGAATCGGGCACATGACGTCCAAAATGGAATAGTTGTGGGAGAATTCTTGAAGTTGGCGTTTTCGTCATTTGTTTGTTTTGTGGGCGACGTTGGAGGGATTAGTTTTATCCTAGTATATTCATGCCATGCCCTCTCCAACCTTTCTCGTATCCGCTCTCCTCAGCTGCCTGCCTACCAATGCTTAGGGTAAGCACTGGATGAAATTACTATCCATTTCACCAGAATGGGTGAAATATATATGTAATAAATTATGAGGCGCCGTTATGAGGTCGGTGCGGTGGTTCGTGGAGGGATTTCTTACGACTTTCCCATGATCCATGTTCATCACTTTCACTTTTTCCCATCTAGAGCACTCTATCTCAGTCAATATTTCAGTGTCAGATAGTCCTTCCTTCCCCATTACTTGACATACGTTTGTCGCCATGTTTTGTCATGCAACCATTTCTCTGCATGCGTAAAATTCCAATGTCCACAGGTGGAGGAATTTTTGTAAATATTTAACCTCCGTCGTAATTTATGTAATACTAATATTTTGGGCGGGCAGTCCAATAATGTGCATCTCTGTCTATTTCGGAATAATATGGAACCTCCTTCATGCAAATATCCGTTTTCTACGTAATATGCAGCCCAACTCAAAATTTGATAGGTAAAAATTGCTTGTGCCGAAAGAATTTCACTTTTACATTCACTTTCAAGTGGTTTCTCTTCCTTTTCTCTACTTCATTTTCATACTCTGTCTGCTTACTTATTACTTACATCACATCACGACTTTGTAATTTAGGCCTCTCGCAGGTATCCTAGTTTTGAGTGCAACTTATATAAGTATACATGCGCCTGAGATCATTGGGCATATAAAGTTCAATTTCAGAAACATCTCAGAATCTCTTTTTCAGGCAAATTGAATACAAATCTTGCAAAATTCTATTTAATTCTGTGGCACTGCTCCTGCCCGAGTTCAGTACAGTTTCGGAATGAGGACTGCTTATCTTATTTGTAGCTTACGTAAAGTGGTGGGGGCAACTTTGTGGCAACTCTATGCAGTAGTCAGTCCTGGAGCCAATTTGGCAAAGATTGATCTTCATTCGTTCTACTGACGTTATAAAGCATCAATGTGTCAATCCTATATTAATCAACTAATTCAATTTCAAAGCCTGCCCTTAACTCGTTTCCTTTTGTAATTTCACCGTATATTACATACATATTCCCGTTTGCCATTACACTGATATATAGCCTGAAATATAAACCGTTTGAATTTGTTGCCGTTACCACCACAGGGATTACTTTGACATTGGCAATGCATTTTAATTTTGTGCCGTTGTTCCTGTCTGAAGCCGTTTTTGGGTCTAATTTCCCCTCACAAGTAATTCGAGCAGAGAGACTGACTAGAAATCACTTCAGTAGAACTTTGACGTGATCAACAACATACGAAATTAACTGACAAACGAAATAGAAATTCATTGAGATTGGCTAGACGGTCAAAACCACTGCATCGCATGCTTTTAACAATTCCAGCCAAAAGGAATCAACCCAAAAGAAGCAGTCCGCAACCAATCCACACGAGAATGTGAATATGACTTTAATTACTTCTGTCCAATGAAATGATTGCGATTGGGTATCAATGTCGGGAAATGTGATTGCAATTTAGTTGTTCTATTAGTGCGATGGACGCACATATTTCTCTCTAAAATCCTGGCCCCTACATACATGTGCCATGGAACGAAGTCTTTTACGTCACTCGAGGGATTCGTAAAGTAGCCAAGTATATAGAACTTGAGAGCAATTTCCTACAACACATTGGCAAAGCTGTGCAGTAAAAGAAATGATCTTGATATAAATGTTGATTAAAATAAGTATCCTTCAAGGTCGTAGTTTGTAAAGTGCTAGTGCTCACTTGACTGAACCGAACCCAACGGAAGGAAACGGGTCCAAGTGATCATGATCTGAACAACTAAATACGAATTTCACTCACTCATGATTGATGAAGTCAGTTGAGTGGAATGGAGTTTGCCAAGAATATATTCAAGCGGTGTGATGTTGGGCAGAAAACCAAGATGAACAGGAAGTCGGAAGGAAGGAACAATGAAGGGAAACTCCTCAGAGCGAGCCACGCATTGGCGAGCAGCAATCGGATAAATTAGGCTCACCCACCGGGTTTAGGTCACTGATGATTGCGCCATTGAATACTTATAACAAGTCTGATTGATTGATCCGTCTTGATTAGCTCAGCCCGACCTGAAAATCTATTTCCCATCTCTTCTCAAACTAGGAAGAAGAGCAGTTTGTCAGCGTTTACTTATTCATGGTAGCGCGTCAAATTAAGCACAAATAGTTCATAAATTTGCGCTCCGTCTTTATCCTTCGTTGAATAATTTGGTTGAAACCTGCTAGATAAACGTCTTACAAGGACAAGTGGTTATCTGTTTCATTAAGCAGAGTTTTTGCATTGCGTTTGAGAAATTTCGGCAGTTGTATTTTGCATCTGAAATATATATTTCACATTGCTGGATATTACACATTTTCTGGATGAGAACCGTTCCCATTAAATGTTGACATACTTACATATAGCCTCGCATTATATTCATACATTTAATAAAATCGGGCAAACAAATATGTATGTAAAGGTGTATGTACTAAGGTTTTGTGATGTATCCAACCAGCCATGACTGTCGCCCAGTCTGATTTCATAGTGATATATTCAAACGACAAGTTTATGTATATTATCAGCAATTTCAAGCTGAAGCTGGTCTCGTAAATCTAATTTTCATTTCTACGTACCAAACCAACCAAGTGCGGTGCCAGACGTGGAATTTGGAGGTCCAAAACTAAATCTAGGATATAGCCTAGACAATAATCATCCATTATTTTCAAAAAACACAAACGGCATGATTTTCTAATTAAACTCAACCATCCGTAAACACTATTGTGGTTCTGGGACACTTACCCGGTTCATACCGGACGTTGGGATTCTGTGAAAATATGGTACCTGCCTGATTACACAGACATAATAATTGCATGCTTTCACTTAGTTGGTTCTTAACCCTACAGCAAATTACATTTTCGTTTAACTAAATGCATACCTAGGTACTTGGAACTAGTATTTCCAAGTAAATACATATTGGTACAATATGAAAACCGTCCAAAACTAGAGCAGCTAACGACTATGTTCACATAGAATTAGTCTTAATTTGAGAGGATACATGAATTAGCTCATTACTTGGTGATTGAAGACGAGATGTCTGATGGACGGACTAATCCTAATATTTATTTAGGCAAGAGAAATTGTAAGACGCTCTAATGAGTTTTGCCAAGAACGAGAAATAGACTGACACCACTAGTGTCCACGGGTGGGCTGCTCTGCTGTTGCTGCGTTGGGAATGGACTCTGTGGGAGTCGTGAGAGATATATGAGACGAGAAAAGTGTGTGACATTTCACACCAAAAAGATAATGCCATCTCACAAAAGCAAAATTGTCGTCTTCTGTGCCAACCTAATCTAGGGCGGATCCATCATTTATGCTAAAATTTACTAAATAAGTATAGTATAGAAAGTCAGTATGCAAATTCTATTCATATTCCAATTACGTATGTATTTATAACTTTTCTCTCACTTTTTACCTGTACTAAAACTAATTTAATATCGTAAAGTATAATCAAAAATTTTCAACGATTCCTTCAAATATATGAACAAGAAATTAAATCGTCGTCCAAACGATTGGGACAATTTCCAATTCCTGTTCATTCACTTTCACTAAAAAGAACAGGAAGAAACAATTTGTACTGAGGGAGAGCAAATGTCAGGCAGGAATCTAGAAGCAATTTCAATATGACTTGGCGGTGGACATATTCGGTTTGATTTATGACGGCAACATTCCCGATAATTTATCTTTCTGAATGAGGATCGATTTGGAAACAAGTGCAACGCTGCTGCCCCAGTTTGCTTGAGTTATTTCTGAAACGCGATGAAATTCCAATTTGAACGTGTGATAGAAATCCTAATTTCCTGAAATGACTATGTGGCACCGCATAACGATAATTTATGCTCAGTTAGAGAAACGGTATGTACGTATTAGGATGCTTGACTGAATTCCATGACATTTCTTCAACTGTTTTGTATTTTTTCCGCTATATGTAATCGCAGTCTTTTTACGTCATACTTAGGACGTTATAGTTGCCTACGTAAAACCCCTTTTAGTACTATAGGTATGTAATTGCACACGAGTTAGTAGTACTACAGAGTATTTACAGTGCACAGCAAGGTTACGGTGTCTATATTTGTTTTTTACAACTATAACTACATATGTGTAAAGGTTACCCCGTAAGCGATGTGACGTTCAAATTCAATGAGGCAAGAAATTCGGTTAAATGGGTTTTTGAAGCGTGTGAAATTGGAAACTGTTTCGCATTAAATGTTTTATAAGTGTCTGTCCACGTTGACTCTTCCGTCCCGTGGCCCATTGAATCCGTGATAATATGCATCTCTGGAAATGTGAAAGTTGAAAATGGTGGTATTTTTGTTTCATTGAATCGAAAAATTCAGGGGCTCAACTTGTACAATGATAACATTTATCGAAAAAGTTTGGTTCAAACAAGTTCAAACACACTTTCGCTCAGTTTGCCAAATAAATATCTCCTGAATAATCAATCATGCATTTGTTCAAACCTTCGCCATGATTTTTTTTTTCTTTCATGGGATTTGCACTGCCTCGCCCCCAACACTACTAGCAAATTACATGTCACACGAGCTACCGCAGCTGAACTTTTCTATTTTGTGTGGGAATAAAGCCCTTCGTTGAGGCGAACCTGAGAAATAATCGGCTGAAAGGTTGCTATTGTGTCCAGCATACAGTTGATTTTTTCCCTCATTTTTCCAAAAGTGTTGTCCAGTAATGGCCGATAACACGGAAAAATTGTATTATTTTTTTTAGTAAAAAATGACGACAAATCAGTTGTAGAATATTACTAACAACTTTACTGCACCCATGAATATGTAGTTTTATCTAATATGCATATTATACGTATTTTGTATTATGCAAACTTGAGCAAAAGAATTCAGAATGTCTTCACAACTTATAACCAATATATTCATTTCAAAGCCATAAGAATTATAATTAGTGGAATGGGACCAGCGCTAACTGGTAATGGGCAAAGTTACGAAAGAAAAATGAGTCTAGTGATCGAGATGAATCGAGGTTATGGATTGTAATATGCATAAAGTGGGAATCATCATTTATCTATCGTGCCATTACAAAGGATGAACCAGGGCACTTTCAATTCCAGAGACGTCGAGGCAATGAACATGAGATGAGTGAAAGCCAAGTCCCACACTTACTCAGTGTTCACCTTTTGACTGAATAATTCTGTATTCCCATCCTTTGCACCCAATTCTTTTCATTTGCTTCCTTGTGATGGCGAATTTGCTGGGTTTTCTCTGAATGAGCCCCATGCTTCGGCTTAATTCTTGTTTTCTGCCCTCCATTCAGCACTGCTATACAAAATTCGAGATAACATCCGCCTCCACTGCCGAGTTGAGAACAAGTGCCATATATTTAATTGCATCATTCTTGTTTTGCACTTGTGCTCCCCCCGTCGCCCGCCAGGCCTTGTCAAGTGAAAGTGGTGAAAGCGTGATTCCCATTTTCTGCAAATGAGTCACTCTCTCTAGAATTTTATTTCTTATTAAATCACACCTCAACTTGAGGACGTATATATTTCCCGAGTTTTCGTCTAGCGGAAGGACCTCGTGATATATATTTTCTTCCTGGTGGATGGAGTTCAATTGACATTTCTCCACTTCTTTCTCACCCTGTGCCCAGAATGCGATGGCTTCACTTCCATAACACTCGACCAGCTCGGTTGATGGCATCCTTTTAGGAGGAGCTCAATAGTGAGTGGGAAGAATTATGACATGCTTCAAGAGATGAATTTCGTCGCCTTGTGGGAACTGAAATCAGTGACGCTAGCTTTCTCCCGTGCCAATTTTGTTCCTTTGTTGTCCTCTGTCTGAATAAACTTGGCAGTTTCGTACAGTATTATCTTTGTATTTTTATATCCTCCCCGTTTTGAATAACACCGTGACCCTTTCCTAGTTTTCTACTTTTTCGCCCTCACAATTCCTTGTGAGAATTTGCCAGATTATACAATGCACAATTTATTGATTCATTTTATAATCTCAGCATGAAGTATTTTAAAATTATATAAGTATTATCTTATAGTCTTGTCTTGTGTAATATAAGCCGCTCTTTTTATTGGTAATCATCTTGCTTATTGACGTTATGTAGACTCCCAACAACAAGGATTTTCAATATTTTAGATTAAGATGAAATTCGAGTAGATTGAAAACAATCTTGTCTTACTTGTGCTGCTAATGGAAATTTATAAATAAAACAAACATGCCGTTATCCATTATAAAAGTTTACATACTTGTGTTCTCATTACCGCTCTCGAGACAACACTCAAGTAAGGTCTCGGCATGTCTACAGGTGATAAACTTTTCAATGTGAATGCATAGTTTTTTTCAAGCATCTCAGCAGAGGAAAAATAGGAAAATAATGCAAAAGAAATAAGAGAAAGTTTGATGAAAGCCTTTTGTTTACAGACGAATTCGCGGTAACGTCGCGTTACTAACGCGTATCAAAACAGAAGATGTTGTTGAATTCCATGTTGTAGACTGATCTAAAAACTTATCCCTTTTTCATCTTGTCCCATGTAAAAGGAAATTGGACGGATTTGCTGGGTATCATAAGAACAGAGTCATTCAACTTCTCGATTGTTGGAGATAAACATAAATGATCGCCTTCACTTGGATCACACGGCGGCATGGATGCTTCACATGACGAGAGTTTGTTTACTTTATCCAGACGGCTTCTTCTTTCTTAGAGAAAGTTTCGTTTGAATAAAACAAAATTGGTCTGCAAATTTTTATCAATTTTTTTAATAAATAAGACTTGCGAATATGTATATGGATAGGTTGAAAACTTTCGCCAAGATGAAAATAGGAGTGACGCGAATCATGTCTTTCACTGGGTCAAAGTTTTTATTTATTCAAATATGCATATATTTACGCAAGACATAACCGAGCTGCCAAATTTGAAATATTTGAGATATTTTTGAGCCTCTTTTTATTACTAAGTCAAAAAATATTTCCACATTCAATTTATTCTGAGACTTCAAAACCTTGAACGTAAGAATAAAAACTTATGCAACACTTTGCTGCAATGCAAAAATGTGATGGAAATGATGGAATTGAAAATGCGCCTCTGTGAACTTTGATTTTCAAAGCCGCAGGTACTAATCATGATTGATCAGCCTGAGGTGAATTTTCAATTTATTTAGTCAGTTTCCATTGCTTTTCGTAGAGGAGTAAACATATACCACACAAGAAAAATTAAATAAATTGATAGCGAATAAAATAAAATTACAAATTGTAATCGTGTTGGGAGAAAGATTGTGTGAACTTGCAATTTCTAAAGCAGTATTTTCTGCGATCTTTTTAAGATATCTTGTCTGCCAAGTTGCACTCGACTACATCATCTATCATTGTTAGTGTTGGGACTGGGAATTTGTGTTTGTTGAACTTGAACGAATGAAAACTGGGTTTGCTGTCTATCTATTTGCGAACCAGACAACTGAGATATACATGTGAGAAGTGAAAGCAAGTTGAGGATCTTATTAATCTTAATCACTTGTTTGTTTTTACTCAGGTGGTGAAAATGCTGTGCATGGTGGTGATCATCTTTGCAATTCTCTGGCTACCCTACCGTGGACTGCTCGTGTATAACTCTTTCGCACAGGAGAAATTTATGGACCTTTGGTTTTTGATATTTGCAAAAACCTGTGTCTTCATTAACAGGTAACTAATAAATGTTTTCCATGTTTCTCAAGTTTTTATCAGATTTCTCCTGAAAGCCCCTTCACATTAAAAAAACTGCGAGACAGTTTATGTGCTCCGTACAAATTGTAGGAGGTCGTAAACTTATGGTAGTTGTGAAAATATATATAGCCCCTCATTATTTTATATAAAATATTCTGCACATACATTGGGTGACTAGGGTTAGTACGATTTTTGTAACACAGAAGTCCTTAAAATATCAGCATCACCGTAGCATTAAAACGAATTCGTGTTAATAGCTGACCAAGAAGGTATGGGCAAATCCATAAAGCTGAATTTATGACGACAGGTGTTTTTGCAAAATTTGTGCTTGGGTTCCGAGAACCTCTTCCCATGGTTATATTTTCCATGCCACATTACACCCCTTCCTAAAAATCCACTGATACAGTTCAAATAAATAAAAGAGGAGAATGCATTTCCGGAACGCCGTGATCTGTCCCTACGCGGTATTTATTCAGCTTGCTGGGTACTCAAGTAAATAAGACAAGAAACATTATTGCAGGCTGCGAGTTATCGGGTACTAGAATAATCTATGCCGACAAATTTAACCCTTTTTTATGCATGTTTTATTCATATTTATCCTTGTAGAATGTCAGGAATCCTATCGGAGGTTATTGTAAAATATATTTAGATTGTTAAGCAGTTGCACGTCATAAGATTCTACGCTCCATGCTCACACGAGAACTACGACAGTAAGAATTTCATTGTGAATTGAGGAAAGTGCAGTTACCTATTTATAAAGATACCTACATATGTACGAATGTGCAGTGAAAGACAAAGCCACATCAACCTCCATCCAACCAGTTTACTTGCTTAGAGAGCCGACTTTAGACACCAGGATGAGTTAAACCATTTTTCATTTGGTAATTGGCAAATTAGTCTTTGAAATGCAAAAGACGAATTTTAGAAACACGAGAGCCGAAGAAAGTGAAAACACAGAAAGGGAATAAAATAAAGTCAGTAGATTATTCCCAGTAAAAGCTTCTTTCTTCTAAATTAGACTAATAAATCATTCAAAAAACGAGCTTTGATGTAATTAAAGCAGGGAATGAAGACTGTAATAGTACATTTTCTCTTAAATCATTCAACTAACTCTATGTTTATGGGTTCCATTAGCACTTGGATTAATGAAAGGGGGTCGCGAAGCAAGCCACGATGGAGAAAGTTTACCATCCGACATTTCATATATATTTGGATTAAAGATTCAATTGGCGTAAATGACCTTTGATGGCAGTCTGTGGTACGTTGAGCATCATTTACACCAGTAAACATAAGCTCCAAAATAAACATTTTCATTAATGTTACCTTATTCGCAAAATCCTATTACTCGTGATTACAAAATCCTATCCCAGCCCACCCACCCACTTCACTAGGTACACGCACGTATTACAAGAAACTTGAGCTTTGGGCGACGATGGTACATACTTATTAATGCTGGAAGATCCGATCCCATCATCCAATGATTTTATGGTTTGTTACCCAACTTGGCCAAGATGTTCTACATACCTACGTAACCAGCAGTGGCGTGTTTTAGTCAGCGTCAGCCAAGGAAAAGCTTTCTCCGGGTATAAAAGCCAGAGTTCCGTTTAAAGAAAGTATCCACTCGTTTGATGATGGTCATTTCCTTCCCTGCAGTCAGCCTTCTGAATTCGGGAGATCGACTTTCACTTTAGCTCAGTTGTCGCAGGATGCTGGTCTTCCCAACCATTATGCCCATGCTTTTCCACACTAATAACAAATATGTGTAATAACTTTACTGTCACTGTCAGTAAGACTGATATAATCTAACGGTAGTACATAGGGCATGCGTGTATATGGTTTTTTTATTCGCGATTTATTAAATTTACAACTTTCAAAACAGTGTTAGTTTATCTCGACATTTACATTTTTATTCTTAATGGCATTTTAATGACATTTTTTGTCGGCATAAAATAAATTGTAAATTAATACGTGATATGAAATGCATTATAACAAGTTACATTTTTATCGTCAATCTAACGTTTAACAATAAAATATTTTCATAAGCATGGTTAACTTCGGTGGGGATATTGGCGAGGTAGTGAACTAGGCCGAATCCACATTACATCTTCATTAGCTTCTAGTCACTAAATCCTATAAAGCTGTACCTTCGTGAAGGATCCCGAAAGATTTATTAGGTTTTAGTCCAGCCGTACGTGGGTTTTTTGTAATGCTCGACTTTTGTATTTTCATAGCGTCGCACAAAAAAGTTCTGAGCTGTAGAAATAAAGCCGGCTAGACGAGGTTTCAAATTGCAAAAAATTATCGGGCAAACGGTGCTATGTACGTGTGGTCAATGGAGCGAGTTATTTTACGTCTGGAGGAGGCGTAGATGGGCTTCATTGATAAATAGGCTGAACAATTTTTTGAGCTCTATCTAACGTTGAAACAAAAAAATCCACCCCGTCCTATGATTTATTTTCCTACCGCCATCGTTTTTTATCACTCATGGCTGAGGTATAAGTATGACCATCGGTAGTATACTTGTGTATATGTATGCATATCGTTATACAATATATCAGAAAATTACTAAAGTTCTGATGATTTAGATTTTGGATGAGCATTTTCATAAAATAAAAATACTTGACATATTTCATACATTCGGACGAGAATATGCTGAACGCGACTTCCTGGATCAGAACAGAACACAGATAATACGATTTTGGACTTTGCAATTTTCTCCAAACCCGATCCATACCAATGGAATATATTTATCTCAGGTCTTTAGCAAAGTTTCTGTAGTTAATCTGATTATGGTTTGTGGGTGTGTATCTCTGAGAGAAATAAGGGCAAGGAATTGTGTGAAAATAGTCTTGCATTTCCAGATGCAAAGATTTGGATGGATAATGCCAATTTTGATTCGGACGAAATGACAATGGAAATCTGGACGACCTGTGTTTTATTCTCTTTAAAAGTGTGCATTAGTTCTCCATTGTCTTTCCAACTGTCACACTGTGTCCCTGGAAATCTCTATTGTCTAGCACCGTATATTTGTGTGTGACACTATAGTTCCTCTTTGTTCAAGGTTTACTTACGCCTTATACAACGTTATATAAGGGATCGAGGTTTCCAAACTAACTACCTTCTTTTTGTTCCTTCGTTATATATGAGACGTGTGCATCTGGAAATTTGAGCACGTACAGGCTAAGATGTGCGCTGTGGTTGTGGGTCGTAATAATCGTAACGACAGCCATCAAAAGTATCCACAATGTTTCCCAATCAACGTGAGGTACATGTGTCTTATATAATACGTACAATCACGGAATTCTCATGCTATTTCTTTCCATGTCTTGTTGCGCATCTTAGATCTTGATTGAAATTCCGGTCGGTATTGAAACGTACATTCAGGAATAAAGAGAAAGTTTTCATTAACTCAGGGCTACATACTTACATAACACGATATTCCAATAAGCCAAGTTTCACTGTAATTTATATTTTCTCTCATGTTATGACCCACTTCAAGCTTATTAAAATCCAGTCGTGTCATTAAAACCCCTTGAATTAATATTAATTTCTATTTGGAGCAATCACAAGTTTGTTATGTTTTGACAATTTTGAGGATAATGGGTCATACCGTAACTGTTACACGTAACGAAAACCTGAATAAAGTTTCGTGTTCTCACTCCTCATCATAATACTTACCTGTTCGTCCGTCCATTTTACTACAATACTTATGTACATTGCAAGGAAATCACTGAACCCACAATAAACTTATTCATAGGACTGCATCTTCAACTCTTCTGTTATGCCTCTAAGACTCAGGAAAAGTAAATTGTTTCAATTATTTCCCTTGGAAAGAGAGTGGGAGTATTAAACTTGTTCCGATGCAGCAAACCAGCGATGACAACGTGATAAATTGTTATGCAAATTGAATAATAAGTTTTGAAACTGTGCTACAAGTTCATGCAATCGATTAAATGGGAAAGATCTTGGATTAAATTCTGCAACTCTGGGGTTGTGGTACGAGTTGTTTGAATTATTTACCAGGAATCAATGGGAATTAAATATAATTACAGCAGTACGGGTATTATAAGAAGCATAAGTACTGTTCATAAATGATTTATACTTGTTCAAGTTTGAATTTTATATAGCGAAAGCAATAAGACAACTTTGATAACTTTGTTACACAATTCCTTGAATTGTCCTTTATTCAACTCAACTTTGTGCACTCATAAATAAGCATGGTTTTGATCGAAAGGGTGGAATTACCATGGTTGGTGGTTTTGGTTCTACGTCGAGTTTTCCCACTGCTCCCCAAACCAACTTATTCTTACCTTCAGATTTATTACTATTACTTTCGGCATCGTTAAATTTGGGGCCTGATATGATTTATGTAAATGTATACGTGCATACCTAGTTAGAACATTTGATTCAAATAAATTGAATATTTGGAGTTGTGTATATGCAGATGCTCGGTTGTCTTCCTGTACTTAATTTATTACGAGCAGTTGCATGCGCATATAATTATTAAAATTATTATTGAAAAAGTATCAAAGATTGAGAATCACGTATCACCACTTTAATTATAATTATTAATTTTGAAAAATAATTACTGACAGCGCTTTGTTTTTTTTGCAGTGCTATAAATCCGATTCTGTTCAACGCGATGAGTCTGAGATTTCGAACGGCTTTTGGACGCGTGCTGTCGTGTGGTAAGACCCGGGACTTCTACGGTCGTTGGCCATATTGCCACACTCATACAACATTTGCCACAGCCAGCACTGCGATGCCCTCGACGGCCACTTTAAACTGTCAGTTGGTGTCGACTCGGACCCCTCCGAGACATTACTCCTCTCATAACAGCCACCACACGTACAACCAAACACACCCCCCACCACACTCCATGACTTATCTCGAGGTTGTTGTCGATTCTTCAGACACAGTTTATACGTGTCCAGAGGAAGTCACGCAACTCTAATCCACGACAACTAGCTGTAACTTCCACTCTCTCAGTCTCCACCATTATTTCTACACTACTTAATCACGAATCCTACAACAACAACAACCTGACATCATCATGTTAGTTCACGCTCGTTGTTAATTCTGTTGTTTGATATGACGTGTGAGTTACGGCTAGTATTTATTTTTTGGAGACTCTTCTGTTGGAGACTCGGTATGCTGTACATATGTAGATGCAACTTTCTCCAAGAATCTCAACTTTAATTGCACTGGTATCAATCCCCTCACTGTCACCGCAGTGTTATGGCTTGACCAACTGTTGTACCTCTAGAAGTCCTGTACATGTATCCCTCCCTGTTGACCGCTTAAGCATTCTAATTGTGCAACATATATTATTATTAGTATTACTATTAACAGCTTTCGCGAGTTACTAATCTGCTTAATTTTGGGTGGTTGAAATATAGTTTATACATTTTATTGTACAAACCCTATTTTATTGTTATGTATTTTTTATGCATCATATGAATGTGATGCACTGATAATACTGAATATGGTACTAAGAATAGTTGCTTGGTGTGGTAGATATTTGGGATTTGGCACTCAACCTCAAAATCGAAAACGCATAGCAAACACGTTTCATGGTTTCGAATTTGTAGAAAATTAGGGTTGGAGCAGGAAAGTGATATGATCCAGGAAACATTTGTGAAGAGAGTTTCTCGGACCAAAATTCCAATATGTTTTCCTTTCCTCTCGAGCAACTTTAGAAAGTGGATTGAGGCAGCCGGTTGTCTTTTGAAAGGGAGACGATGAGCATCGCGCGTGGAAGGGATGCATTACACACAACAGTGATCTATCTAGCACCTTCCGCCTTTATTTATACTTTATGTTGAAGGAAACCAAGAAACACTAGAATAGCTATTGAACCAGGCACCGGAAGAAAACGGACTTGACAGGAATAATAAATCACCACATCGAACACGATTACTCTTAAAACTGAGTCAGTTCACATCCACACGTCCTCCCGCGTGCATCTTTTAATCCTACATCAACTTTATCCCGGTCTGCCGTCGTCTTGATCGTCTTAATTCATTTTATATAAAAATCCTTCACAAATCGTTCACCCAGCTTTTGTTTATTAACGTTTTCTTGCATAACTCAAATCGCATTACATGCAGCTTTGCCGCAATTTATCATAGTCGACTAATTATAGTCAAGTTTGTCATTCAAGGCTTATAAAGTTGAAGATTTATTTAAAAAGTTATACAACAGACGTGGATCAATCATATCAAAATATGGCCTTGATCGTTTCTCAGAAAGAAGATATGGCATGGTCGAAAATTATTTTGATATCCGTTTGAGTTTGATACTAGAGCCCAAAGCAATTTCATGTACGAGATCGTATAGCAGCTCAAGGTCAAATGTATCATCTATGAATGGAGTTAGTGCTACGTAGGCATGCATATGCACATATTAAGGCTGATCTGAACATATAAATGCGACAACACAGAATGCTCTATAGGAAAGAAATTGAAGAGAAAGTCAAGTGGGCATTCTGGGCATTGAGCTTGTTTTGCACTTGTTTTCGAGAACTAATTTGGAAAATGCTTAATTCACTGAATTTTAGCTTCACTTAACGAGTCTCAGACATGCAAAGCTTACAAATCTGACTCGAGTATTGTATGATGAGTAAATAGCCTCCTTTTCCACGCAAAAACCATTCTTTCTGGTTTCACATTTCTGCTCTTAACAAGTTGGTTACCTCTTAGCAAATCAACTGTGTAACTGTAAATAAACGGTATTTTATGTTTAAGTAATTACACAAATGACAGTTACCTACTCGGTGGTACTAAAAAATTTAATTGTAATTTAATTTAATTCCGTATCATAAACAAAATGTTCACAATATTAAGTTATTTTTTATGGTTCCATATTCATGTCACTAAAAGTGAAAGCGGTGTGTCCTATAATTACTTGATTGTATTTCAAGCAAAATTTCACAACTCCGACATAACCGTATATATATACCTATGTATATTTATATACTACACTCAAGAATGTTAGATGTTGGATGCGGTTGAAACAAAATATGTATTATGCAAGTGGAATCGTGTAATTTTGGTGACATAATTATGATAAATAGAATGTACGTAGAATGAAATGAGCAAAATCATACGTGTGAAAGTAGAAATATGGAGTTTTGCCTCCGTGTGGGAAAAGTTAGTTTGGAAGCAATCCGTTCAATTCCGGGACAAAACAGTCGCAATAGAAGCAAATCCAAATTAGGCATTCAACTCAGTCCGCAAACTTTTTGTCGTAGTCGAAGCTGTCGACCTTGCTGCAAAATTGTTGCGTTTATTCTACTAGAAAGTAGGCGACAACGCTTCCTGTATTCATTTCAGCACATACAAGCATACAATTTGCTTCATAATGAAAACACATATGTATTCCTGTCATCATCATCATTGTGGTTTTTGCCCAAACCAGGCTACCGCAACAGTCATGTCCGTCCTTCCCTCCGAGGCATGCTAGCCTATTTTTCTAAATAATCTCCTGTCAAAAGGAGGGGCTGGTTTTAAGCTGGACCCCAAAGGGTGACAATAATAGCAGTTGTTTTGTAAATTAGTCTGAAATATCTGAAATTTGCCATGTTGATTATAAATGCATACAAAATAAAGATGTCATATTAAATATTGGTCGATGGGCCTAATGAAGTAGCTCACGATGGTTGGAGAAAGCGACTAGTCCGGGCTAAATAAAACTATAATGATAGGTTTTTTATATTAAAGCTTTATATTCATCACAAAAATAATAAAAGAATTCGCATATTGCCGTTATTTTACTTTTTTGACTGGAAGGACATAACCAAGTTAAATCTCAAATTGTCCCTTGTTGCAAAATTACTAGCACAAAGGCTTGTTGAAATACCGTTATATTATTTCAAGTCTCGAGTCCCTTGTAATTTTCATCTTTATATATCAAAGTAATATTCAATATATTACCACTGATTGAAGACATGCAAAATATTCTACAATTATTTTGTTTGCTAGAAATACAGGATAACATTTCCCGTCTGTAAAAATGTGATTTTCTGTTTAGGAAATTGCCTCCAAACTAGTTTCGATCACTTAAGTATACATACGCGCACATCTCCAATAACTATTTGCAGACAACGGTCCCCACATGTAATTACATACTAATGCAGGATTATTTTTATTTGCTCTTGAAACGACATGACGCTCTGCCCTGACGACACGATTCCCGTGTTGAGGAATTCTATCTGTGTGTGTAGCTATATACATGTACGTAAAGACGGATATAGTTTGCCCACCACTCTTCTGATGATGAGGAAACAAGTGGTGGACTAGAATAGCAGATGCAATATGCCGCAAATATTCACCAATTCTCAAGTTTAATTCTCTTTGACACTCCAAAAACGTGTTCTGTGTCCCCCTAATGCCACTCTCAAACTTTGTTTTCACCACCACCACCACTTTCTCCCACCGCTTCTACCACTGCTGATGTTTCTGAAGTACTAGTTCATAAAGTTGTTTGCATACTAAACGGGAAATTATGTCGACTTCATTATCCGCTCCAATTCCCGTCCATGACCGCCGCGAGCCGATTTTCATAATTTTAATTTTACTCGCATCTCCGTTTACATTTATAAATTTATTTGTACGTAGTAAATACATATGTCGGTTGTGCCTGTTTATTATGTATATGTACATATAGTCGTCGTATCTATGTCTGGGTGTCTGATAATGCTGCTTGCTTTTACACGAAAGTTAGTATATGTACAATATTTAAATTCTTTTCAATACTTGCACAATTAATTAATTAACAATGCAAATACCTATAATTCCTCTAAGAATGGGCACGGCATGTTATTGTTGTCTGATTTTATATTTGTAATTAAAAAATCTCTTGTATTTTTAGGAGATCGAAGGCAGCGACCACGGAACGACTTCGTGTGAACTTGACAGTCATGTCGGTAAAAAAGTTATAAAAATAGGAATTGTTGCATAATTGTTGTGTAAGCAAAAATATTATATACTTTCATGATGTGCTACATAATAAACTAAATTCTACACAAATGTTATACTTGAGCATTCGATGTGATGTAAGTAGAACGACCCGAGATTATTTTGATTAAAATGAATTTATATTATGTGACTATTCTGCAAGCAGCGCCAAATCAATTTATTGTATGTATGAATCTAAAAATTATTTGGAGAAATTGTGATTGTTGTAATACGTATATTTCAAAAATTATGCTATTTATGAAATTATATGTGCAGTAGATTGATTTTCCTATTCACTCGTCACAAAAATGGAATTAATGTATGTTGTATGTTTCGATGTGCGTAATTAATAAATCAATGTCGTGAAAATAATTTATTTGCAATCAATTATTGATAATCGTCATTTGTACATCGCAAAAGCATTAAACTCAAATCTAAGCTTTACAATTCGAGTTTCTACATGCACAAATAAAAACTAGAAATAAATTACAACTTTGTGTCTGCATACATACCTAGCTTTTTATTTATGCATTTAACACGAGTAGTGAAAGTACAGATTGGGCTCGCTCGTTGAAGTAAAAACTTGTGAGAATTATAAATGTGGTGTAAACGTGCAACTCATTACATATTTATTTTGCACAAAACAAACTTAAACGTGAAACGGTTTTATTAGAAATCTTCAATCAACGTGAAATTCCCTTGAGTAAATGTTTTAATAGAATTCATTTTTCGCTCCCGTACTCATTTAATCTATGATATTGTGAATATTATACTTTTCTCCATAAAAAGAGGCGATGGCACGTATATATGTATCAAGAAAAAAGTGTTTCGAGTGCGACAGAGTTCATGGAATCAAGTCAGCGCTTGGAAATTCCAAGATGGAATTTAGCAATAGTCCAGGAAAGGAGTTCATAAAAATATTTCGTTGGATCAATAAATTCTGTCCACTATTATTATCATGCTTGATGAAAGCTGGGCATGCACATCAAACTTTGCGGATTAGTGAGTCTACTCTGAAAGCTGCTCAAATCCATAAGATTTTCTCATGGATTTGAGCGATTATCTTGAATGATCTGTATCGTAATAATATTAATCCTGAGAACTATACCAGCAAATAGTGCTTACCAAGCAGTTATTCAACCTCAGAAAAGAAAGTAACAATTACAAACAAGTCCAGCACGCAGCTAAATATGTCACGTCGAACATCGGGAGCTGGATTACAATGAGAAGGCCACCATTAAATCAAAATCGCTCATAAAAGAGGCAAGCGAGTCGGTCGATCTGTGCTCGTCTGTCCTGATGCCACACACTCCTTACTACTAGATTTGATTTAAATCTGCCTTCCATATACATAATATGCTACCAATAAGCCACTGAACGTCATCAAAGTAAAACCCTGTAGGAATTCTTCAGATGAATTAAATCCTTGTCTCATCCTCAGTTCAGTTGAATGCCACTACAAAGACGAATAAGAATAAGGCCTTTGGCAACTTGGCATTCACCCACAGAGAGGCCACAACAATGCTTTGACCGGATATGTATACCAGGCATAGATCATGTGTATTAGTTAGATATCGCAACACATTCCTTTGTTTACAAACGAAGGAGGATCATGCCATCCCCAATGACTCAGAGGGCACGTTAAACCCTGCAAAAATAATTTTCTGTTGCTAGTTACGGCAGTTTTTAGTATGTGTATGGCATGTGAATGTCACAATAAGAGGTAAAATCATAAATATGTTACTTACCGAATCTATATGCACGCACCTTTACCACTGCTGGCTGGAATTGTTGTTTGCACGAATAAATGAAATTTTGTGGTGAAATCAATCAAGTTATAACATACTCTATATTTTCTCAGGATGAGTTCCAATCGGACTGACATAGGATTGACAGATTATCCGCCGGGTTACAGGTCTTTCACGTACATCGCTTTTCTTGTGGATCAAGAAGTAAATACTACAACAAACATGATCCTCATTCTTTCCTATACTTCAACCTGATTCGCTGAAATGTTGTCCATGACATCAAAGGTATAGTTGCCAAGAAGGTCTGCTGGACATATTGGTTTACCATCCAGCATGTTACAACGTCTCATAAAATTCTTCTGCTTGTTTTCCAAACTACAAAAACAAAACACCGGGATGATGCGATCTCATCTCGTATACTTACTTTTAGTCGTCTACAGGTCTGCATTTGCTAAAAGTTTTATACAATTTGAAAGAAAAATCCTTTATCAAGAAGTTTTCTGCAGGAACATTTTAATATTTCTCTGGTAAAATATTAAAGCATGTGCTGCAATGAATATAAATGAAGGATTAAGTTGAACCTCGCAGACCAGCATCTCCCACCACAAGTGCCGACGATAACATTAGAAAATGTTGCGTCCCCCCAAAGCAATTTCCGTAAGTAACCTACAAAAATTAAAGTTGTTCCAGTTAGAAAAGTATTTACAATCTGATGCATAATTCATGCGACATGTGTTCATATATTTGAGACGGCCAGCCAGCCAAAGAGATTCCGACGGTATTAAAGAAACAGGTAAAAGTGAAAGCCTGACGGACCACACACACGGCATTCTTTCTTGTGTGGAGGAGAAATGAATTGGAATGTATGTAGTAGTGCATGTGTGAGCTTTAGAGCCAACGACGTAGACTCTCATGGTGGAGGATCGTCGTCTCTGCAAATGTTGAGAATTGAGTAGGGTGAAAGCAGCTCTCGTTGCTGTATCGTATCGTATCCCAGGGGGGAAAGTGAGATAAGTGTGAGAGAGAATCCTTCTCAGTTCGACCAAAAGTGATATGCATTAGGTAGCAAATTCTTATGTTTGTAAATTTACTCTTATTGTTGAGTGAAGAGTTTCACTTTTTTGAAACCTACTCAAACTTTTATTTAAAGTTGTATTGTGTGCATTTACGTATACGAATAAAGTCAGTAGGCTGACTTCGCACGTGCATTTCTAACGTGGACACGGATGTACAGTCCTCCTGCGATATATGGATATAGCCATGATTTTACATATCACCATAATCTATACAATGCAATGGAATGTTATTAAAAGTTTTCGTAATCTTGAGAACCGTGCATGTGGAAGAAGAGTCTTATCTCACAGTTTTATTCTGTTTTCCCGTTGGGACAAGGAACGCCAAAAATAAAGTCCACATACATTCTTGTCCATATTTAGTTTCTCAATACAAACTTATGGAGGAAATTGCATGTGGGCACAAGAAAAGCCAGGTCAGATCAGGGGAAAGTCTGCAGCAGGATCAAGTGAAAGTTGAGATATAGAGCGGAAGCAGCAGTTAGTGGTCTCTCTCTACATAAAGATGTATGCACATGTGTACATAGTATAGCAGGTTGCACTGTCAACGGCACGAAACTTAGAACCAAGGCGACAATGTACAAAGTCTACGTTTCAATTTAATCTCAAGTCCCTTCCACTCTACCCGGATACAAACCAGTATTCAACACTTTTGTCCAAAAGACTTTGGCTGAGGAGAGGTTTGAAACATGAGTCTAGCACTTTTAGTCTGATGGTTTTATTCATAAGAAACAGAATGTTATGGTTTTTTAAATGCTACATATATTCCTTCCGACCTGGTGCTTTCTCTCGATAAATAATTCCCAACATGGTAAATAAGTCAAGAATTTAAGCACTGGTGTCCTCACAGAACAATAGATATATACGATTACACACGTCATATACTTATACATAAGTATTTCGTATGTAAGGAAGACTTTAATGTTCGCAGCATGTGTGTATATTATCTCAAGGGGTCTCATATCTTATAAATCTGTGCACATGGACTGACATTTGCACGCGCACACATACATAGAGTATAAATAATATGTAACCTCTTGGGAGAAAGCCGAGGCGTCACCTTACTGTCGTATCAATGTACATTTCTTTTTTTCAAGCTTTTAAGAGGATGGGAAAGCAATCATTGTCGTAAAATAAGCGGCTTATTTTTTGCGTAAGAATATGAACAGATATATAATATGACTTTTTAAATTTTGATGGATGATTGATGGAACCGTATCACAAATCTCTCAACGTATGACATTACTATAAGCTCCAGAAGTGGAAGTAGGCTGAAACTTTGAATTGCAAACCCAGAAATCATAAATGATGTTACACATCTAAAGTGAAAGTACAAAAGGTTCTCTGATTTCACTAATTTGACACCCAAGGACAACATAACTTTTCGACGTTGATGATATCGTAAAAGTTGTACTTTCACATAAAAGCCTATCATCATCTCCATCTCTCAAGGAGTCAAGATTGGGAGTATCTTTTATTATTGCTTCCTTGTCTCGAAGAAGAAGACTAAAATTACTGGAAATGGAACTGAGTTAGATGACAGCGAATACCCACAGAAATCAACAACCGACAACAACAAAGTTTTATTGCTCATAACATATTTCTGACGCTTGCCGTTGCTGTTACATCTGTTGTATCAATGTTGTTACATCTTTTCGCTCTTCTCCGTTGTCCGCTCTCCCGTGTGTTGCGAACATTTGCGAAAGTCCCAAAAATTTGGATTAGTTGGAAAATGTATAAATGTCTCATTTCATTTCGCATTTCATCGTATCACAGCAGATTAAGCACATCAGACCAACTATGAAATTGCTCCGTGCCACAAAAGATTTAAGAAATGTTCAAGATAGGAAAGGATAGAAATAAACACATGGAGACGTGGATGCTCTTGGGGTTTCCAGATTTAATTCGCATTTTCCATCTTGGTTTTATTATCAAAATGTAGCAAAAGGATTTTATCATCGCAGCTCTTGTCGACGAGTGTTCTCATTCCAGCAAGTAAGACAGAAGGGCGTATAAATAAGTAAGTCCTTGGAGGAGTGGTACATATTTATCTAGTGAGCAAGCACTAGTAAGTACTTACATAAGTGGCAAGTTGAAGAATTTCGACCACGGCGACGTGAATGAAACGGGACTGAAATTACACTACTATTCTATGGCATATATGCATAGATCTATGTATGACCACATCACACGTTTGATGGAAATGCAATGGTGAAAGTCCACGCAACATGATTATTGCGATCAAATCATCAATTCCTAACCTGATAATGCAGATGGTGGTTATGACTGGAACATTGATTTTAGGCAAAGATTGTATAAGTTTCTCCTTTCGTGTACAGAACTGTAAAGCTTGAACACAATCCCATGCAACGTCATCCCCAAAAACGAGCAAATTGGATATTCGTATAAGCTTTCATACATATGGAAAATCGGATTCCATTCAGTGTAAATCTAATCATATGCTTCAGAATACCACAATCACCACAATCAAAAACCAATTGAAGAATTGAAAGTGAGAATATTGAAATTACGTTGAAAATCCATTTTTACAAAAATGAACATTCAATTTCGCATTTTTTTGCCCACGCACATTTCAGGATCAGACTTTGCAATACATAAATTCGTAAGATACATAAATTTGCAAAATAAAGACTGTACCTTTAGGAAGTTCAACTTCAAGGTTGTCAAAATAAGCCTTGTGTAGCCTCCGATCACTCGACATGCACAACTATAAAACAGTCGGACGTCACGGGTTAAAAATTGAGTTTGACAAATGCATGCATGTAATATCATATCACATGTACCACAAGTCACGAGTAGAGGTGGGTGTAGAGCTTACATAGTAGATTGTAGATGTGATTAGATATTTGTGGAAGGATTTTGTTTTTGCTGGACCAGGAAACGTAAATGACTTACACCAATAAGCAAGCGAAATAAAGCTGCAATTTTTTGCTGACGATTGAAATTTGCAGAAATAACAGCATTTTGTGATAACACGTTCTGTGGGACATAAATCACACACATGTCGCCACCGCTCCCTTGGTCGAAACCATTAACATTAGCTTTCCAGCTTCTTGGTTTATTAGTTTGATTAGGAGAAAATACTGTCCGGTGCAGTTTTTTTTCTTTTCTGAAAAAATAACTTTCACTTATAGGTAACATGTCACGTAGTCTACTCCATTAAATATGTCGAAAATAATTTAATAATAAATTCATTTTTTATTTGAAATTTGATCTGTTAGCAATATTGTAATTAAAAGATTGGCTCATTATGTATACTCTTAGCTCTAATAATAATTAAATAATAATTAAATTGGAACATTACATCTTATATCTACCGTTCATATTGCTGGTAATTATTCGTAAGCACGAGACATGATACATAAAATAAATAAGTCTTCAGAGGTTAATCGACATCACTTTCAGATGCAGATGAAACGACTTCATCCACCAGGTTGCTATTCATGAGTCTGGATTTGTATCTGTTGTACATCCCTCCAAGTCCGTCGTCACACCCATATTCGGACGAGTAAACAAACGCTCCGTCATCATCGCTCGATAACTCTTCTCCTGTCAAAATAACATTATAATTATAAGCTAAGCTCTGACTGTAAGGTATTTTATCAGTGAACTATCAAACCTTTCAATCCAAAATTAGCAAATTGACCAACTATATCATCTTGTTGGTCATATCCATAAGATTGACTAAAATCCAAATAATTTGACAGCATAATAAATACAATTACTACTTTGTGTACATAACTGCTACGTGCTCACAAAAGGAAATATTATATTGATTTTAACACTACTTCTATCCTTGTGGAAACCAAATTTATTTAGAAATCAAATACGTAAATCCCGAATAATGCCAAAAATTGTTACCCAGCCGGGAATCGAACCACGGCTCCCTTGAATTCATGTCAAGTGCTCTGACCTCTGAGCTACTAGGGCAATTAGTAACATTATAGGGACTTTTACTGATATTTGTCTGTGGCCTTTTTCTGTGAATTTCTACTTTCTTTTACGGTGGTAACGAAAGGTAAACTTGGTAAACTGCGTGAAATTGTTGTTGTTGGTTTTGCACCTCCAGATCAGGTCTTTTGGTGTTTAGTAATCTAGGCCGGACATTTTGACCAAAATGATATAAATCGGTTAAGAAATGACGGATTTATTCAATTTTAAACACCCAGCATTCAATAAAATTATTCCGGACCAAACTACTGAAAAGGGGTAGTGCAATGCAGTCATCCAATGGAGAATCTAATCACCCAATTAAAAGTTATAAATAAACAAGGTCCCTAAAAAGGGGAAATCTTAGTGAGGGAGTGCAATCACAACTAATAAATAAAATTAGATTGGAGAATTTTTGCATCACCGCTCTCGGTACCATTTTTACTGGAAGCATTAATCGTTTAAATAGAACACTTGCTCCCTCAAAAGGTTCGATGATTTTGCATAGAGTAGCCAAATTAATATATCAAATTGAAATTTGTATATTTTTTTAAACAAATACGTAGCTCATAATTATTTAGCCATCATATCTTACATATCTACCTCAGTTAATTTAACCCACTTCTCGTTCACTACACAGTAAAAATGTATTCCTTCCTCAATTTATTCAATAAAACTAAGAATTCATGCGTATGCAAAGAAAAATTTATACTGCATCCAGTAAAAATGGTACCGAGAGCGGTGGTGCAAAAATTCTTCAATCTAATTTTATTTATTAGTTGTGATTGCACTCCCTCACTAAGATTTCCCCTTTTTAGGGACCTTGTTTAATATTATATTGTTTACCTGATGTCTGGGTCACTATCGGGGTAATCATTTCGCCAATTATCTTCCTCGTTTGAATCCTCGTCGTCCTCAGGTCGTTCTTGATCTGATTCATCGTCATGATCAAAATCAAATTCATAATCATCATCTGCTGGACGGACACTACCAAAAATTCCACATTAACATAGGCCACAGTGTAATTTAATCAATGCTCTTAATTGAAATTTATTACCTCACAAACTGGTTTTGAAATTGGTCTTCCGTCATTACATCTTTGGCAACATACAAATCAAATACGAATCCAGATTTAGAAGAAATAAGAATATTTGACGCTTCGGTGGTATTGTCATTTTTCACCATCGGAACTCCATTCACCGTGATACTACCGATCTAGAAAAGCAGAAAGTGGAGGTTAACTTCATTTGTAAGATATTTTATTAGGAACTAAACACCAGCTTACTTCACGGACATCCGTGCTAGAACGAGGCTTCTTTTCGGAAGATGGCTCATTCTCGTCGTCGGCGACAAGGTCGAGTAGATTGAACAACAGCGTTGGCTCATTTTCATCATTCTCGTCAACTCCTTCAATCAGCTTATGGCCATCAACATCTATGCTTTCCGCATGTGGCAAACCACGTCGTTGAGAAATAACCTGAATATAAATAAATATGTACGAGTCAGTATTCGGATTTCAGTTTCGATATCAGAAGATTTTTTCTGTTATTGCCCCCTCTAAACGTTTGGACTTTTTAGTATGCATTTTTTGCATTGTATTGACCTAGTGCAGTTGATAAAATTAAAATTAACAAATTAAAAATACAAATGTTGGGCGCGGGCAGTAGCAGAGTAGCGGAAAAAAATCGTATGTAAAGATGTAAAAAATATATAAAATATGTAAAAAAAAAACTCACTCGAAACCGATTGTCCACTGCATGTTGTTTGACATCTTCTTTGGCTTTCTCAAGGTGACGAAACGATTTTCTTTGCTTATAAGGTCGGTTGGTTTCCCGAGCTTTAATTTTTTCAAATCTTTCCAATGCTTTTGTACGTTCAACAATTTCCAGAGCGTCCTTGATTGTTTTTGAAATGGATCTGTCGTCATCAACCTGAAGAAGAAATTTACCCAATTATGAATTTCCCCTCGGTTAAAGTATTTATTTGTTGTTCAGGTTCAGATTATATTATGACTAATTTAATTACCTCATCATTATCAACCGTCCCAGCCAAACGAAACACTCGGTTGATTTCCTCTGTTGGAATCTCATCAGCACCGAGCATTAAATTGTTGCTCTGTTTGCATCGCTTGTAGGACATTACCAAAATTTTGGAAGGGGATTCTTCCATCCGCCGCTTCATCCTTAATACCGTTTTCGTGGTACTGAATTGTATATCAGAAGAGTTTTGCATTGAATCAAGCACGGTCCCAGATGGAATCTTCTGGGATGACGTTGACGCTGCCATAATTATTGAGTAAACTGTTACGATTACGAAATTAGGAAATCGTCGTGTTTTCTGAAGACAAGAAAATGGAACCGTCGTCAATCCGGCCTATATTGTCCGTATTAAGATTCTCAAACCTAGCTCTTTTTACGCAACTAATCCTAATTATTGATTCTTAACTATGTCCAATTTATAAACAAGTAGTAGTATTATTAATTTAATAATTTACTGGTGTTGCGCGACCAAAAATTTTTCAATGAGGCACACGCACAAGAAACATCATGATACACGAGGAAAATAAACGACTTTCTTGCCGCGACGAATATTTTTTCTCAACCATTGTGCATTGAGTCTCATCCGCACTCAAAGTCTATGAATTTTATTGTGTTTTCAGATTATTTTTACAAAACTCCTGTATACATAAATTTCTCTTTGAAAGTTAAGGCGTATAAAATAAAATGGACTTTGTAGATAAGTTATCTAAGATAAAACTATTCTCTAGTAGCTGCCTTAGGATTTTACGTTTCGTATGCAAGGTCTCATCTCCTTATTAATCAAGGTATCATCGCTTGGGCTTATGTCGTGAGTCCCAACTCGTGATAAACGGGAATTGAAAGGAATTATTGGACTTTTATTTTTGACACCAAGTCATAATCCCACCAGTGTCAAGTTGACACCACTGTCAGCAAAGTGAACAATGTCCGTCCAATGCAATATGAAATACAAAATATCTTAATCATAAAACATGTAATATATATATACATATTCGTTGTTTTCATAAATAAAATATTTTCAACTCAAAATATTTAAATATATTTAAATTTTTATTCTAAAATTGATTTGAGATGAGACGCAACTTGTAAGTTAACTTGTATCACAGTGAACATGCATTGAACCACATGGAGTGAGGGTGGCGGTGTCTAAAAATTCGGCACTTCTCTTGATGGGAGAATTTTCATAATTCACCTTTTCAGATAAATTTTGAAATACTGCGTCAACAGGGCACAACCGTTGCCACCGGTTCGTTCAGGGTTCAAGTGACCGTTTTAACGAGCGATTTCCTAGTCTATAGCTTGTTTGTTAAAAGTCGAACCTCATTTTAATATCAAAGAGAGATTGAGAATATTTTCAAAATGTGGGCAAGGAAATCAGTTATTGGTAAATTTTTGAAGGCAAATCCTTCCAGCAGCTCCTCATTGTCATTGGTTGTATCTGGGTCGAGTGTTAAAACGGTAAGGAATGTCGTTAGCAAGCTATATGCATTGTTTTCATATAGTCTATTTTCTAGCCTAAGGTTTATTCAATTGCCTTTAATAGTTAGTTTATTTTTTATTTTCAGTGTTGCTCGAGACAATTCAACTCCACAGCTGCTAGGCAGAATTTCCTTCAATTGCAAAATTCAAGAAATGTGTCATCTCTATTTTCCAAAACTCAAAGGCACGACAGAGCAATCGCAGGATATCTTATCATTTGTAGAAATGATTCCACAACAGCCACTACCACGACGATACCACCATTACATTCAGAAGTTTTCAGTAAACAAAGTACGCAAAATAATTATTCGACATGGCTGAGCTATTCATATTAATTCATGACACAGTAAATTTATTTTAAACATTTATCTGTACACTGTCCACTGTATGTGCTTCACTTTCAATTCAATTCTTTTGTATTCTGTATTGCAGTTGAACAAAATGTGTCCACTTTGTCAGCATCTTCGACAATAACTCCTGCAGCTTCTCCTGTAATCGAAACTCAAGCAAGTACAGTTGCTGCAACAGAAACTATAGGCGCAACATCGTCATCTGTAGCAGAGAAATCCTTGACATGGGAAAGCATTCCCGAACCCCCTAGTATCCCTAATCCCATCGAGGAATTGACAACTTTGGTATTATCGTCTAATGGTGAGCCTACATTGGCAAGTTTAGGACTGGGAGGATGGAGTCCATCTGGAATAGTTCAGCAGTGTCTAGAATTTGCACATGTTAGCATCGGTTTGCCATGGTGGAGTTCTATTATGCTTGGTAAAAATTACAAAATAGCATCATGATACGTTATGATTTCATTTTATGTTGTTGTAGGAGTCGTCTGTGTTCGTTTATTAGTTTTCCCATTGGTTGTCAAAAGCCAGAGGAACGCTGCTAAAATGGCAAACAACATGCCACAGATGCAAGCCATTCAACTAAAAATGACAGAAGCACGGCAGACGGGGAATGCTCTGATGGGTAATTAAATATATACATTGTTTCCTTTTTCGATGAATTTAATTTGGAAATTGTGAATTTCAGCGGCCAAATATGGTCAAGATATGATGGTTTTCATGAAAGAAAAGGACATTAGTCCGTTTAAAAACATGTTAGTTCCTCTTGCTATGGTACGTGATTTTTAAATTAGTTATTAATAAATATAGTCTGACAATATCTTTACCATTTTCAGGCTCCAATATTTATTAGTTTTTTCTTTGGTCTTCGGAAAATGGCCAACCTTCCTGTTGAAAGTATGAAAGAGGGTGGACTATTTTGGTTTGCCGATTTGACAATGGCAGATCCCTACTTCATTTTGCCTATTCTCACCAGTATAACAATGTGGATTACATTGGAGGTGAGATAGATACACTAGTTCGTAAAATTGTATATTAATATTAAATTAATGCAAAATATGTACATATGAACAAGGTTGGGGTCGATGGCGTTCAAATAAATGCGTCACAACATGGTCAATTGATGAAATACTTCATCAGAGCAGTGCCGATTATAATGGTGCCAATGACAATGAACTTTCCAGCAGTGAGTAACATTTGTATTTAACCGTTTTCAGACGTAAAGATATTTCAATCATGATAAAAAATACATTCTTATGATTTTGAAAGGCAATTCTTTGTTATTGGGTGTCTACGAACGCAATTTCTCTTTGCCAAGTTAGTCTCATGAAACTTCCAGCCATTCGCAAGAAATTAAATATTGAGCCAGTAAGGAAGTTTAGCCCAGATGCTTTGCCTATGAAAAAGAAAAAGTTTATGGAAAGCGTAAAAGATTGTAAGTCTAAAATTTAAATTACATATGTATTTCATAGACAGTAATATAGGAAGTTAGGAAGATTTACTTCAGACAATGAGTTGCAATACAATAATTTTCACAATCCGCCTTACAGCGTGGACAAATGTCAAGATTACAAAAGAAATGGAAGATCGCCAACGATATGATGAAATGAGCTTTAGACGAGCAGGGAGAGGTCCTATTCCCAAGACGTACAAGTACGACCCAACGAAAACTTCTTTACCAGCAAATGCAATTCAGGCGAAACCAAAACATTGATAATCTTTTTGACCACCCTATTATATGTATCGAGTTGTATTAGTATTAAGTAAGGTTAGATGCCACAAATAAATATATACTGTCCAATTTTACGTTGCATTTATTAGATATGCATTATTTATCAGACAACGGGAACGGGTTTGTTTTGAACTATGTATATTTATTAGAGAGTAAGTGTTTTCATTTTTTAAATATCAACGGGTGGGTTCACGTTTCCCACGATCATCAATGTAATTCATCATTCTACTGCTACTCATGAAATCTTACTATGCATAAACAAACAATAGTTGATATGCAACGCCACAACAGGCCACTTTCTATTAATTCAAACCCAAACATTATTTCAAGTTTCTTAAAAGATGTACATTTTTTTAGGTAATGCTAGTAGTAAGTAAATATGGTTAACTTGTACAAAATTATCAGTAGTAACTAACATTTTCAAGCAGGGGCACATTCTTTGATTTCATTCAAAAGCTTCTTTGCGTACTCGGCATAATTAACCGGGTGTAGCTCCAAAACGGAATGTTTCAGCCTGTTTTCGCTCTGCACAAAAATAGACCAGTTTAAAATTTCTAATACATATGAGTACATACCCTGCACACGTAATACATTCTTACGTTGTAGGTTTCCATTTTGCATCTAAATTTGACAATGTAGCTCTTGAAAGCAGCATCTTTAATGATTCCGTCAAACTGATCAGGATCATCGTTCGAAATCGGTCCCAAAGTTTCTGAAGGGAGTCCAAAAACAATTTCTGCTGTCTCTTGGAAGCACGTAGCCCAGACATTACTTGAGCAATCTGCAAAATTTACGTTTGCCATTGCCCTCCATTTGAAGTCGCTGCTCTCTTTATTACACTTTTCGCACCGGAAAAAGCCATTCCCACCATCAATTACCTAATTACGTAGAATTAAACAATATAATTTAAAAACTTGTTAGTAGTATCAAACAAGTATTATTTGTATTATAATTATGGATGTAAATTAAAAGTTGTACGACGCACCTTCTTATTACATTTTTCCCCTGGACAAGCTCTGTACATGGCATTATCGCGTTTTATAGCCACAATGGTGGTCTTACACATGTAGTAATCTCCTTTATCCTGAGCAGCAGGATTATTCATTGTGTTCGCTTCTCGTATCAATTTCCAAGGAGTCCCAGTTCCTTGATAAAGACAATGATAGTTATGTATTATGATTATGACTGTCCACAAAAATCAAAGAAAAATACGAGTTTAAAATACCTCCTGGAGCTCGTGACATACTCAGACTATGCGACTCCGTGTGCAGTCCTACATTATCATACCACCCTCTTAATACGTGGGCTTCAGGGATATCAGGGTTCACCTTAAATAATAAACATCAAATGCATTAAAGCAAATTCATAGTGCATGAATGCATACATCGATGTGCTAATGTGTTTCTTCGGTTTGTGCAGGTTATTTCGACAGTTGAATAATAGTTATGAAAAAGAGTAAAAAAAATATGCGACATGAAAATGACTAAACACGAGACTAACGTACAAGCATTGAAGAAGACATCATGCAGGAAATACTCTTTCCGTTGTAGTCCGACACTTTCGCACCCTTAACAGCAACGACCGGATTGCTGTCATCCTGAAAGTCTTCGGCTTGCTTTCCCCACAAGGTAAGATTGATCTAAATTGTAGTGAGCAGAGTTTATTTATTTAGCGAGCCTATGCTTCTTACTACTACTAATAGCTTTAACTAGTTTACGCTTTACCTCTCTGTTAGTCTTATCAACCAGTACAATATCCCTCTTTGTCAGTTCTTTATTTGTAGTTCTTGCAGTGAAAGTCTGCAAATCCCCAATTTTTTTGCACACGCCAATAACATCTGCAGCATATTAATAATAACGTTAATTTGTTATTTATTAGTCATAGTCAGAATTGTTAAATGTGTACCATATATATGGCTTACCAATAATTCTGTCTTTTTCGGCAACCTCAATATTTGCAATTTCCACAAACTCGTAAGATACCACGGGAATATCTGATGCCTCGGCATCAGTGCAAAGAGTAAATTGTGTATCTTGATTAGCACTCAGTTCGTAGTCATTATTCAAAGTCGAGAAATTTTTGTTAGCTGATTTCACACTGAAATTTCGGAAAGTGTAGACACATCCAACCTATTAATTAAATCAATAATACACTCAATAAATAATTGAAGAATACACGGAATAGTATGGTTCTGATGGAATAAGAGCAAACCTTGATCAATTCATACATCTGGTCGACTTGTTGATTAAAGGCAGTCATACGAATTTCTCCACTGTCATCCAACAAGTCCATACTAAACAATTTGCCTTCTCCTCTAGAATTCGACCAAGTTTTGACTTGTCCCTTGTTGGTTACTCGAACTTTTACTCCAATTTTACTAAAATGGAAAGAAATCATACAGACTTGTAGGATAATGTATTCCTACAATCCGATCCAATCGACAACATGAAGTTAATATTATTAATTACGCTGTCGACCTACCTACTGTTGTAGGGATTAATATCCCGAATTGGCATTACGGCTTCACTATCTGATCCAAATCCAGTATCCCACTTTCGAGGATTTGGCGTAGGCCGGTCGGCATGTCCAGCGGATTCTTGAACTACTGATAATGAATACATAAAATGTTATCTAGCTTTGCTCATAAAGTACATGCACTGAGCTTACTAGTCAGGGACTTACCTCTAAACGGCCGATTTAAATTTGATCCAGCATGTGAAGTATCTGCCTGAGATGCGCTTCCACCTTCGACAAACTGTACAGGGTTTCCAATTTTAACTTTCATCTCAGTACCAGTCGCCAGTACCGTCAACTCAAGAATGATCAGAACACGTCTGTTAAATAAAAAGTAAAGCAAAGCATTCAAACACAATTCACCAAAATTGCCTTAATAGTGTATATCAATTGAAGACTATATATCCAATATTATGCAATTATTACTTCTCAGAGACTGCATTAGATACAATTTTATCGGCTCGGATGACACAAAAATTGTCCAATTGTCCATCAGGAATCATGTGGTTTAATTGGGTCGCTAACATGGCAAAAGTATGAGAGTGCGTTCCATCGGAAATGTTGAGACGATACCGGTCACTTCCACCTTGACCTGCAATCTTTTTGAAACCCTGTGAAACGAAATTAATCCAAATCATATTAGCATAAAAGCCCATGGCACAAAGTCAGTGAATGTTCAATATTTTAATGGTTCATACCAAAATTTGGAAGATTGGTTTGTCAAGCTCCTCTCCTCTCATCAACTTCTGCAATATAAATATTCAGACTTCAAAACAATATCAAACTATTTCTGATTTAGTGAGACCTAATCATTATTTTAAACAACAGTTAGTTTTATTTTCATTTCCAAATCGCAACTTCGAATCTGAAATTCAGATTCTGAATGTTTACTTACTAAAAGAATTCAACTTACCGAGACCCCACGTTCCGTCAATTTATGATTGAAAACCATTTTGCCTGTCCCCTTCTATAGTTTATTTAACTCAATGCAAGGAAAACAACTAACAATTGTAATTTGCTGGAAATTTAATTCCGGTAGTTTTAGCCGGAAACGAAACTTTACTCAAGTCAAGCAAAGGAAAAAGTGGAGGACTGCGCTCCGAGTTCGACTTTGACAAAGAAAATATCTCTCATTCCCTCCACACGATCAAAACGTTTCCCTCGTCTCACCCAGTACAACGAGCTGAACGAGACGCATTAGACGCGGCGATAAGCATATAAATCACATTTTTGTGCCAAAAATCTATCAAACCGTCATTATTACGTTTTCAATCAAGACAAACTCTTTTGATCGAAAATGTATATCCTTTAAACATTTGCATATTTAATTCTCGTTTTGTATGTAGGCAATACCAGTCTGGGGACAATTGAGAAATGTCATGTGGTCTGTGAACGGCCATTCCGTGCGCTACAACGTCCGATCCTAAGAATAAAAGATGCTTCAAAGTCTCACATTCGTTCATCCTACGACATACAAACACTTTTACCTAAGACATAATTTTGACGTGCAACTCAGTTTATCGCAATGACTGGCCGTGGAAAGGGAGGAAAGGGTCTTGGAAAGGGGGGTGCCAAGCGTCATCGTAAAGTCCTGCGTGACAACATCCAAGGAATCACCAAGCCTGCCATCCGTCGTCTCGCTCGTCGTGGAGGTGTCAAGCGAATCTCTGGTCTTATCTATGAAGAGACCCGTGGAGTCCTCAAGGTTTTCCTTGAAAATGTCATCCGAGATGCTGTCACTTACACCGAGCACGCCAAGAGGAAGACGGTCACCGCCATGGACGTCGTCTACGCCCTCAAGAGACAAGGCCGCACCCTCTACGGATTCGGCGGTTAAAAGGTTGAAATGAACCTCCTCCATCTCGATCTTATCATCATGTTTTCATACCCCAACGGCCCTTTTAAGGGCCACCACATTCTCCAAAGAGCAAATTTACTGGCGTGCCCAGTAGTGTTGTTGAAAGAACAGAGATGTTGAAAACAAATAAATTATTTTATGTTGTTACAAAGAAAAGCCTTTATTTATCCAGCGTTGTGTGTGATTCTTAAAGAATAAATCCATGTAAATATAGTCATCATTATCATCATACTCATTATGTTTCGAAACAAATTGCATTTATTTGTTCTCGTTCGTTCGCTTCCGAGCATGGCCAGTTAGCCCCGTGTAAACACAACAATGGCGACGCTTCCAAAGAACCCAAGCTCGAGGGACCAGCATTGAGTTGGTTGACCCCTTTCAATGTTGAAGATATTCTCATTTGAATCTCACCACCTCATCCGTTGAGTTACGGAACCGAAGTTGGCAACTCAGGCTTCTCATATAAATACGATTTCTGAGCAAGTGGTCCGCACATTCTGCTAGTTCTGCTGTACTTCAACATTACAAATCGATCACAAAGCCAAACAAGTTTCTCAACATGCCCCCAAAAACCGGAGGAAAGGCTTCAGGAAAGAAAGCCGTGTCGAAGGCCAAGAACATTTCGAAGGGGGACGGGAAGAAGCGTCACCGCAAGAGGAAGGAGTCCTACGCCGTGTACATTTACAAGGTCCTCAAGCAGGTCCACCCCGACACTGGCGTCTCCTCCAAAGCCATGTCCATCATGAACTCCTTCGTCAACGACATTTTCGAGCGAATCGCCTCCGAAGCGTCCCGTCTCGCCCACTACAACAAGAGGTCAACCATCACTTCTCGGGAAATCCAGACGGCCGTTCGCCTCCTCCTCCCAGGAGAACTCGCCAAGCACGCTGTCTCTGAGGGCACCAAAGCTGTGACCAAGTACACCTCCTCCAAGTAATCACACAAATCAAATAAGACTACAAAAACAAGACCCGAGAGATGTTTTAAGCTCTAAAGATGCAGATGACCATGTATTATTTAAAGTTCAACATTCTGAATGTGAAGGAAACCCAACGGCCCTTTTAAGGGCCACCACATTTTCCTAAGAGCAAGTACCATAAATAAAGCAGTACAAAACTACAAAATAAAGCCTGAGAGCACATAATAATTTAATTTCGCGTTTTCTTACATTTCATTTGCTTTGCATGAGCAATTATTTGTAGCTATTCAAACGAGATGGGTGTGGCTAGGAAGAGGGACGTTAAAGATTAGAGTTTCCATGTATGATGTACTGTCTCATTTTATCTGCGTTTGCAATATGTGCGGACGTATGGTTGACCACTCGGACTAGTTCGAGTGATAATTTTTCAATGAGAAATTCTCATTGAAAAATTATCACTAATTCTCAATGAGAATTAGTTTCCAATGCATACCACCCCATTGATAATGCACACCTTAAATTATTCGTCATTCTGAATGACTCCATATATGAGCGATCTGGTAAGGATGTGCTATTCCATGGAATGACTCCTTCATTACATTTGTATATTTGCTTTCTTCTTCTTCCTGTCGTTATGATAAAAGTCGCAGCAAACGAAGTGATACAGTATTTGGGGGCAAAGTGACACACGTGGGGGTCGCGAGCGTTGGGGACCACATTTTCATTTTCACGAGGAGAACTCAACGCTACAAACTCAACCCACCGCTACGGAAACTCAGACGCTTGGTATAAATTCAAGCTCGACCCGTTTTTCTGCATCAATCGCACTCTAAACTGCAGAGTAGAAACGCTCAGTGGTCACACACATTTTCTCAACAAATCTCATCATGTCCGGTCGTGGCAAGGGTGGAAAGGTGAAGGGAAAGGCAAAGTCTCGATCCAGCCGTGCAGGACTCCAGTTCCCGGTGGGTCGTATCCATCGTCTTTTGAGGAAGGGCAACTACGCCGAACGAGTGGGTGCGGGTGCCCCCGTTTACTTGGCTGCCGTCATGGAGTACTTGGCCGCTGAAGTTCTCGAGTTGGCCGGAAACGCTGCCCGAGACAACAAAAAGACCAGGATCATCCCCCGTCATCTTCAACTCGCCATCCGAAATGACGAGGAATTGAACAAGCTGCTCTCCGGGGTCACCATCGCTCAGGGAGGCGTCCTTCCCAACATCCAGGCCGTCCTCCTCCCCAAGAAGACTGAGAAAAAGAGTGCTTAATAAGTATTCTCCAGAGTTTATGGTTTTATTTTGCACACAAATAACCACATCTCAATCTACCTGACATCATCGCAGGCGAAGAAGAAGATACGTCAGCCACTCCAGTCATCGGATGATTATATGCAAAAATTAAGTTGAAACCAACGGCCCTTTTAAGGGCCACCACATTTTCCAAAGAGCAAAATCCTGATGAAAAATGCTTTTTTGTATACCTATATCACATGAATTAAACTTGTGTAAACGTGTTATGTTATGTTATTTAGAGAACAACTTCTTATTGGAGTATAGAGTGCAATGTCTCGTGCTTGCATGAAGTGATCTATAAAAGTACAAATAATTTATTTACCCTGAAACGTACAGTACTGGAATTTTGTTACAATAAATGTATTCTCAAGTCCATCAATCCTTCATACATAAATGCACTTATTTATATTATCATTTGCTAAACAAGAATCATAATTTGTTTCCAAAAGATACTCCACTGCACTAAATAGTGGGACATTATGGTAGCATGAACTTTTCAGAATGTAACATTTAGCCACCTTCTTCGTATTAGATAAATGAATCATCACACCAGCTTCTTTATCTGACGTTGTTACAATCCATCCAATGACTAACTATGTATGTGCATTCATACACAAACTATAATAAAATAAATTATTTCTTCCTTACATTTTCATAGAACAAAAGCACGCTCATTTTGTAAAGTTTGATTTCCTCCATTTTACATAGTTTCGTTTCATAAAACCATTTCATGAACTGAACCACATTCGTACATATACAGCTCACAAATAGCGTTGACCCAAAAGGAAGGTTGAGCTGAACCCCGAAACACAATGAACAGAGAGAGAGCGTCGAATCCTTCGCAGCATTGTGATCGTCGACCCCTTCCTGCCAACCATTTCAGACCCTCGCTCTGAGTTCTCCGAAACCCAGCCATTCTTCTCAACGACGACCCTTTTTCCCTCCACCTCGCCTGAGTTCTCCGCAACTCAGCCTCCTCATATAAAAGCCTTTCCGACGCAACTCTCCATTACCACACTCTCTATCAAAACGCTACAGCAGAGTTCGAGCTAAAACTAGCATTTCTCAACATGCCCCCAAAAACCGGAGGAAAGGCTTCAGGAAAGAAAGCCGTGTCGAAGGCCAAGAACATTTCGAAGGGGGACGGGAAGAAGCGTCACCGCAAGAGGAAGGAGTCCTACGCCGTGTACATTTACAAGGTCCTCAAGCAGGTCCACCCCGACACTGGCGTCTCCTCCAAAGCCATGTCCATCATGAACTCCTTCGTCAACGACATTTTTGAGCGGATCGCGTCAGAGTCCTCCCGCCTTGCCCACTACAACAAGAGGTCAACCATCACCTCTCGGGAAATCCAGACGGCCGTTCGCCTCCTCCTCCCAGGAGAACTCGCCAAGCACGCCGTCTCTGAGGGCACCAAGGCCGTCACCAAGTACACCTCCTCCAAGTAATCACACAAAGACTGCGACAAAATCCGAGATGTGGTCCTCCAATAGTATTTTTTGTTTCTTTTATATCCAACGGCTCTTTTAAGGGCCACCACATTTTCCAGAGAGCAAACTACCTTTCTTGAGTAAAATGAAATGATCTCATTCCATTATTTTGACGTTTGACGTGTTCATGCATTTGTATTACTCAATTACTTATTTAATTGGCTGTTTTCTCAATTGGCATAATCTTCATAGTTTCATAAAGCACGACAGCAGTTCGACGATACAACTGAGTCAAGGCACTTAAGAGGCATAGCATTGCAATAAAGTTTGTTGACGTTAAAGCCGGGGGATGCATAAGTGTATGTAGCACGCAAAGTTCGCCTGTATACGGAATATTATTTCTTTATACCAATCTTTATTGTTTTTTAGTTTTATTCCATACGTACCACAATTGCAGTATATCAAAAAAGTAGACAATAGATAATATTACCATATTCATCCTATTTAGTAACCCCTTAAAATAAACAAAAGAATGATACTGATAAACAAGAGAATGAATGGAAAATACGGAGAAAATTTTTAATTTAGGGTATTCTTTTGCGTTAAACAATTTTTCAATTTAAATAAGGGCTACTTGTCTTGTTGAACAGAACATATATAAATGGAGTAAAATTACAATTGAAGTGATGCGGCACTGGTTTCAACCTCCATTTCAGCTTCGCCACCAGGACCATCTTCTGGTGGCGGAGCATCATCCCCATCAACGCCTGGCCCTGCGGGTGCACCTCTGCCCTTTCGCTCCGATGGGTCCAATAGATTTAAAAATGGATCGACAGTTTCGTCATCATATCCAACAAATTCGTAATCCTTCCCAACAATTCCAATGCTCACATTCTGCAAAAATAGGCAAATTATTTTTATGTGCCTTGTCAATACTTTACAACCAACAACTTAACAAGAACCAATTGATCATATTTTGCTTTGCTATTTCGAAACATACTTTGTTAGTTAATTCCATTTCTGCAGGTAATGTGTCCCTCAGGGCTCTCAAAGCATGAGCAACGAGTTGATTCAAATCGCTATCGGAAAATTCATCGAGATGTTTCTCCATGTATGTCCTGGCAGATTGTGATCTCGCTCCGATGGCCATAGCCTTACAATCATAGTAATTGGCAGATGGACAAGTTTGGTAAAGGTGAGGACCTTTGGAGTCATAGCCAGCAACTAACAATCCTACGCCATAAGGTCGACGATCGTAACGTTGCGTCGACAACTGCATTTTGTTTCCCAACATGTTCATCAAGCGACCAATTGGCAAAGGCGAGTCTCGAGCGTACTGGTAGTTCAGACACTCTGTTCGCATCCACCGAACCATGAGACGAGCATCAGCAGTAAGACCTACAAATTTATACAAAGCAGTTTTTAATATATAACGTATGTATGTACGTCAAACTACAATTGCGGAATTGTTGTGCGTAAGTTAACTCTAAAAATTACCCGAAATCGACACTCCCATGTGCTGGTCCACTGTAATAATTTTTTTCTGATGGGCTGCAAGGTCAGACGATGCTCGTTTCAAAGCGACCACCACGGCATGAGTGTTAGACTTGATGCCGACGGTCGCGGATCCTTGTTTTACAGCTTCTACTGCATACTCCACTTGGTGAAGACGCCCAGCAGGACTCCAAACGGTCACATCGCTGTCATATTGGTTTCGAAACTACAAATCAAAAGTTATACTGATTAATTCAAATTCATTTTTAGTCTAAATCTAGCTGAAAAGTGTAAAAAACTGTCCCCAACTCGTCACTGATAGCATCAGTTTTACTCAACCGTTCGCGTAGTTAATCTACTAATTATTACAATAGCTCAATGAATAAGATACTCACCATTTTTAAACAGCACAATCAAATAACCACGAGTAGCAATTTGTTTTATTCCGGAAATGAAGAACCTACAAATTTTCAGCCGGCCCGTTTGTGGATTGAATTGTGTATGGAGAAGTTGCAAATCACGATGAGTTTTGGTTTTTGTCACGGCGGCTTTTGCCCCGTTGCTGCGGGGAACTCAACTCGCCTCAATTCGCTTGTCATCATCATAGCTCTGCAGAATCTAATTTCTTCACATCGAAAAAATCTACTTCACTCAAAACCAACCGTGAAAGTCAACCTGGGGTCAAAGGTTCGAGAGAACACATTTTCAAACTAAGGGTAAGCGTTTCAAACTTGGTTTTGATGATAATTTCGTCTTGACATTCGCAATTTTTCCTATTGTAATATTTGTACAACAATTTCACATTCACTTCATGTGCGAAATTTACAGTTCACACTTTCCCCAGGAAAGCATTTTTAAAGTTTTTGAACATTAATTACGACACATTTGTATTTCTACAAACTCGAAAGGTTTTTAAGTTACATATTTAATAGGTTATTGATCGATGGTTTATGGTGTATTACAAGGTCCTGAATTTTACTTAGTTACGTGTCTAAAGTACTACGAACTAAGTAAAATTCAGGACCTTGGTGTATTAAATGTATTCATAATTCAATATGATAAGCGGCAACTACTAATGATAGATTAATTGGTTTTACAGGTAAGCCACTTACGAGTCTATTAGCCAATATGCCTGAAATCTCCGAGGACGTCATTGAGAAGAATCCGGACCTCCAACTTGCACAATGGAAATTTCTTCTTGAACAGCCGAACCTGTCACCTGAGCACTCGAAACCGGAAATTATCAAAAAGTTGTTGGACGTAATCGAACAACAACGGATGTCACCCTTCTATGACGATCTTGTTCGTGACTTGGCTAATATTGATACCAACGTGAAACTGCCCGAGAGTAAGATTGCAGATATGCGGCTGGAAAACACCCAGAAAATACAAGAATATGATGCATACATTGAGGATGCCGAAAAGAACTTGACCGAGATGGAAGTTCGGGAAAAGAATCTTCAAAAGGCAGAGTATCTTTGTCGAATTGGTGATAAGGAGCAAGCTCTTGCTGCTTTCAGGAAAACATACGACAAAACTGTCTCTCTTGGTCAGAGGCTGGACATTGTGTTCCATCAGATTCGAATTGGAATCTTTTACATGGATCATGACATTATTTCTCGGAATATTGATAAAGCCAAAACATTGATTGATGAAGGTGGTGATTGGGATCGACGAAATCGCTTGAAGGTTTACCAGGTGAAAAATGATAATAATTTTCAAACATTTAATATGTTACATGCACGTCACCACCACAATTTATAATCGTAATTTACTTATTATAATTTTCGTGCTAGGGTACTTACGCCATGTCTATCCGGGATTTCAAAACCGCAGCCATACAATTCTTGGACACAATATCTACATTTACATCGAACGAGCTGATGGATTACATTAGTTTCGTCACATACACTGTGATAATGGGTATGATTTCACTTCCACGTAATGAGTTACGAGAGAAAATTATCAAAGGAGCCGAAATCCAAGAAGTTTTACATGGACAGCCCAAAATTAAGGGTTTCTTAATGTCTTTGTACGAATGCAAATATGCTGAATTTTTCAAGTACTTGTCGGAAATTGAAACAGTAAGTTTATCGGACTATTATTATTGCATTATTGCTAAATATAGATTTCTGGTAATAGTGTCTACTATAGTAATTTTGATTGCTAAAAAATGTTTTCTTACGTAGCATATGAAAGAAGACCGTCTCTTGGCCCCACATTATCGCCATTATGTCAGAGAAATGCGTATAAAGGCATACACTCAACTATTGGAGTCATATAGCAGTTTAACATTGAAATATATGTCAAACTCATTTGGTGTCACTGAAGCCTTTATTGATAAGGAACTTCATCGTTTCATTGCTGCGGGAAGACTTCATTGCAAAGTTGATAAAGTGGCAGGTATGTAAACGATACTATTGCATTTTTACTTGTGTTAGAGAACAAATAAGAGTCGATTTCTATGATTAATTATTAATTAATTATTGTAGGAATTGTTGAAACAACCCGTCCGGATAATAAAAACTGGCAATACCAGGCCACCATAAAGCAAGGAGATATTCTGCTAAATCGGATTCAAAAATTGTCTCGAGTTATTAATATTTAACATTTTAATTCATTGCTCTCAGCTAAACTGCATTAATATGTACTTTTCTACTCGTATTGTATATTGCAAAATTCGGTGTTTAACTTGAAACAATAATTAGCATTTTAGCAAATAAAATGGGTCAGCAACATTGATTGTTTGTTTTATAAATAACTGATTTTTCCATTCCATAAATCCATATATTTCTAGTCGACTTTCACCAACCAACACCACTAGCCAATTCTGCATATCAAAAATCATAACTACATTATTTCGTTATTCGTACCCTTGATCTGTGCAAAAAGATTCCAATATGCTTGGCCAAAAGGGTATATAAACTGATGCTAACCTGTCCAGGAAAACGGAAAACGTTGGCTGCACGAATTGTTAGCCGGTTTTGCACATAATTTGCATTGTTGTATTTAGTTGTTACACATTTCGACCATTTGGTTTATCATTCAGGTTCAGCTATATTGCAAAGGATATTTATTTCAATTATCTTCTCCTGCAATTCATCGTTTCGTGTTAATTCCAGTTCTAGAAGGGAATTTGCTGAAAATGGCTCTGAGCAGTGATCAGAAAGTGCTTTCACCAAGAGAATCTGGAACCTTCATCGTTCGAGTTGCCCAGGACGTGTCCATTGACATGGAAGGCATTAAAAAATGTGCATCTGAGGTACTATCAAACACAGTTATCACGCATGTTCATTTTGCATACACCTTAAATCAATTGCCTCGGATCATGTTTATGAATTACATCTATTACAAGAGAGAGAGAGAGAAAGTATACTCGTCTAACAAATTTTGAAATTTCTATTTCAAATGAGAAATGCATATCAAATATTTGATAGGTTTATAGTGTGAGAACTTTCTCCACTTTCTCCTCTTGGTCACAATTTACTAGATAGTCAGTGAAGTGCGACGAGAACTTCAACTCGAAATAAAGAATGGAAACTGGAGAAGACAGTGCAATTAAAGGATGAGACACCAGATCTGACCAGCCTTAGCTAGATAGCATTATGTGATTACAAAGCAAGCCCAATTCTCTCCAAGAATCCAGCTAACATTTTTCGCTTTCTTTCTTTTGTGATAAGCAGATCTTCTTATGTTCTTCTTAGATCTTCGAGAATGTTCGCTCTGGAAAATTGAGTGCAAGGAATTTTACCCAGTCAACTTTACATCCGAAGTCAACTGACCCAAAAGCCGTCGACTGGATCTTTCTGGTGAGCATGAAATGCATTAATTTGTACTTAATACAAATATAAATGGGTGAAAGCAAAAGTCACAACAGCCAACAATTACGTTCAATAAAAAATACAAGCAGGCTGAATGGGATTTAAGAGACGCACTTAAAGTACGTGTTTTAATTATACAGGTCGACACGCTCAATTTCTCCTTTTGGTCTGGGGATGAGGATAGGGACGTGCCGAAATGGACCGTCCAGTTCAAAGGAAACTCTTACACGGGTTACTTTGCTTTGTGTGCAGCAGTAAATCGGGCTATCGAGGTATGTATTAAATGTCCTTTTTTTCATGCCTTCTTGGCCGAGCATTATTCGCACTGAGAACAAAGAATTCCTCTCTTTGGTCCACTATTCTTATGGGCCAAGTCCACTAAAGTCATGTTGCTGGCCTCCATAACACATTTCCGTGTCCTTCGTACATCAAAGCCTTCTACTTTCTTGGAGAGAATTACGCAGAACAAAGCACGCACATACTTATTGACAAGCTCTAATACTGATGTTGATAGATGAGGAAGAAATACATATCAATTGCTCAGGGCCTTCAGGGAAGCGGTAGTCTATTTAGTTTGTTTTCATAGTGCTTTCAGAGTTCTCTCGGGGACATTCGAGATTTTGTGGACAAGAATTAGAACGGAGATAAGTAATCAATAACTAACTACGATGTTCTCGTTTTATCAAATCATTAAATAATTTGGTAAAAATTTATGAGCATTACCAACTCATTAAGCAGTGAAAGTCATTACATGTTCATGACTAAATAAATATGTAAAATGCATGTGTGGATGACGCTAATTAGTATTAAATCATTTTATGAATTACATCAAAACAAATCCTTCAGATTACTTGTGACGATGTATTTGTAAATATTTAGATGTATTTGACTACTGAAAATACATTTTTTCTGTATGCTAAACTTTTCAATTTTTACTTACGTGTAATGTGTATGCATGAACTTGTACATAGATATGTATGTGACATGCATAGCAATTCATAGCATATACATATCCCTCATCTCGTATATTTATCTAATAAGCCCTATGACATTATGCAATTGCAGGAGGAAGGGTTGGATTTAACAGATCCGAAAGTTTATGGTTCTCTCACGGTTGACGACATCTTGCGAATCTTCCGATCTGAAACCTCCACCCCCATTCCCATGCCTGAAGACAGAGTGATCAACCTTCAAGAAGCCAGTCGCATTTTGCAGGAAAAGTATCAAGGATCGTTTGTCAACTGCATTCATCTTGCTCAGAAAAGTGCTCAGCAGTTGCTGAACACTTTGGTGTCGGATTTCTCATCTTATCGAGATCAGGCTGTTCTCGACTCCGTCACGGGTACAATCCATTACATTCTACTCTTTGCGCCCCATCTCCAGTGAGCAATATATCATATCATGGTGACCCTAGTCATTTTCTCGTCAGATTTTTCATTTTTCATATCACAACGCACCCAGTTCCCCTTCTTTTTCTATAGGATGAAAGATGATTTTGATTATGCAGGACATGAGAGCTGGGTTCGAGGCTCTCTCTGCATGCATATGTTAGCATAATAGCCTCAAACCTCAGTGATGATTGTATTGAAAGAAGGAATACATTGTGAGATTCAATCAACACAGAGCCGATTTATGAAATGGAAAATCTGTTTTTTCAATTTCAAACCAAGTTTGGTGACGCTTGATTTCATTTTCTTTCCATCATCCTAGAAATGGATTGGATTACCAGTCCGGACAGGATGAAACTCTCCAATCCACTTCTTGCGATAGTGGATTGGATCGCCACACTGCTGGACGTTTCTGAAATTTGGTTTAAATTGCATCATCAAATCCAATCTCCATTATTTGTTAATGTCAGTGGTATGACGGGTTGACGTACGAGCAGCCATCTTTGACATTTTATCACTGAATTTTTTTGGAAATAAGTCAAAATGACGTTTGGAAGGGTGTCTATCCATCATGATACATACGCACATATGAGCTAAAACTATGTGTGTTGGCCAATACCCCCACTCTTTTATTTTACACAGTTCGAATGTGAATATTGATGTGTATGTTCTCAACTTTTATAGTATCGATTCATAAAAGAGCACAAATTTTGATTGGAGACATTTGGGCGTGCCATGAGGGTCAAGGCTTGGGAGAATTTGATGATATTGATAGCTTAACCATGTTTGCTGATTATCGGTAAGCAATACTTTAATTAAATGCACTAAATAAATAAATTAAATTAAAAAGCACTTTAGAAGTGCTAAATGATTAAAAAAAACTATTTGCGTGTTTACTTGTACATATGTAGTATTCCTCAAGTACTGTTACATTATGGTGCCATGAAATATTCCAAGGAGCTGATGGATGATCTACTTAAAGGTGATTTGCTTTGATCTGTAATCCACTGCTTTAGTATATCGATATATATACGTCCACATTTTGGATGATAATTCTACTGAATCTACTATATGTATGCGAGCCCATGCTTTACAGATAAGCTACTGGAAAACGGCGAGAGACGCGAAGTAGAGATTCGTGGAGGATCAATTCACGCTGTGGAACTAATTTCTGTATGAACTCGCTAAAATACTGGCTGTCTTCTATTTATAGGTGTTCATTGTTATTATTAATATAATTTCCATTGATTCAGATTGACGTGAGAGAACGCCTTGTGAAAGTGGGGCTGCCACCCAACATGATCAATTCCATTTTAATCGATCATTTTCTTTGGGACTATCGGCGAGAGCATGCGGCGGAGATGGAAATGTATCCTTACCACAAAACCCGTTGCATTTACTACTGAGGAAATTGAGACAAGAGAACAGTTTCTCCAATAGCACACTTATTGAAGTCTATACGAGTGCACACATCCAGTTTCAAATTAACACAAAGATGATTTATTACTGCCCGAAATAAAGTTTTTTGAGACAAATACTAATAACAAATTTCCTGCGACCCTGGTTTTGTCGAAATGTGGTTTGTAGCAAGAAATGGAAAAATTTCCTCTAATTCACGGAGCACCACTGTCCCTGATTGCACTCGTTATTTGGCAGCGGCATACAATAGTTCTTCTTCTTTCCTTCCGTATCAGTTAGTCAGCCTTTGCCACTTTCTCTCTTGTTGGTTGGTTTGGCAGCCTAGATTGATCCGTGTGAGAAAAACTTAGCCAATTAAACTAGTAATTGAACTGTGTTTTGGAAGTTGGATCCTCCTCCTCCTTCCGAGACTTTGCAAACTTTCTTCCCCAAGTCTCTGAGCGATTTGGGTGTAATTGAAATTGGGGAACAATCGCTTGAACTCACCTCCACTTACCTCTCTTATCGAAAACATCAATCTATTTTCAAACTGGCATTTATCTCAAATTGAGGTATCCTATCCTTATTGGGTGTGGCGTGGATTGAGTTGCCAGAAAATAGTTGAAACTACGGCTGCTTTTAATATTGCTGTAAATGAAGAGTGACATGGGTGCTTTGAAAGTGTGTGTGCTTTACCTACATATGTACATACCTACTTCTACATATATGGCACATATTCATCATGTGAAATGGAATGTACAAAAGTTTCTCTTAATAATTAGGAGCGTAATTACTTTGGAACTGGATCTACGGAGCAAAATTTCAAAAACTTATTCCGAACAAGGATATGGCTTGCATGCAGCAGAGTTTAATTCCATTGACAATGACAACTTTTTATTAACATTCCCTTTTGATAAACTCGGCAGAATTTTGAATCGTACTCTTTAACCCATTGTCCGTGCTTGACTTACTTATCTTCACAAGTTTTGTAGAATGCAGATTGTCAGAGAATTTCGGATAATGTCAATTTACCATTTGTTGTAGACTTTGTTTGGCTGTCGGCTGTCACATTATTGAAGGAATAACAATATCTTCGTTTGGTTTATAATTGCATGTCATCTTGTAGAAACGTCTCTGAAAAGGAGCATTGTATGTACACAACGTGGAACAAATTTAGTTCCACAATAATAATGGGATGGTGTTTAACATCCATTACTCACACAAACAATTTGTTCACGCGTTTTGCTCTCAAATCATCAAGCCACTTTAGTCCGACAATCTAATTAAGTTTGTGCTCTCTCCCATTTTATGAAAAATAATCAAGCTTGTGAAATCCTCAAGAAATTAGTTGAACTAAAATTAGCAAATTCACTTTCAGAAACTCATCATGCTTTCCCCCATCTCCATATATACATGCATACGCCCTTATTTCCGCCTAGTCAATAAATAATCTAAAGTCCTAGCGAGAAATCTCATTGCGACAAATGACACGACGGCCAAGCTGACAAGAATCAAGGAAAGTTTTCATCTCTCTCTCTCTCTTCACGTCCAATTTCTCCAGATTTAGTCAAGGAGGAAATTGAGAAATATGAATATCTAAGGAAATAGAAATCCACCCATGTACAAAGACGATTGCACGTAGGTTTTGGAAGGAGAAAGTCGGAAAAGATGGTCACAAGCCCAGCTTAGTCAACCAGCCAGTCTCACACTGGACACAAATTCTCGGATCCTAGCTGATTCTCGAGGACTTTCTCTTAAAACTATGTTGACTTTTGAGTTTGATAAGGCCTTAGAAATCCGTCGCATAATGCACATGTCTTTCTGCGTAAAAAAGAAATTGGGTTGTCCTTTAAAAGTTATATCCAGTCACGAATTTAAAATAAGTTTTCCAGTCCGCCTGCCAGTCACCTTTCCGTCCACTTTGGAAACTAACAGGATTGGAGTGAAAAGCTGCTGCAGGAAGTGAAGGTGGACAGAAGCACGCCATTTGCGTACATGTTACATGCATGCACGCGGGCTCCTCCAGCTTCAACTTTTCTAACGAGATGGTTTATATTTGAGGGAGGAAAACAAGCTCTAATTCTGAACGATGTCATCCTCCTCCTTCGTCGTCGTGTTCATGTTGTGCAACGTATTATTACGTATCATTAGGTATCATTACGTACTTGGTCTCATTATGAAAGTTATCATATTTATTTACACAAACAATTATTTTTTTAAACTCATACATATACGGAAACTACTTTTTATCTAATAAACATTATGATGGGTTTAAAGTCAAAAAGAAAAAATGTAGCCGAGGTATACATACATTTTACAAAAAAATAACGACGACATTGTACATAAACCGAAAATAATGAGTTTTTGTGCGTACATATTTACATTGGGAGGGACGGATAATAAGGATGTAGTTAGCGGCGACTTTAAGATCCAAGGACTTTACAAACTCCAAGTTTCATGCGTGCGTGAGAGGTTAGTAAACATGGGGTGGTTTCACAATAGATAATTCGACTGCTCTATGATACGAACAATAGGTGGAGGAAGGTGCAGGAGAGGAAAGTTCGGTGTGGGTCGTAATGTAATTCTAGTCTTTGTTGGATGCAGCACATTCCAAACTTTCATCAACACTTTCTCCTCAGTGTCATTCCATGGCAGACAATGTGCAAACTTTGGTCATGCACTGAATGATCAGCAATGGCAATTGCATCAACCGTCCACATCCATCCATCCAGCAGCTTGTTCTTATTACAACGTTGCATCAACTTGACTGTAAAATATTGCAAAAAGTTTTCATCTTGATCATCCATTAAATTTCATGAAACCAAATCGACAGTAAACAAATGCTGCGGAATAATAGTTTCAAGAATATTGTAGGAAATATTATCCTCCGCAAATAAGCTTGGAGGAAAAGTGGTCTGCTGTTAATACCACTTTTGGATTTGTTTCCTCATAGCGTCGTAAGTTGAGTCGTCTGCAGGCAGGACCAGAAAAAAAGAGCTTTTACTGTTACTACAAAGACTAAATGTTTTTGCAAACGAGCGAACCTTGAGCAGGCAGGTTTGTTCGATAGACAGTGTTATGTAACTTTACGAAACCTTCATTTTATACCATAATAACAAGGCAACAAGGGAAGCTCAAGTTTTCACAGTTAGTCGATGGGATAAAATTCAGTTTATATGGTTATTATTACAGCACAAGTTTTCCGCACCAGTATTTTTCCCATGGGCCACTCGATCAAGAGATGTTATTACTCTAGAATCCAATCTTGGAATCTTGAAGCTCTTCGTCATCATATATTGTTTGAGAGAATAATGTCTGAGAAGAATGTGAGGTAACGATGATGACCAGATTGTGTTCACTGGCTATGGTGTGTCATGAATGGGCTGGGGTTCGTACATATGTTGTATGTGTTTACTTATATGTATTATCCTTACGTGGTAGGTAGCAAGCATGGGTGTTTATACGTTGGTGACTTACTGAGGCCTGGGACGAAATGGGTACATCTGCTGTTTTGGACTTTATGAAAGTAGTTCAATTTGATTCCTGCAATCTATGCGAACGAGGCACTTTTGATGGCAAGTTCGCAATCAGGGCAAATTCGGTGCCATTATTGACGAACGCATTTGGCATTTGAACTTGAGCAGGATACTTGTTTTTTTCTTTGGGAGTTGGAGTTCATTCCAGTTGATGCACATTTACTAAATTCCCAGCAATTATATAATCAACCTTCCCTGAAAAATGCTGACAATACATAAATGTGGTGCTATAATGAACGCAGATATTTACCTATGTACATATGTACAAGAACAGCAATTTGTCACGTTGACTTTTATCGATCAATGGTATGTGAAGAGGTGATCTTTGCCAAATCCTTATTGAAAAACTGGTTCTTTAGATCTGCAACTCTCACTATCTCCTTTTCGTAGTTGTGTTAGTGATCAATGATCACTATGTCAAAAAGGCAACTCTTATAATTCTTACAACTCTTACCACCCAATAACCGGTTAGACATATAAGTAGACTAAATAGGTATACGTATGGTATATAAGTAAGAACAAGAGTGACCATCGACAGGGAGTCGACTGCCTGTATCTTGATACGTGCAATAAAACCTGTCCTGACTTTGTCTCACCAAATCTCACCTTGCCTCCAAGACGCAATTTATTTCCATGTACAACAACGACGACGATCGTCTCATCTGCCTCACCACCACCATCAATGCAGTGAACCCCCCCCCCATAAACGGAACTTCACAGGTAGCATTTATTTGAATCACTGCTTAAATTTATGGTTTTCATGTGGATGTATTAAATTAATATCAATCAAATTGAATGCTCAAGTATCAATTAAGTATTCTAAATAGTTGTGTAAGTACTACTGAAGTGTTCCCTGGAGCAATTAAGGAAATAATTTCTTGTCACTGATTTAGATCACGTGACATTTCGCCCCACTGCCAAATAATATGTATCTTGACAGAACAAACATAATCACCTCAAATTACACTCGAGCTGAACTGAACGACATTTCCCGTCTCTCAATTTGATAAGTTTATCTATTAACACTTCCAGTGCCTGTCTCGCCTATTGTTTCTCCAGCCCAGCCTTTTTCTCATCATTCTTGTTATTTTTATTGTTCCGGACTTGGACAAGAGGTGGTGAAAGTACTGGAAAGGTTTTCCCTCCTCCTGGAGCGCTTTTAATAGGCTTGGAACAATAAGCACCCATCTATCCAAGTTCTTACTTTGGTCTGTCTCCTCCTGCTTACTCTCAAGCCCTCAGAGACGTACAGCTTTTAGTGTTTTAGTGCTCTTATTTTCAAGTGGCTATTGTAGCTCGCAATTCCGGCTGCCTAAGACAAATAAAGTTATCAAGTCCTTTGTGGTCCTGGACTGGTTTGTTCCTAGAAGGAAGGAAGTTCCCTTCTACTTACTCTCCATCCGCCAACCAACCGAAAGGTGAAGTCTGGAAGGATTTGTCTGCAATTTCCAAGACTCCAACCAACACTCGATTGCTTGACTCCTTTTCTAGTCGAGTTTCACCAAATATTTAGAGGTGAGAAGATGCTCGTCTTCCACGAATCGCAAATACATATAAGCAAAAGCAAGTAAATATGATCATCCATCAGCCTGGATTATTTGGCAATACACATATTTAACTTTGAGAAAAATCAAAGCCCATACCAGCCCCAGATATGAGAATCCTTTGGGTAACTTATCTCAATACTTGTAGGAAATGCATCCAGCTTATTTATTTTCCACGCGTCCCGTTTGTGTACAGGATTTTTTACAAAGCCCAAAATCTCGCTTCCTAACCTTCGTACATAAACTATTGCTTGTCCAGGGTGAAAAAACCTGGTGGAGAAAGGTCAAAAAGCGTGAGAGAAAATAAAGCAAAAGCGCATCCTCTCTCTACCTTTCTCACTTATATATTAAGAGTTGTGTCCACTATTTTCTCTCCTTCTCTCAAACTGTCACCGTGCTAGCTATCTGGCTCTCCTTCCCTCCAACCACTACCACTACCACCATCCGCATCACACTCTAATAACAAATAAAGAAAGTCAGTTGAATGGAAAAGAAATAGAATGGAGGAAACTTTTTCAGAAACTTCCACGCACGAGAAGAAATTGGATTTCTTTGAAGAGATTTTTTTGCTTTTCTTTGAAGGAAGTGGTGACAGAGGAGTGCAGCCGGAGTAATCGTAGTAGTAGTGGAAGAGCAGCCAACGGCAGCAGCAGAGAAGACAAGGCCTCGGAAATAATCTGTTATCGGAATGAGGTGAAAAGAAGGAATGTAAGCAAACTCCTCACCCTGCTTAAGACCCAACTCTCGCCTTTCTCTTTGTTTGGTGGAAGCATATTATGAAATCACGCAGTAATTAATTATTTTGTGGTCACGATCAACGTCATCATCACGAACTAATTGTTTCAGCGGAATGGGAGAAAATATTTTACCCAAAATGATTTTATATTAAATTAGTCGACGTGCACATACATGCAATCGTGCGACTACACACAATAAATCGTATGGTTTTGGATAATAATATAAACCCGTAGCTCAGTTTGGGTTGTATCGTTTCCAGTAGTTGGCTTTCCTCCTCTTAAGCTGCTTTTACTTTCGAGAGAGACTGATCGCAAAATCCAGCAGAGACTGTTCCAATGACCTCATTATAAGAGAGGTTAAAATGAGTGGTGCCGTATATGTAGATATGCCTACTCGTATACACGCTGCCCTATATAAAACCGTATGTGGATGGAGTGCAACAATATTTGTTGTGCTGAGGCATAATCCTCTCTAAACCCACGGTCATATTTCATTTTCGCACAGGAACGCCGAGGGAAACACCAAGGACCAAAACATTATTCTGCTCTATTCTATTGGCCAAAGGGTTTAGGTTGGATTGTGTGTGTGTGTGCATACATAAATGAGCGTTTTGATATAAATTAAATGCATCTCACAACAGCTCAGCTATTATTATTTTGGTCTTTGATCCTATATGCATTTTATCAAATATTTTCTTCCATCTTTTCGCATATCTCATGGGGAGGGAATTCCGTCGTATTTTAGAATATGTTAGAATCGGAATACTACAATTTTATCGTTCAACCACACGCAGGCTGTTTGGTGAAATTCGTTTTAGTTTTGTTATTAAAAATGTTTTCATTTAATTTGTGAGTCGAATATTTTGCCAACGAGCGAGTCAACAACAACCACTCGCTAAAATTAATGTATTTCGTCGGAAAGCGAGTGTACTTATAAGCAGGAAAAACAAAGCGTTCCGTTCATCTCTTTTTCCTGGGAAAACATCTCACCACAATGATCGCTGAGTCCCACGGTGCTATGGTGTTAATCTTTCACTGCATGCAAACTCTGTCGCTGTCACGGCTTAGTGGGATGAAAATATAATGTCCCTGCCGTCAAATGTCCCAGCACTTTCTGTTCAGGATTCACCTGAACTCTCAAGTCATGCAGTTTTTGAAATCATCAAAGAGGAATAAAATCTCGTATTCAATATGAAATGTAATGAAAGCTTATTCAAAATAAAGGATTCGTTTCCTTTTGTGTTTCGTGCAGTACAGCGTATGAAAAGTAATCAGTGGGATTAAAATCGTGGTGATGAGTTCATATGTGGAAGAGAAAGCTGTGTATTTAGCTAAACAGAGAAATTAGGAGAGACTAATTCATTCCCTTTGAACAATTAAAATAGGAAAGGAATAATTAATTTGGATAATATCCTGCTCTCACTCTCAGCAGCGCCCGTCCTCCCTCCCATCATCATTAAATCGCATTCCAGCCAAGTTCTTCTCAGCAATCCAACCGTGACTCCCTCATTTTCGTGGCATCTTAACCACAGACCTTGTAATGCGCACTTCAAATGCCACTGGATGACTTCCAAGGACTCTGGAGTTCCATGGCTGCAGAGTGGCACTTACATACACATCGCTACAGTGGAGTAGCTCCTCTTCCGGAGATCTTCTTAAATCGACACGGGTTCCAGGCGATGAGGATAATGATGATGATTGCCATTATGATTGCCCGTCTCTTGCTTGGTTCGTCATGATAATAATGATACAATTATGTGAGGATCCGCACAGCATAGCAATTGATAAAGATATTCAAATAATTTAATGCAATTTATAAACTTTAAAATAACATTTATTATACATGTGTAACAGTATTAAGTCAACGAGCACTGTACACATTTATGTAGAATGTCTTGGCATACAAGAGTTGGACATATCGCAGAAATTCATTCAGGAGAAAGTTGTATTATCCTATTACCACGTTGTTAAACATTTTTACGGAAATTATTGAAAACAGATTTATTTAAATTGGTTAACCTAAATCACAGATTATTTCCTCGGGCATATTATGTATACGGACAATATAGATAGACGATAATATACGATCTTTGCAACATTAGTCACCATTATTAGCACATTTCAGGTTTCCTATGCATTATAAAGCTAAGTCTTTCAGGGGTGTAGAGAGAATGTAAATTGAATTGCCTAATGTTCATGCATCAATAATATCATCGTTAATGTGGTGCACACAGACTCAGTAATCGTTATCATTACATATAACTGCAAATCATTAAGTTTATCAATTCCGCTTAATTAGGCGTGGTCTATATATATCTGTAGTCGCTATTATGTATTACGAAACCATCACCATTCTTCCAAATATCTCAATAGGGACATTCGAAATATGAACATGGCTTTCAACTCATAACTTCACACATTCAGCATTAGTAGAAATAGGCTCAATTTCCATCAGTTCCGAGCATTATAATTCTGGATGAAATTGTTCGGAACGGATTTCCTGCATGTCGGCGTGGGTTTCATATAGGACATATGTATTATGAATGAAGGTACATTATAAATTCTTGAAGGTAGTACTCTGCTGCAGTCGTGTTACAAACAGCTTTCAGCAGAAAACTCCTCTCACTAAAGTTCATCTTGGTTCATGAATTTCCTACTTTTACACTTTGCAATTTGAACCCGTGATAAAATGATTCATCGAATCGGAATTTAATTAGAAAACTTTATAGAGCATTGTTTAGTAAAAAAAAGTCTCCCTCACACTTCTATATTTTAATCCTAAGTATCTGTATGTAATGATTGCTGGCTAAATATGGTTTCAGCAGGAATGCTTGTATCACGCTCACCAAAACAATTATGCAAGAAATACATATCTGTATTGTTTGCTTCTTTGGCATCAACTACTGTAATACGCGTGTCCTGTAGACTCGACTAGCAAGGAAAAATTTATTTATGTACTTTTGATCCAGAATAGTGCCCACATCAACCTTGACCGTAATATGTATACTAGAATTATTCCAGCGTATCACCTCATTTGCATATTTGGCCCTTTAGCGACAGACAGAGTCAACATGGAAAACCCGTATCGCCAATTATGGGCATTATGAGATTTATGAAGTTAACCCGCAACAATAATTTTAGAGCAGTTCTCGAAATTCAGCTCAAACCTCAAAAGTTGTGGAGCAAGTAGTGAGGTAGTTGTGTACATGAAATAATAATGTTTAAAATGCATGTTTGGTATGTACTATCTGAACTTTGATCTCTTCAATCGAACACACTTTTACTTCATGCAGTGATATCAGTGAATGGGAATTTGAAATATTTTATACATCTGTCGTGTGTATCATACACACGACACACGTCGCATATAAAATTGACTTCCTTTGATTCGAATCTGTCTTGTATGTACATATTTACCAGCTGATTTACTACTTGCTGAATTCCGGCATGGATGAAACATGCTACATATGAATCGTATTCGTACCTTTGCATGTAAGAGAGATTGAGAAACATGAAGAAAGCTATAATTATGGATGCAAAACTGCACCACAGAGAGATCAATAACGCTCTCTCCAGAGGAACACGGAAGGAGAGAGGAGCATATGGAGTGTCGTTCGCTCGTGTGTCTGTAGTATTTGCAAACAACTTTCTTCGACTCTTGCTTCGTGCTCAACAAGCTTGTTGGTGTATTAAAATCAAAAGCTCAAAGGCGGAGACCCATTGAATTTCCCGTTAGTATAAAAATAGGCATAAGACACAAAGCTTAACATCCGTGGGGCAGAATGGTTGGTGAAAGTTTACATAACGGTGCTACATAGGCCACTTTGTCTGATATAGGAAAAGTATATGCATGGTGCGTACGTTTGTAAATGCGACGATGGTAGATTGCATAGTATTGAACATGTTCTATTTTACTATGTCTGTGTACATATACCTTTAACAAGTGATGTTTCGTGGAGGTAGTTTCGTAAGTAGTTTCCAATATGGTCACCGCCTATTTTACAGTCATACTGTGATTTCCTCGGTAAATCTGGACTTATCATCTAAATCAAGGACCAATTTTGAATTGTTTGTTCCGCTGTGATTTTGGGACTTTTGTTGTTTTCCAATTTCTGAGGAGGAGGAATGCATAGCACTTTGTGAGTCGGTGGGATTAGTGGAGCTCTGCTTCTGTTTATGCCGTCTCTTCCTGAGTGACTGCATGGGAATGTTCTCACAACCCTCCTTATTACTCTCGAAGGCATCGGCATCGTTTATGCAATCCGGTTTGATGTCACTCCTCGCAGTGTCCTCTCCTAAGTCGAACTTGACTCCACGTTCGTCCTCCTCTGAATCCACTTCATCCAGATTTGTGTCTTGAAGCTCCAGATTTTTAAACTGGACCACGTCTCTCCGCTTCCTTCTAGCGTCGTCTTTTGACTTACTTTGACTTATTTGGCCGCGATCTCCATCTTCCACCGCCACGTCCGTCGTAGTCGAAAGTGGGTCCTTCAGTGGAGAGTTGTTGATGGTGGTGGTAAATCGATGGTCCTCCTCTTCACATTCAGCAGCAGGGTTTCCGGAAAAAAATTCTGGAGGATTCCCTGTTGCTTCTAACAACTTGGGAGTTTGGGCCGTGGATTGGGGTAGCGAAGGATTTTCCTCTGGATTTTCCTCTGAGATGTCTGAAAGCACGCCGGATTTGCCTTTTACATTAGGCGAAGACCCTGAGCCTGTTTGTTGACCGTTGATTTGAGCTGATGTGCAAAGAATATTGTCGGCTGCCTCTTGCATTGCTGCAATGATATAGTTAAAGAAATAAAAACTCTTATTCACATAAATCAATAACAACGGAATTTATTACGGCGATATCCAGTCGACGGTGGGACGGAAAATTGAGACAAATCTCATACGGCACTGAATGCGAATACCAGCTAGGTGGTAGTGGATACCCACCAAATCAGTTTTTCTCTCTCTCACTCGCTGAATATGGAATTTTCATAATGGAAATGGCTTTCGTGAGGGCTTTCGCTGTATTTGCGTGAAATTCACCCATTTTTCCGCTAATTTCATTCTGCGCAAACTACCGACCTGTACACGGCACTTTAGAAAGCATTTCTTGACGAAATGTCTAGTAACAAGCGGAACAGTCCTGGTTCATCAAAACGGAAGGATACACCGTCTGAGGAGGGGGAGGAGACTGACGAAAGCGGATCCGAACAGGAAGATGAACACGAGTACAACAAACAACAGGTAATACAGACTCATTTATGCATTATATCTCGTTAACCAGAAAATTTTGAATTTGAAATCTAAACTACGTGTTCCATATTTAATTTTGTTATCATATGATTATAGTTCAAAACAAAGGGCGAATTTCTCCTCTCTCTACAAAGTGTTACAAAGGAACAGTTTCTGGACAAAGAATGGTTTGCCCGAATGATCGAAAAAGGTCAAGATCGAATCAAGAGCCAACTCAAACGAAGACATATGACGACCGAAATGTTTAAATGGGAAGATCAGACCTTGAAATACAAAAATGGAAATCGCTGGACAACATTGGAGCATGTTAATACTAAAAGAATGTATAACATCAACAAGTGGGTGGAAAATAAAAAACAACGCGAAGCAAAAGGTGTACGAAAACACCAAACTTATATCTGCATTACTTTGGAGAAGGACAAGATTGAGGGTGACGTTATTTTTTTAATTAACTTTTTAAATGAATTTCAAAATGGTTAATATAACTATATTTAACAGGAAAGACGACACGAGAAATCTGGGATTGGATACGAGAAGATAACCCTCCGAGGGGAACGTATGTTGGCGAAACTTTTTCAGCTGTCATTGGAGCTAGAGAAGGCAATTTTAACAGAGGTCAAGCAAGGCCATCCGCTTTGACATTGCATCTGCGTGATACTGGCGATAGATGTTTCCAAGTGGGTGTCATCATTACGGATTCAGAGGATGAACGGAAGGATTTGGAGGAGTTTATCTTAGTAAGTACCCAGTTGCATTTAAATACTACATATTTCACTACATTTCATCACTTTCAATTTAGCACTACCTCGCTCAACACGAAGAAGAAAATTGTGAAATGAAGATGATAAACAAGAAGACCGACTTCCGCATCGACCCCGGTTTACGTGCAGCAGCTCGGAATCTAGTCCATGCTGGGATTCAGCTGACCCGATTCGAAGAGACAGGAGATATTGATGTTGCCAACAGATACGATTTAAATTATATATGCACCCCTGAAGATTTCATCGAGAAGACGAATCGGTTTTAGAGCTGTTTGCTATGATACGTGGTTTTGTTTTTAACTGTTTAAATTGATGAATTAGTGAATAAATAGCTTTTCATTATCTAGAAATACGTCCATATTACTACAAAGACACTTATTAATGTCGTACATATTTGGGCTAACCTGCTATTTTGGCAACCAAGTGTCGATTTCCTAGCCTCATGTTCCTCTCCTTCAACTCTTCTAATTGAAAGTAGAGACGACGAAACTCTTCCTGTAAAGTCAGAATGATTTACGTTGTAATTATTTACATTGTCACGGGTTCTACGCCCCACTATAGCCCATTACAGATTACTCTACTACATTGGTATTATAAATAGCTACAACCCTTTTTATATCACCATTTCATCCACCATCACCTCCCTTGATAAAATTGGAGATGCACACTACTTCCGGCGGCAACGGCTTGTGTGTCTCAAACTAAATCCTTATTCGCTTTCTCTTTTCCAACCGGCGAGACAACTAAGAATACCTAATGCGCTTCTTGTAACCCATAAAAAAGGTTGAGTTGCTGGAAAACTTTGCCAACCGTTTTCCTTTAACAGTTCTTTCCGTGAGTCAGGATGTTCATGGCACAACATGGCATTCTATGATATATTGCAAGAAAGAACTACCATTTTCGAAGAAAATCCGTGCTCAGATTTAATTTTCACCGTTATGGTAATGATCCGCATAGTAATAAAGTCAAAATCTGTGGCCAGTGTGAGTGAACATCCGAATTACGATGATAATGATCCTGAATCAATTGATCTTCCTTATTGCTTAATTTCAAGGGGATCACATTACATTATGGCACGCACTTCCATGTTCTTGTCCAAGCTGTCGGATTGCAATAAACGTCCGTACCAGACGGTGTACCAATCCATTAAAATACCATTTAATACTCCTACACAATGTGGTATTAAAAACAATCAAATGTCTACGTGTACCACCAACTTGTTTTGTCGCACGGTCATGCCAATGAACCTTAGAGAAAAAGTTATGACAATGCTGTAGCACAAAATTCTGCAATTCTTTTCTGAAGTACACACATTATACAATATACAAGTTTAGATTGGTTATGTGCTTAACAAATTCAACGCTGTCTCGCCACCTCTTTTCGATTTATTATTAGAACTTGGTGTATAGAACTATGTACATATGTATCCATACTGAAGTGGTGTAGTGTCAACTGGAGGCATTAACCTCGCCAAGCATTTTGTGACCTCTTCAAAAAGCAGCATAGGTCAAAGGTTGTAAAACTCCCTCCTTCTCGTCCTCTCTCCCTTTATTGCTCGACTCAACTCGACATCTTAGTAAAACTAATTTTATTCATTAAATCTGGCAGAGCTTCGTTGAGTTTCAAATTTGAAGTGGTCTTGCTTGTTCCACGGGGAATAAAAAGAGTGAGCACAACAAACGAAACCAACGAGGACAAAAAGTCATCGGATCTGAAAGTCAGCGTGTGGGCGAACTATTACATATAAACGCGGACAACATTTTGCCATTTCATTGAACAACCACGCTGTGTGGTGCATTGTTTTAAAAAGATGGAAAACCAGGACTTTGATTATTTTTCCTTCCCACTGAAGCACATACTGAAATAGAGTCTGAACTAGTCTGAAGCTCAAAGGACATGGAGACTGGAGAGTGAAGTTGCTCACCCTATTATTCATAGCTCATTGCATAACCTGCCCACCTACATACATGTGTGCACATGTACCTACCCACCCACATTTCCAAATTAGTATATCCTTTGATGTTCGTAATCTAAGTGGAGTTGTCCATACCCCTTTTTCATTTCATTTTTCAATCGTAAACAACTGTACTAAATAAATGACTTTCTTAAAATCAATATTTGTCCATTGATTGGTACCATACCTGCACATCCTCGGATAACCTCGAGTTGAGATTTGGATCGTGGCTGGTGGAAGTGGTCGAGGAATGAAGGCCGGTGGTGGAATTGTGTGCACTGGTTTGTTTTGTGGTTTGGCCAGATCTACTCTTGCTAATGAATTTTGATGTTGGCACTCTACTGGACTCGTCCGAACCTCCTTTCCCCTGTCCTCGAAAAACTATGTATGCCTGCAAGAAATAGGTAAATAGAAATTTTAAGTCGCCATTCATTCAATCAAAAAGTAGCATGGAAAGCGACCAATAAGCACTTGGGAAACTATAATCCCATCCCACACAAATTTGTAATTCATTTCACTTTGATAAGCTTACTCTAAATGTGCATTTGTAATATGTTTGCTTTTCATAAATAGCATTTTATTTTTAAGCAACTAAAGCAATTAACTTGCCTTCAATGAGTTTGAAAACGTCTAATAAAGCCAGATAAATATGAAGAAGAATTCTAATTAGAAAATTAAAACCCACAGCAGTAGATTTTGTGCCGAGTTGTGTTTCCAATTAGCAAGCAAATCAAATCATGCACCCATGGATGTACTTGTGTATATGTGTACATAGATGTGTCACCCTGAATCCGTCTGAATAGACATCCTAAGTAACAAAGTTATAACTGATTTTCGCGAGAACTTTGAAACATAGACTGACAAAACTAAGTAAACACCGTGGAGATACAGATATGTTATATTGAATCCATGCACATAGAGTAAGGACGACACACTAAGTACGTACTGCCAGCTAATTCTGCAATCGCATTTGTCCATAGCGAACGCAATGAAGCGTCACTTTCACCAGAACACTCACCCACTCTCTTTATACGTGATGTTCTGGAAGTGAAAGGTGTGCAGAAGACCACCAATTGTCGGCTTGCATTATACAGTGGGTGGTACTATCTCGTAGTGGGGTGCTTGTTGTGTGGTTTGGTTTGGTTTGGTATTTCACTACTGCTGCCCACTCCTGCTATACATACACTCCAACAAACAGGTCTCTTCTCATCTCGTCACAGATTTAATTTGACCGACAAAGTTCCTTTCACACGTTTCAGTTTAAATTAGTTCGTTACGATTTATTGGAAACCTAGTCAGGAGGTAATTATTGTCTGCGGAGAATGAGAATTTATTTGCACACCGCTCGACGAGTGATACAGTTTGGGTGGCGAAAGACGAGGAAGCGTCGGACATGGGGCTGTAATAATATAGCCCGTAAGCCGGTTTACTTTAAAAGAGAGTTGCATATGCCTACCAACAAACCAACCAACCAACACTTGGTTCCTATTTATGGGTGTATTTCTGACTCATAATCAGCTATTTTCCATAAAGGAGTAAATCTGGGCTTAAACTGGCTAGTTTAGAACGCACCCAACCGGCTTCTAAAGATTAAATTTCCACCATTAATATTCCCTCTGATCATCCTTCACAACGGTGGAAATATCGGGTTTAATGCTGTTACAAGTTTTATGAGTGGATTAGATTTCACACTCCATTCATTTAGCGGCTGAGAAAACAGTGAAACTTGAGTGATTAATCCGTAGCCAAGCAAACTGCTGGATGTCTTTGAACTTTCCCAACGAACGGGAAATTGCAACGAATTGAATGAATTTATTAATTAAACATTGACCAGTGGATATGCTTTTACATCAAAAACTAACAGCGGCACTGCTTGTAATTCATAGTTCTCTTAAGCACACCATCACGACACGGAATTCTCATCTTCAGCGCAACATTTGATTGGAAATGAAATTGGTAGCAGAAAAGTTTGCAAGCGCACGGAATAAAATGTGGGGATGATTATTCGAAGGAGTGAGAAACTCGTCGCGGATGCACAATGCATACTTTCTTTCTGCCCTTGGCGAAGGCTGTAATGTGGGACAACCCTGAGCTTATTTGGATAAATAGGATTGCAGAAACATGGCTCCTCGTGGATGCGGAAGGGGCACTATTAGATGGTTGGTATCTTTGGCAGACAACTTGTGTTTGCAGTAGGGAACGATAATCTAGGTATTAGTCTCGCAATCCAACAACCCATCCAATTCAATCTGAATCACATTCGCTTGTGTTAGTAAGTGAGCGAGAGGGAGCATCAAGAGCTGATACGGAATATAATTGTGACTCTGGTATGAAAGCTGAAGCTAAGCTCGTGGAACAGAGAAAGTCACTCATGCAATCCATCTTTGAATTAGTCCGTCAACCAGAATATCTCGACTTGAAGAAGCTTGTTAGCTTTGTTGCGAATCTCCTGTCATTGTGGATGTGTGTTACATATACTCGATGCTCCAGAATTTGACCTCAACTCCGCCAAAGCCCTACATATGCGCAAGATCTTATCACTCTATTAACTGTTCGCTCCAAAAAAAATTTAAAATACGTATGTTCTTCCTCGCTTTTGTTTTCTAAATTCTCACATTTCTCACCTGATTGTCAATCAATGCAAGCATTTCACTTTTGTTATGAACAATTACTTGCGAGTTAACAGTAATTTGACAGCTTAAACAGAGAAATATGTTCAAGTGAAACAATTTGAACAGCATATTATTCTTGACCTATTTCTGTCTAACTTTCCCATATTTTAAGGGGCTGGATATCGGTATCCGATTGAAGAGACAAATAATTGACAGCTTGTACAACATCAGCGTACAAAATAGCTTGTCAGCAATTTTCAGCTATATGAAAAGGGCAACAGAGAAATGTCTTGCAAGCATGAAATAATTCATAGAATGCATGACCAGATCCACAACACACCATTATTGTCAGTCAGTTCAACTGTCTCGCTGGGTTTGTAATTTGGACTCGCCTGCATGCCTGCCTGCCTGGCTGCTCAACACTCGAGAGTAACGTTCAGTGATGAATGGGTTTTATAATAAATTAATTCCTGGCCTCTGTGCGAAACAATGAGTGGACCACAACCAGACAATAGCACAAAGTATTATGTTCCAAGTCAGCCACCTCCCAAAATATAGCTAAATATGCATAGGCTGACTGAGGAGTCTATAGCTTATGAGATATCTACATATAGAATAATATTCTGTATGAAACTTCCTCGGCCTCAAGTTTGTATTCTTCAATGAGGATGGTTTTTTAGGCACTTGTGCGGAAAGCAATTTCAATTTCAGCCAAAGCCTCGGGCCAACACCAAACACATGCTAGAATTTCCATGAGAAACAGCACTACATTTGTATGCAAGTTCAACGAGTTGTAAAACAAATGTAGAGACAAAGCCACAGTTGACAGTATCGTGCGTCACATATGAACGAGAGCAAATTGACTTCCAAGAGAAATAGGATAGCGGGATCGATTTCGCAAAAATGTTGGGAGAAATGACAATTAAGAAGATTGAACTTACTTTACTGCCAAAAATGAGGCATAGGAGAAGCGTCATGGTGACTGAAAATTTAAAAAGAATGTATTTTAGCAAACAGTCATCACTTTTTTGGTATTTTTAGGTCAATCAGACAGTTGCCAGAAGCTTCGCAGGAGGGAAATTTTTTTTCTAGTTAATTAATCGATTGCTAAATTATAATAACCTAACACATTTCACTTTAACTAATGGTATTAATGCTATAATCTAACGATGATAATTCAAACAGATCGCCTCTTTTTCATCTCTTCGTGTTTAATCCATTGTTGTTCTCCCGGGTCTTGCTGAAGAAGTTGTGGTCGAAGAGGGATGAGTGGTTTGTTTAAGAAACCAATTCTTCGTGCCAATTTCTTATCCTCCCTGCTCAAGACTCCTCTATATGAATTTTTGCGCGCAAGATTTACATTTAGAATCTCCGAGTGCACTTTACGCGAGTTCTTGGTCGGAAATTCTATGTACTGATTAACTTCCTGGAAGTAGAAAAATGGGGAGAATGAGATATTTCTAAATACTTTCTTTTACATTTTCTTTAAGCACGTACCTTATAAAAGTGCTGCCAATGCATGGCGTTGTTTTTGTTTTCCTCACTCGTCCCTCCAGAGAACCGGAAATCCTGCATCAGAACATGCAAATTGTAAAAACATTACGGTAAACCAAAATACAATACATAATAATCTACGTAGATTTACACTTACTTTTCGCCAGCAAACTTGCCCTGCTGCCATCAACTTCAGAATTGTAGATTTTTTGATTCCATCTGAATCCGTCAACCAAGGACAAACTCTTTTACTGCAAGTCCCAGCATAAAAAGAGAAAATATATTTCTTTTTTTCTTCCTCATCCATTTCTTCGTATTCTCTCTCTAACAATTCTGCATTCCTCAAGTCATAAGTGGCTTCCGGTTCAATGTCGGGGTCTTCTGGGACGTATGAGACGAACATGTTGGCGCTGTATGGTAAATGATTTTCTGCATACTTTTTCTGCTCCGCATCATCAAGTTTTGCCAAATCCATTCGAATTTGAAGGGGAATTTCATCTTCCCAAGCGTCTGAATCCTCGTCAGAATCGTCCTCCAAAATGGGAAGCAACGGTGCATTATTTCTTTTTCGCTCTGCAATGTAGGATGTCAGAGAGAGTCCGGCACGCCTCTTCTGCTCGCGTCTGGTGGCTTGTTCTTGACTTCTTGACGTGCTGAAATAAATAATCAATAGGTTACAACATTTTAAATTAAAGAAATATCTATTTCACAACCAGACAAGCTTCCGTCCAATCAAGTACCAATTAATCATGATTTACTTACTAATAATGCCTTTGATTTTGATGATCGTGTACCCGCTTCTTCAATTCGTCCTTGTAATCCAATCTACACTTTCCTGTCCCAGTTCCTTCATCTTCAACACAGTGGTAGACCCCATCGATAAAATCTATTTTGTATTCGTCTTTATTCTTGTACTTGGGTTTTCCCTTTGGCATGATGGAGTTTCACAATTTCGAAACAAAAAAATTGATTTTTAAAACGGAGCAAGAAATATTCATAGACTGTTGACTTTGAGTGTGAACTGGAGACTAATGCTCCTCAAATGCTCATTTTTATCTGTTTGCTTGTGATTAAAGGACAAAAATAAAGCTGGTAAATTAAATTAGACCATTTAACTATTTAACTATTTAATACTTTAGTAAATTAGACCATTTAACAAAAATAAAGCTAGTTACTAGTTATTAAGTTATTGATTAGCTTATTACTTTCTTAGCCTTACATTGGACATGGCAGAAGAAAATGATGTAAAGGAGGTCTGGGTTGGCTGGTGACTATAAAAAGAAGAAGAAACGCTCTTTAATTCACCACCTTATTTATAGTTGGCCAAATAAGGTGCAACAACAACTCCGGAAGGAATGTGTTGACAGGCAGGGGCGAAAAACTTGTTCGCCTCCGCCCGCTCCCTTTCATTGCATCATCGATTTGCATGGTTGGAGGTTAAGAAGAATATTTTCACTTGATCGACAATGCACTTTTGTTTGCAATCTATTTTTAAATGTCAATGAAGAGATCCTGCTCATGATTATTGGCTTCTTTTTTAAATTTTGAAGAGCTGGGCATTCGTTCAAGTGAAACATTCACATTCCAATCGGCACGTAGATGTTGGAAAAGGGATGAACAAATTTCAAATTTCTTACCTGAAGGAAGAGCCTGGAAAACAGATGAGATAATTAATAATATGTAATACGTTATGTAATATATTTAATATACAAAATATGCAATATATGAAGATGGATCCATTGTAAATATCACCATATTTTCAATCGCCTACACACTTTCAACGAACTCTTTGCTTCAATATTTGTCGAGATTTGATAGATGCTTGCTGGGATATAAATAAATATGTACATTTTCCGGGCTTGTGCCAAATTTTACGGCAAGTTTGTTGGTTTTAATAAAAATCAGAAACGGAAATATTGAGGGGGAGAGCGAGGGAGAAAGTCATACGTAAATGGGGAGCGAAATAAACTTGGTCCCAATGAGGCAGGGAAATATAGATGAGATCATTAATCCTTGAATCATCCTCATGCAAAGACCTCACTCCATTTCTCTTTGTTTATGATCCTTCATCGTGAATACTTCTTTTTTCCTACGACAATTGCTTTCTCCGTGTTTGTTAGTGAGGAACAAGGAAACTTTCTCATTTCTTCCTCAACTACTTAAATGGAAACCATTGGTTGGGCTGCTTCCTTGCCTCATAAAGTTATTATCTGGAGGACTATTATGATTCTATTTATCTGTCTTCATATCTCATTCCGACCCTCTCCTGATCCGCTACATTAGCCACTATCATTGTCGTCAGGCCTTTCAATTTCATTCCAAAATACAAAAATAATAGAACCTATTATGTACGGGTAATAAACGTGGGAACGAAAATATTGGTTTTTCTAGAATACGTTTTTGTTGACCTTTGCGCCTACTTCGCTGAGAAAATCAAATATACGGCCACGTGAAGAAAAAGTAAGTCAATTTCACTGATCAAACTATCATCTCAGCTACTTTCTCCGAATTTAAGATTACATTTCAGCTTTCAATGAAACTTGTATAAAGAAATCGTCAATAACACATAACCTTGAAATTACCCGGATTGTACATATGTACGCGTGCAGCTACATTTACTAGCGTCATCCTATACGGACTTGAGCTTCTATTGAGCAAAGGACTTTTGTACACTATCTGGGGAATGCCCACGCCATCCGTAATTTAAGCGGATGAAATATTCTAACCTGATTTGAAATCATTTCATTTTAGAAGAAAACTTTGATCCTATTTATCGCCTACTTACGTGTGCATGTGTATCTACTAATAATGGAGTGTAAATCAGATTAGCTATACGCATATATAAGTACATAAATATGCCCTTGTCATTACTGTTAGAAGCGCTAATTAAACATTACGTTCGTTAGTTGAATAAAAATAGCATACATTGAAATGTTGAGGAAGAGTGAGAGTAGAAACTCATTGTAAATGGCGAGTGAAATAAATTTGCTTTCATTAAATTCCGACGGAGCTTTGCGGACGACGATGCATAGGCGGATACCTTAAAAAGTACATTCAAAAGTTTTTATTTCGACCTTAAATACGATTTAAATATGGTCCACATACCCCAAACCAGGAAGCAGAGCTCCACTAAAATTATAAATAGACAAACAGATGATTAAATTTTACTCTGATGGGTTAAATATTTGTAAATATGGGTTTGGTTCTGTCTGGAAAATGTACAAATTTGAACACAAAATTATGTAAGTCTCGAGTCAGTTTCTCATAATAAATAGTCTTTGTCTCCCTAGTCAGTGGTCTGTGGTGTATATGGTAGAAATTGGGGTAATTGGAGAAATTCAGCAGATATATTTGGATCAGAGTCTGCCTTTGAAATTTTAACCTTCCTGAGGACTTTCATTACATAACCCAAACAATATCGCAGATTGAATTGTGATTAGGTTTTCTACAAAGCATCATCACCCTCTCCAAACTCGAGTTAGAGGTGATTGAAACCAATAACAAAAAAACAGAAATGGAGTTTATTCTTAGAAAAGTGTGCGGTGCAGAGATAACGCTGAATTTCATAATGCATTATGAAACCTCTGCGTAGGCACCTTGAGCTGCACCTCCCTCAGAAATAATATTTCCAACACAAATATAAATTTATACTAAAATAACTTCAAAAGTTATAATTCCCATATGAAGTCAATTTATTCTAAAATTAATATAAATCTTCTCTCCAGATTCGAAATTTCTACGTGTTAATCTGTTGGAACAGAATTTAGTCAGTTCAAATACAGCCAATGTATCTAATCTGTCTATCTACAGCCAATCTAAATATTTATAATCCATTTGTAATAATAAGATGGATTATAAATATTTGTGGAAATCTGGAATTTTCATATACTATTGACTATATATTATTATCGCTATACTATATATTTTCATGAACTATTATATATCATCTCAATTTGATTCATTGCTTGTCAAACGATATTTAATTTATTGGTACTTTTAATGCAACAAATCTTGAGCATCTTGAAATGCTTCAAGTCTATATGTAGACGTACCTACGTACTGTTTCAGCTCGTCGATGACAATATAAATGGTATGGGCATTAAGCCCAGCGAAATAATAAAATTTGTCAACTGGAAAGCACTCTAAAGCTAAATTTTTTGTCATGTACATGTTATTTCCTCATTCCTTGCTTATAAGCACAATAAATAAGTGAAAGCATGAATCTTCCAAGTAAGGAAATAAGTAATACGGCAAATAAGTTTTTGTGCTCTTTAGGAACAGAGAAATGGGCAATTTCCCTGTTCGTCGACAAGAATGAGGATACGCTTTTACATATTTTACAAATATGTATGCATGTTAAGCACTACAACGGTTTACAACAAAGCGTAAGCATCACGAAAATCATAATTAAACCCATGAAATTTTTTCAATTTAAAGGGAATGGGTTAAAATAAAATATTTTATCTGCATACCAATTTTATATATCTCATTTTAGGACTGGATATTTTTCATAAATTTTTTAACTTCTTCGATACCATCTCATCTGCATACGATTCATGGAATGAGTTGGTGGCCAGTTAAACTCTGTCGACAATACAGAACTACCTACTTGCACATTAATATTCAGTGACAGGGAGCTCGTTTTAACAGGTCATATACATATTGCGAAACTAAAAAGAAGTTACTTGCGTTGGCGACTGTCACAATCATTTTTTCGACTATGATGAATTTTATTTTGTATCAGACAGGATACAGAATGCCACTTCTTTTTGTACAACTTCCTTCTGCTCAGCTGTCAAAAAACTTTACAATTTTTCCTCCACAACTATAAAGTACTTCTTTTTGCCCTTTTCAAAATCGTAAAAAATGTTCACCTTCGCAGGAGTTAGTGCATAATGTAAGTAGTTGTAGTATTCAGAGACGATACGGCGTGGGACTCGGACTCGTGCACACAGCAAAAGTTGAAGCGAATCTCTATGAGATGAAATCATCGCCAAAGTTGTTTGAAACGACAGGTGAAAGTGTATGCAAAAGCTCAAGAAAGCATCCTTTCGATGAAATTTCCTTCCTTTCGATCCCCTGATTTAAGAAGGAGAAAGGTATTGCACAACATTCGACTCGCTTGACACATAGCTTGGGGCAAGATGAACTCGGTTAATAATAAGTCCGGCATGACGAGGGGAATCGAAGTGGTCTATAATCCATTAAATTGTATGACTGGCTGCGGTTCTGGTCGGTCAACCAGCACTATTTTATGACTCTTTATTATGCGTTATTTTTCTGGTTACACTTTTATAGCGTCTTTATACCGCCTACATATATTTGTACAGCGAGTGTTGCAATATGCTTCCTGGACTTGAGGAGGAAAAGGTAAGGGCTGAGTCGAATCTGGAATGTGACCAGAATATTGAAACAATCTACGAAGCAGTAAATCACACAAGGTTTTCTCCATCCCTTTGAAGCTGCTATGTCTATAGATTTTTATAATAAGATAGACATGATGAATCGTCATCATTTGTTTGAATACCTTTCTTACGAAATATCAAATTGGTTTGTAGGAACTAGGAATTTATCCCTAGTTCTCGCAAAATGGTGGCTATTTGTCATCTTCCTTCGCCTCACACAAATGCTAAAATTCATGATTGCAACTGCTGAAGTAGCACTGACCTATTTCTACAAATGGTGCAACGTCTTTGTCTTTTTCCAACCAGATTCTCACATTAGTGATCAAGTTGAAAAATGCGATTCTTCCAAATGCGAAAAGTTGCTGGAGAAGTTGTAGCAGTACTTTTGTGCATACTTTTTGGGTTGCTGCACATTTTACCAAAGCTTAACTTCCAGTTTGCTTTAGCGTTCAAAATAATACCAACCACATTGCCAAATAAACACGTGCTTTTAATTAATTATAGAATTTAATTATGCATATCCTTCAAAATTAAACGTGGATCTTTAACAAGCGTGATTGAAATTTTAATAATACTAGCATACTTTAGAAAAGTATTGACATTATCAAGTTCATGGAACTAATTTGTTAAGTGTCTAGCTTAAATTTCAACCCGAAAAAAATCTGAAAAGTCAAATGAAATGTCAAATAGTTAGTGCTGAGTGAGCCACGAGACTGGAGAAGGTCTCCGCACAATTTGAAATCTACACAATTCAGGAAGAACACAAATCAATCAATGTCTTTCCTCTCTTCAGCCCAATGGAAGAATTTATTAGCTTTCTGATAAGAAATTGAGGATGAGAGAACTTTATATAGCTCTGCCATGTTAGAGAAATCACGTGATTCTTTCTTTATTTAGTTGTTAGTGAACAAAATCAGGAAATTAATAACAAGAAAAGCTTTCACCCGGAACGAACCCCTCAAGCCACGCTAAAATATACATAAGTCACGCAATAAGAAACTCCTTATTTTAAATCTTTGCTGTATACAAAGAATTATTCATTATCGTTTGCTTTTGGGCAGCGAAGGATTTCCTGAGGAGCACAAGATACGCAACACAATTATTTATTACTTGCTTCGGGCTTGACTACAAATAAGTCGCACTGAATTAAGTTCCCTAATAAATCAATTATAAATGTTTAAAAATTATCGTCAACTACTTGCAACTGCTGTTTATCAAGATCTTACAAACGCTGAAATGGTCGAATTATAATTGCTGAAAGGTTAGAAAATTCAGTCTTCTAGAGTCATATACCTCAAAAATTAATTTAAGGCCTTGATAATTTTGATTTATGATTCGCCTACGAAGTACGAATGCAAAATTTTGTTTGCCTTTTTCCCAGCAGTCGTCACAAAGTATTATTTATACCCGAAATACATACATAATTAACGGAATGGGACACCGTGAGTAATTCGATCTGATGATTATTAAGTAAGATAAGTTGGAAATAGGGAGATACCAATGCCAAACACTTTGTTATTAACAGTGTGAAATTAAGAGTGAATGTAAATACTTGATCAAGCCCATTTTCTATATAGAACAGTGCAAATTGGAGGGGGTAAAATTTCTTGGAGCATGAAAATTAATTTTCATTTGTAGGAAAGAAGCAGCGAGTTTGGTTAGCACAACTTTGAGCTAACCAATAATCCATGAAACTCGTGCCAGCTAATGATGGGACAAGTAAATGATAAGCTGCTTCTCCTCCAACCAAGACAGTTGATTAACCATGAAAGAATCGTTTTTGACATATTTGCCCTCACAGAATTATAATTGAAATCAGGACGAGAGAGAGAGAGAGGAGAGCAAACATTTACAAGGAGTTTTGGTTAGCTCGGCACCAATGTTGACTGGATTACATGGGTTATAACTTATTGTGAGGTTAAGTTTCTCCTCGTGTGGGAAATCCTTCTTCTTATTTCGCGAGTGAGAGACGACGACAAGAGAAAGCGACTACTGACTGGAACCAACTGACATGATTGAGTCCACCACCATCACTACCGTGAATTATAGAAGTCCACAACTCAACTTCCTTCCTCGTCGTCGGTGCGATTCACACTTGTAGTTTTGCAGAGTGGTTTCAAGCTTCGGGTTCCAAGAAACTTCACAATTTGCTGGTAACTTATTTGCTTGGATGGGTGACAGGAGGAAGAAAATGGATGTGACTCTGGATTTAATTTTAATTATTTACGGTCCAGAAACTTCGTAAGCGCAAATCCATCGCATAAGAGCAGGCTTAACACTTTCTTGGGGAACATATACAGATCTATCCTTTTTAGGCTTAGCATCCGTCATTTCAAAGAAACTATTTCTCACAGTCGTCGTCGTCGTGTAAGACTCAGAAACCACAACATTAAGAGCAATCTGTACCCACGGAGTTCTTGCCTATTTATTTATACGTGTGTGTGTTATAGCCTGGCATCAAGGGAAAATAATTATCATCAACTCCCGTGTGTGAGCAATAACAAATTATATATGCAATTCCCGATTTCGTGTGCCAGCTTTGACCACCTACTCAGAAACCAAGTGAACCTTGAAATGTGAAAGTACAGATATTCACGGAGGTGAAATGCTTGCATATGTCAGATATACTTACTTTTCAAAGGAGCATACCAAAGGAGTAGTAAGTAGCTATCTAATGTCATTATTGGAATCAATGGCAGGATTCCAACTTGCTCTCTTGTTCCCATGTTACGTAAGTCTATACTGAGCAAACGAACGTCAGAGAGGTTGATGCCTGAGTCTACTTTCAGGGGCCTTTGTGTGCTGATCTCAAGTTTTATGGCAGAGGTTAACTACCCAGGGGTTCATTCTGCAGGAAGCTAATCAAAGAAGAAAAGTTGAAAGGGGAGCGTAGTAGGTAATAATATCCGGAACCCCCAACAGAGACATAACCAACAGAACATGGCCATTTACATTAAAAGAATTGGATTCAGTTCTCAACAGCATTCCTTCACCGGCTGAGACGGCGATACATACAATGTGGTTTCATTTTTGGTTCGTCTTTGGTTACACGAATTGCTAGTACGGTAGACCTCAAATGCTTGGAAATGTCCCTAGTTTCTTTAACTGGGACAATGAATTGGCCAATTTTATGGAATAGTAAGTTTGCTCGTAGAAAATACAATTCAGAGGAACCAATTAATTATGCCCCTTTTTAATTTTCAAAATAATAATCATTGTGCACCTGTTACACAATCGTTCGACTGGATATCAGGTTAAAAGCATACCTATTAAACTAAATATGTTAAGGGCTAATTTAATTTGTCAAAACATCAAGATTTTACGCAATAAAAATTTCTTAGAAATGCTCTCAAAATTTCACGCTCATTCAGGCGCTATTTGTCTAATAATGTTACGAACATTTTCCACGAATGCAGCTCACATACACAGCTCAGAAAGACGAGAAAACCATGGGATTGGTATTGTCGTTAGTGAAGGTATTGATAACAAGTCAATAATTGATGAACAATGTCAAATATCAATAACGAGGAGATCTTGAGCGAAATAATAAATCTTACGTGTATAAATATACGTAGAAGTATATGCACTTACATAACGCTGTATTATGTCACATAGAGGTGCATAGATGTATGTAGACGTACGTAGGATAGTGATGATTGAAGGCGTACCAAGAGAGAAAACTAGAGGAGGATTCCTTCTCTGTTCAATCCTTAACAGGCACACAATAAGCCAGGAGAAAATCTATTGAGAGCCGGAGAAAGAATCAAACCTCCTTCGTTCATACATAGATACGCAAGCAGACAAATGTCTATGGCCATATACGACATAGACAATGTAGGCAACTTGGTTGGGTTTGAACTAAAAAGGAAAAAAAGTAGATGCGATAAATAGAATCTCCCCTTTGTCACTTCAAGCATGGCGAGAAATTCACGGGTGAAATGGCAACATGGAGGAAGAATCATCGTCGCTGAATTGATGGATAAATACTTATACACAACTTATTTTGCAGGCCCATGTGCAGGTATAGGCATACCTAAACATATTTATGTCCACATACATAGACGATGCATATGTACATACGTCTCCGTGAATCTTGGAATTTGTGTATGTCTCAGAGGAGAAATTACGCAAAAAACTCAAACGTCAAGAGGAATGCCTCAAAGTCACAGCATGGCTGCAGCTTGCTTCCCGATAAACTTCCGGCCTCCGTGAAACTTCCGAATTTCGAAATTTCTGTCACAGGATTCACCAAATCGGAAATAAAATGTTGCCTTCTCTTGAGTCGTAAAGTAGGTGAAATTGCATTAAAATGAATGAAGTTGCTTCAGAAGGGGAGGTGCCATGGCGGAAAGCAGTCTCTCCATATCTACGTTGTTATAACACTCCTCGCAATGTTTGCCATTCGTTTGGCTCAAGTGGAGGAGCACTGCATTGAATGATTGATGTCGCCGACATCTTGCCTCCCGTTAGAGAAATCCATCGTCCTTTTAAACTTGGACGAATTGGACAAAAGTTTTTCCGCTTCCATAAAGAATTTTATTTGTGCTGACTCCCACATGATGACATCCATTACCGAGTTGATAAAAATTGCCAGAGTTGATTGTAAATGAAGGGGCGAAATATTTGTCTGACATTGGCTGCCTGTCAGCACTGGGTGAAACAAGGTCTGTGCACAATAAGGTAAACTTCCGAAAGTCTGCTTGCCCACTACTCATCAACCACAACAAAGTCGTAAATCACATGGTTGTTTCTTCCCATCAGACTAAAGGAGAGTCAACAAAACAAGGAAAAATATATAAAAGGCTCCCGAGCGACCAATACTAGTTGAACTCAAGGTTAGAGGGAAAGTGAAAATGTATAAATATAAAAAAACACACCACGTACTGCAGTCTGCTAACTTTCACCACTATTACCCAAGCATGGCATAGGATTGTTAAGAAGAGTCCCGTGGGAAACCATTGTAGAGTTGAATGAAGCATTTAGAGCAGTGGTGTAGCAGTGGTGGTCGGAGTTTGGGAAGATCCATTGGTTTCCGCACTTTCTCCTTTCCCTCCTTGTTTCACCCACCAACATCGCGACATCATCATCATATTCCCCACCACCGGGAATGAGCATGAAATGTTGGATATAACTCAGGTTGGCCAAAACTTAAAGCAGTAGTCGAATCATGGAAATGGTGTTATTATGTTTCAACCGAAATCCCTGGTGGGCTCGTAAATCCCATACATTGTATTTTTATGACTCCTACACTCACCATTCCCACGTATACAATGCTTCGGAGACAATGGAGCAGTTTAATTCACATCAGTTTAGTCTGCTGATATTTCTAACTTTGGACTTGTGCTTGAGAGAAAAGTATGTAATTATTATGAATGCCATCCCGATTTATGAGGAATCAATTGAACCTTAATTATGCATTATTTATATTTATTAGACATCAATGACGTCGTAATAGCGTCACTTGGTCAGACAGAATGCATTGAGTTGTTTTGTAGAAGCGGGTCTAAGAGGTGCAGGTACTTCGGAAGTAAAATCTACTCAATCGCAGTGGAGAAATTAACTTTTGGTCACTTCAAGCTACGGTTCTTCAGTAGGTCTGAATAAGAGGGAAAGGTGCTGGTAAGTGGAAAGTAGTGATTAATCGAAGGGCTGTGTAAGAGGTCATAAAATAAATGCTCCCTGTCCAACAGTTGTCACCGTATAATGCATTATCGACATGTGAGTGGCGTGATTGTGCGTCAGACCACATTTGTCTCCTTCTCAGTGTTCAATGTTTTAAGAGAGTAATGTTCTCTACGCACATTATTCATTGTTACGAAAAAATTGTAGTGACGACAATACAGTTAAAGGGTGTACATATATGTAGCATACGTATTCTAATAATAGCACATTGGTTTAACGTCTTACTGATCATCATGGAATGGTCCCACCAATCGCTTTTACACAGCCAAGCCTTAAGTTCGTCCGCAGTGTAGCTAACGATTGCAATGGGAGGTGCAACCAGGGTTCTTATCACAAGTAATGAAGTAAATGTACCGACGATGGCGCTGTAAATTAATTAATCGCATTAGTTAATAATCGTAAATATGCATTACATCGGTGTAGAGCTGTAAATTTATTTCATAACTTCTTCTTACCCCAATCGTTTCATTAAATCAAGATCTGTTATCTTTATGGCTTTGGCCGATCGAACTCGAAAGATGACGGAAATTCTGAAATAAAAATCAAACTCTCAATTTATTTTCGCTTTGAAAGTATTATAACTTGTCGAGATTAACGCCTGCAAATGCCCAGAAAAACCTTGCTGCAAAACTAATATAAGCATGTTTGTTTTTGATATAAAAAAACTATCAAGGCCATCTTAAGCATTATGGCGAGGGAAGAGGTTCGTTTGATAACAGTATGCTTTGATCCACAAAATGTAATAATATCAAATTCCTGCGTGGATAACTTAGTCATGTCTCCAGGCCTTAATGTAACCTTGTTTTTTGGCTTCTGACAAAATGTGTATACGTTTCCTTTACCTGTTTTGTGGTAGGAAATCACCAAATATATACAAAATACATAGATACGTATGCCGTAATTACACCCAAAGCGATTACCAATGTAGCTAATGGAGAATTTTGATCAAAAACGAATTGCATTTTTAGAAAGAAAAAAAGCTGGAAATAAATTGGTCTTACCTCCATGTCTTGAGAAGTAGGCTTCCATAGGCCAGAGAAAAACCAATCTCCCGTAACCATACTCTGAGAGTGCAGGTTATTACACTTGGACTCGGATAATTCACCAGAATCTGGAATTTTAATTGAGTCTCAAGTTTACCAAGATTTATAAAAATTAACTCATTAATTTGTATACCAAAGTTTTGTTTCTAATTAACCAATATATTTAGATCGTTATTCTATTCATTTCGCCGCATTGAGGTTATAAATTGTGGAGTAACAAACCCAGGTATTGCGGGACGTTCTCATTGTATATATTCCAATAAAGTTTGATTATATCTAGATGCGTAAATCAGAGTCAAGCAAGCTAACTTTAACAGGTGAATGAATGCACCAAGACTTGTTATTAATATTAATTAAGAGAGAACCAGTTCAAGTTCCCATTATGGGATATAGTTAGAAAATTAGAAAAAAATATCTTTATGGTGACCGAGATCGATGGACAGGTGTTAGGCATTTCAACATTTAAAAATAGTTGTACATAAATATGTTGTAAAGTTGTATGGTGTCGTAATACGATGATAGTTGCACTTTAAAAAAATGAGCATTAATAACTTTTAAGCTTCCAGGATCAATAATTTGTTTAACATCACCCTTTGATAAACTTCGTTTCAATGATTCTCAATTTCTCGGAAATTTCCACCGGATAGAAAATAGTTTTTTAAGCGTAAAACACTGTTTTTTTAAGAAGATAGACATATTGTTTTTACATTAAAATACACAAAACACCATATTACATATTTTCTAACTACGAGTTGAACCCTATACGACCTCTGCAGTGCGCAACATGGCTATGCATGTATGCACTTTGTTGGAAACAAGACTGACTTTTTCGTAAAATGAATGAAAAATTTTCAATATCTTCTTCATAAGAGTTTCTTCGAACCTATGTACTGACCACATTCTTACACACGTAACAGTATCGTGCATACATATTCTTTGAAGTATGCGGAGAAAGTCATGTTTTTCATGCATAATTCATACGATTTTTTAACTGTTGTACATTTTAGCACAAAGTGAAAGTTTTTTCATTATAAAATAAAATAAATGCGTATAAAACTGCAGTTGCTTGTACATATATATGTAAAGTTTTAGAGTGAAAGATATTGCATTAGGATCACTCACGGTGCAGTAGATGAAGAAAGCTCCAAGGACGATGAATCGTAGCAAAACTGGGCTTGCTGCGCGGACAACCTGTAACACAAAAATAAGAGGTTGTTACACATTCCATTCCATCTTGAAGAATTTATTCCAACGTCGATTTCAGCATTTTAGACTCCACCAACGGACAAACCGATGCATTAGGGATGGATGGCAGAACGCATACGTACTATTATTGATAAGACCTACATACATATAGCCCACATCTGCACATCGCCAACCATCGCATCGTACACGTATGATACCTGAGGAATAATTGAAACGTGAATGCCGAGGTGAAACAAGATCGGATAGACAACTTATAGAAAATTGAAAGGAACAAAGCAAAGTTTCCAAGGATAAAGGACGGGTGCACGGTAAGTGGAGTAGAATTGATTCGCCTGCCTACGCAGTTTGAACGATTCTACTCATTTCTCTCGTATTCAATTCCAATTCCTACATTACGCTTAAACAGACAATGAAATCTCGATTCACTGAATAGGTTCAGTTAGTTTGAGAATAGTTGAAGTATGAGTGTCACCATCCACCCAGCGGAAGGACAACAGTCTAAACAGTCTAATAATTCCATACACTTGGCAATATAAGGCCCTCAACCATGCGACCAGGTTCTGCGTGAAAGCAAAAGATAAAAGTCTGCAAAAAGTGTGTGCATGATAGTATTCATAGTATTCTTTCATACAATAATATGTATGTAAGTCTACGGTTGGGGAACAGTGATCTGGGGTTTGTGCAGGAAATTGCGCACGGATACATGAGCACCACAAAACAGATCATGATTCTCCCCACCATTCTCGTCATCATGTGGTTTGTCTTTATGAAAGAAAGATGAACCAATACTTGTCTTATTTGCCTCTCGTGGGGTATTACAGACAATATTTTGGGCCCCCTAGAGCACACCGCACATCTCGCATAACCCACGGAAGGACAGTTTCCCTTCAGGATATACATAGAGCTCTGACTGAGTTCTTGAAGTTGAAGGGAACTAAGGATGACTTCACTCCACTGAACTGTAAGAAAAGAAAGAAGAAGAGACGACTCATGCCAGTCTGAGTCCGAGTGAAAATTTAGGCTTCTGTCTCAGTAAGTAATGTTCTGCTTTCAGAGCTTCATCTTCTAAAAAGAGCAAGATTATGACAGGTAAAAAATGACAAGACCCAACTGAAAGAGACACAGAGAATTAGATCTCCTTGGGGAGCACAATTACATTTCTAGCTGCCACAAATTGCATTAACTGACTTGAACCGTGTTACTCTTGCACGCTCCAACAAACGACAGAACAAGTTATCCACGTGCGACTGAAATCGTAAAAATAATTTTTCGTCCACTTGCACGTAAAAGTTCCCCACAGAAAAGGACAACATTATTATCTCAATCTCCCCCCGCTTGGCTGTTAGTGGGTCCAACCGAGTGTGACATTTCTTTGGTTTGGGAAACGATAAGATGAAAAGAAATGAAAATGAGTTAAGGAGATGGACATAACTTGTTCTTTGAATTTCCAGACTGGGAGTTTTGCAAAAGAAATTTCTCACAATTTCCTTTTTATGAAACTAATAACTACAGAGCCTGAACGTGGTATTGGTGGAAGCACCAAAATCATAATGAAGGTTGTTTCAAACGCTCATTGCACCATTACGAATCCTTTCCTCTTGAAAACTGTTGACACTGAGATAGCCACAGACGTCTTATTACATGGTCAGAGTTTCAAAAATTTGGTGACAATCAGGCAAACTAAATTAATTCTGATAAAGTTTAACTATTGTACGTTTACAAAAAACCTTTAAATTTTAGGAACATTACAAAATATGCTATATCTCGAGGTATTATAATGTTGGTTATAATTGCATCCTCAGAGTTCAAGTAGCATGATATTAATGTCAATTTATTACTTACCTTAACATTAGAGTATTTGTAAGTGAAAAGTCCGACTATCGGCAGCATGGCAATAATTGCGCCTTGGAGGATGAGACTGTAAACATATTATTTTGTTATTTCATCATTAGGCCAAAGTTTCTGAGCATTAGTTGCTTGATTTGTGTAAAGGTGTGCACATATTCACGCTCACATTGCAGTTCTCATCAACCAGTTGAGTGAAACGACACAGGGCCTATCGTCAACACAGGTATCACAGCCAAATGGACACGGGAGGCACTCGAATAGGCCGTCCATGTCGTAAAGACTCGTCTCGTTCTGCTGTGATGAGAAAATCAGAGACAAAATATTTCATGATATTCCATTCAATTTGGTAAAGTAAAGGTAAATATTCTGACAACGAAACGCCACACGGCACAACATCAAAATAAATATTTATCTACACTTGAAAATCAAGGAGAAATAGGTCCAAACTCATTCATTCCATGATATTAACCCATCGTGTATGTCCTTAAATAGCACTTCATTATACGCATTTTGTATGAGGCTGGAGACAAAGTTCCTACAGACACCTACACATGCCCTGCAGTGTATTCTTTTATCTGTTAGAAAACACCTGACATAATTTGAAGGATGAATGAAGTATGAAATAAGACATGCTTTTCAGGTGAAGGACGCAAAAAAAGTATCCCACTTACTTTCACGGAAGACATAATTTTTAAGGAAGTAACACCGTGTTATTTTTAGCTTTCGAATGTCTGAATTTTTTCGTTGCAATCTTAAGTATTTCATCATGATTTACATTTAAAAGAGAATAGAGAATGATGCGTTTCTCATCCATTTATACGTTTGCTTTCTCAAACCCTGCTCTGGCCTGCGGAAAATCAAAGCTGGCTACTTTCTCAATGGCAATAGCGTACAGCCTGATATTAAATCAGCATTGGGAAACAAACCAAACCTCTCTTTTGGTGTACTCAATCATTCTCCACTCTGCAGCTCTCCGCTGGCTGCGTATTTCGCTAGAAACGGTAGAAAGCAAACGCAATCTTCGAGCGACTTTCTCCACGTTATTTTTTACCACAAACATCTTGGCTGGCGCAGAACCTCGGAAACTGTATTCCGTGTCACCAGCTTTTCCCCCAATAACTAAAATTTAGTGTTTCTCTTACGCAACTTAACAAAATGTTTTGTGCTGCTCCCCACAATTTCAGTCCCCAGAATTCCACCAAAGCAGTCTTCTTTTCTTGGGCACTATCACAATATGAAAGTGACAGATAGCATGAATCAGTCTGCTGCACACAAAAGACCAGAACGAGCTATAGTTGCATGATTTAGATGAAGGGATTTTTGGCTTCAAGTTAGCAAGCCAGGCCAACTTGAAGTGCGTACGTACATATAAATTCTAATATTACTTAAGTGAAATGAGGTAATTTGGATGAGGGGGCGAGAAGATGGAATTTCTGACTCGAAAATATAACCTTTTATTAAGTATGAAAACACGTGTCAGGCCAATATATGCAGGATAACATATCTACCAACACAGATAAGTCGTAATAATGGAGATAAATAGAAAACCTTATAATTAATTATTTGATTGAGCTCGTTTCGGTTCGCTCATTAAGAGAAAAGATAATTTGTAGGATGTCAAACATCTTTGTGACGACTTTGTAGATTTATCGAGTTTTATTTGCATTTTAACCTTCTAATCACGCCCGTCCACCGTTGTCTCTAATTTGCAAAGCTTTGAGCTCATCTATATTGATGTGTACACATGTAACATTAATTCTGTATGTAAATTAAAAGTCATTGAGGGAGAATCGAATCGAAATTACGCAGGAACTATGATTACAATTATAATTCTTGTATAACGTGACCTTATTGAATACACGTTGATTCTGATTGGATTTATCTCAGTTGGCCAAAAATAGTATGAGCTTTTTGTAACATATAATTACTTATCAGTGATATTTATAACATCGTTACATATCGGTACTTTTCATCACCTCGTTATATAATTTAGCAGAGATTGCCAATTAAAAATATGCCAAGGAGTGTATATCTCATGACAAGGCTATATATACGCTTCCCTCTTAGAAGTATTTTAGAAATAGATTATTTTCTCGACATATGAGCTCAATCACGTGTCACCATCTAAATGCCTATACAAATGCAATTATCTCCCTCCAAATTTTTCTATCTGCAGCTTACACATAAAATTCTTCAGCTCTATATATGGGCATGACCATCGCATTATCGCATACTTTTGGTATACACATATCCTTAGTTCCTTATATTGCATAATTTCAGAAAAAAATTCTTGCTGCAGCATTTTTGGTTGGCATTTAAGGGATTGTGAATTGCACACATAGATATACAATAGTGTACGTGTATGTATGTATGTATCTCGCAGCAGAGTGAGCTGATAATAATAGTATCATATGTATGCAGCTTGTTATGTCGTTATTCTAGTCCCGTAGTCGTCTTTTGATTAAAAAACAGATCCAGAAACTGTATTCCACAGGATAGAAAATCATGTTTGATATTCTTCGAGGGAAACAATAAATTTGTTGCATGGTGCCCGACAAACGCTGCACAATTTATATACGCTATATGTTTGCAGCACGTATATTAAGAAGCGATTTGCCGTACTATTTCTTTATTTCGCTTAATAGATTTCTCTAAAATTCAACTATGCACAAAAGAGTGGACTCCATACAAAATCCAAATACGCAATCTTAATGACATTTTAATTGCATATGTAACTAGGAACATCAAACAATGTATAAGGCTATTCTATGCTATCTCTACTGAGATTAATCATATGCATACAATCAAGATGCACACTCAAGATTTCACTTTCACTATCTTTGGTAGTAGCAGGTTTCTTACTCAGGACAATGCGATGAGATAGATAGGACAAATTTAGCTTGGCGTAGTTCGTCTGAAAAGGTCACTTTGTCTTGGGTGCACATGGCGTATTGGGCTATGTACATATGTACTCGTGCATGTGTGCATAGCGACATACGTAGTCCTGCTTTCACACTCGCACTACATCCAATTTATATTCTCTCGGAGACTGAAAGCTAAACCAAGTCATTTTGATTATATGCTAGAATTGAAGAGAGATTTCAGTGACACATGTTTTGTATTTGCTCCAGCGAGAAGGATGCAGTGAACCCTGCGAGTAGGCACAATGGTAAATTGGTATTCGGATGTGGAAAGCATTTTCAATTGGTTCGAAGGAAGGCGACGACAAGAAAAATTGATTGCCACACTGTCTTCCACTACCACCAGATACCTTGTCCTGTTCACGGTTCAATAATATGTACCTTGATGACCTACGCAGTTGTACATCACAACACATGTACAAATGGAGTAAATCAGAAAATCAAGTAGGTAGGTTGGCATTCCTGCACTTTTACCTTTATGCAGAAGTGCAATACACAGGCACCAAGAAAACTAGGAAAAGGCGGACATACCCAGAATCCAGTAAACTTTTTTTCATACTCCTCCTCGAGCAGAGTGCCATTGAAATACTTGTGTGCCGACGAGACATTGGGAAAGTAAAACCCATCCTAATGAGAAAAATTACAACACATTACGAAACCAGTCAAACATATTAAGAAGTTTGCAAACAAATTCAAGCAGTGTGTGTATAAGAACTTTACCTTGCATATACATCGATAGCTTCCACGTCGAAATCCGAGTCCTTTTAGTGGCACACACTAAGTACAGATAGATACACATGAAAACCACAAATAAAAAAACACGTAAAACACTTTATTTTCCTCTTCTTTTTCAAGAATCCACCCAGGTCAAGAGACTTTCACCCGCTCTTCCTTACACACGTCGTACCAAAGAAAAGGAATGTGGATACAATAAAATTGCCAGACTTTCACACGACATTCTTTTAATGTTTGCTCTCATTTTGGAAAGTACACTCGTATTATGACTTCATTCCCTTCAAGATCCAACCCGGCACTGTTTTCATGGGTTTACATAAAAAACCTACCTCAATAAACATTGTATTTTATGCTCCCAGCCTAGTTTATGTATGTACATATATATTTAGATGCTTATATGTATCACTCAAATGGTTTACACATTTCTACATATTTCTCTTATTCTAACAAAACCTATCCTTAGTTTGGCTTTAAGAAATTTAGTTTACCGTATTTTTATCAGTCAACATTGACACAAATTCTAAAACAATTGGGTATGTACGTATTACATACATACACTAAATTGTAAAAAAATATATCACCTTCCTTCAAAGAAATACATACGTAAGTACTTAGAAAGTTAGTGGGCTATACTAGTTTTACTATTTTGCACAAGAGAATTACAATACTTACATATTTCTTGTCGCAGTTTTAGCAGTTCTACTAACAAGATTACTAAACATAAATATGATAGTATGTATGTACATAAGATGCCATATACATATACCATATACATATTTACCTACTATTTACCATATACATAAGATGAAATAATTAACTAAAATTAGGTGTAATTAGGTATGCAGCTAATTACCCAAACTTGAATAGATTCTTCCAAGGATTTTTCACCTGCCTTTATTATTTGCAATAGGATATTAATTAAGGAAGTAGTTCTTGCTATTTAATCCAAATATGAAATGTAATATGCAAATTTGAAACTTCTCATAATGAATACCCTATCACTGCGAACGGACAGTGAGTACACCCAAAAAGTATTGTATAAACTTTAACTTTCTCCCATCTACGAGTTATTATACTACAAAGCTATCTGAAGCTTCCTACATTTTTATAACAAAGTTATCGCGAGTATAAATCCACGAGTAACCATAAGGCATAGATCGAGCTGAATATCTTGATTGCATATATTAAAGAAGAGTTCGGGAGATGGAAATGTAAAAATAACATAAATTAAGATCCAAATCATAACTTTCACTCTGGTAAATAATGTGAAGCTGATCCGAGGCACAGTTCTGCATCCATTCCACCGTTCAGATTTCGGATGATAAGTATCACATAAAATACTTTGAAGGTAAAAATGTCGAGGAGCAACTCCATATTAGATTGCGCACAAAGTTATCCCGGTTGACGTGTGCTTGACTTTTGTGATGTCTCCCAAAGTCAAAAGTTATTGACTTGCCCAATATCCGAACCTCGGTGTCAGTATCTAGTATCCATCTACTACATGCATTCCACTCCTCTGACGGTGTTTGGTTGAGAGTTCATGTCTGTACAAGTGTACGCAGTAGTTGTACGCGTCATATGCTACTATTTCGAACCACTACACATATCGAACCGCATGTGCATGAAAGGGATATGCATGATGCCACTCGAATACGAAGTCTGCTTCCGTGAGATCCTACACATGCATACGCGTCTCACATTCTCTTCCATCCGATCATCATTGAAATTCCATCACGTTTTTGTCGTCTTATCATTCTCACACGGGTGCTTCTCCATCCTTCGTTAGTATACTGATCATTTATATTTCAAACTGAAGGGTACGCGGTGGTGACGGTCTCCAATTCACTCCTGTGATGGAAAGTCACTCTCTCCGTAGGAATGTACATGTGTCCTACTACACAGTGGAAAATAAATATACTCTCGTCCTCACTGTGGTCCTTTTGTAACCGAATACCCATGATCCCGCGATCACCTCAGCTATCGGCCTGTAGGACACTGCACGATTGCTGCTGATGTCGCAGCTTCATTCCTTCACATATCGTGTTCATAGCGTTCATAATCCAATGCCTGTGGGCGTAATTCGGAAGTCGCAGAAACGGTTAGATTTGAAAAATGAAAAAATGATTTCCTTTCGACTTATGTACACTGAAATGATTTTTACGACAAGCCGAAGCTTCGTTGCTACCTAAGCTGAAGACAGAATATGATGGCTACCGTCCAAACTCAAGTTGCAGATAAATGTCTACAAGAAAGCCGTGGGTTAATCTTAAAGGCTGACCATTAACCTTTGATGACTTTGGATCATATGGATGAGTCCAACATAGCCAAAAGCTATTCCGAAAGGGAAAGTTGATTTTGCTGTCGAGATTTACACAGCAAAGCACACGAACCCCACGTTTTCATCTTCTTCGGGAGCGATGAAATGGCGTGGAAGGAAGCATCTTAGGAAACTCAGTTTATTTTCCAAAGGCTTTGAAAATTATTGGAGTTGTTCAAAAGGAAATTTGATCCCAACTTCATTTCAGATTAAAAGAGTCTCAATTTTCTCTTCGTCATCAAATAAATGAAGACAAAGGACGGAAAAAGTGAGCAAAGGCTTACTGCAAAAAAGTAGGCTTACAGCAAAAGTTGTCAAAACCCTTTCTCTCTAAGACTCCTGTGTCTGTGCGTAAATGAAACATGATTTCAAATCTTTTGAACGTGAATTCCTATGATTCATTAAAAGCACCAAAACATACAATACGATTATTCGATTTCTTGTAATTAGTTGACGTAATTATCCTATAAATATTCTACATGAATGTACTTTCCGAAAATTAGGTTGTTAATTAAAATTTTTATCAAATGCGTAAATGTCTTTAAAGGTGTCGAGGATCTTGTGGGTCGATTATTGAAAAATATTGAAATTGCTTACCTTGGTTGTAGCGTTTTTACATTTGTCAGAAGCTGAAAAAACGTGGCGAATATTAGTCATTCTCTCTCCACATTTTGAAGTGCAAACAAAAAGTACAGGGTGCATTTTTTAATTGTTATGATTCATGCTTTTAATGCTAATAATCAAATGTAGGATTAGCTGATCTTTTACCTGCGAATATGTTGAGCTCCGTTGAATTGGCTGGTAATGGACACTGGTCAATATCAACTCTAATAAATACGACCTACTGTTAAGTACTTTCACTTTACAATAATGTATGCAAGTACGGAAATAGCTTACCTTCTCAAATCGATATCGATCCCACTTGTCCCTCTGAAAAAAAGGAAGAATATATAAAAGGCCAAGTTAAGCAATGCTCTCAAAACTTCAGTTTTAATCCCTTGAATTAGAACACACTTTCACTTTCATCACAAACAATGTTTGCCATTGTTGGTTGCTTGTACGAGCTTTACGGACAGTACAAATGACACACTACAATTTAATAAACTATTTTGGTAGATCTATAATTTATGCACAATTACAACTCAATAACGACCATGTTGTGCATTTTATTATACCCTATTTGACATCTCACAAGGGATTATTCCCGACTGCTTGTCGTGTTCAGGGTACCCACTATATATTTTTTAGAGTCTACTAGATGAAGGACCTAGATGGCCCTAGATGAAGGACCCGTTCACATTTCCGTGAAAACCACATGTCTGGCGCCGTGGCGTGGCGTCGGATTAGTAAAATTCCAGGGTGCATAAACTTTTTGTAGTCCGTGGTTTCTCCTAAGGGGGTGATGCCAGGATCAAAATTTTTATTCAAAAATTTAAATTTGGGGAATTTCATGTTTTTTTTTCTCTCTCTTTTTTTTTAATTATTGCAAAACTGAAAACTAATTTTTATTAACATAAACCTTGATAAACTATGAAATACACTTAGTTGCACTTTTACCATGACAACCACCCAAATCCATTGCAAAATTGTATGCAATTCCCCAACTTTAAATTTTTGAATAAAAATTTTCATCCTGGCATCACCCCCTTAGGAGAAACCACGGACAACAAAAAGTTTATGCACCCTGGTAAAATTCGCATAACCTTCATAACTTAAAATCCTCGACGGATTTTCAGAATTTTCCAACTCAAATAATCACAAAGAAAGAGTTTTCAGATTCGAATTCAAACCTAAAATATTTCAACATTATTTAATTTATTTAATTTATTTTGTTGGTCGGTCGAAAAAATCACCAAAATTTCGCAAGGATATAAAACCTTAGATTTTTCTTGATCATTTCAATCAAATAAATTTTGAAAATCCCGCCACACCTTCAAAGTTATGGAGGTTAAAAATAGGTCGAAAATGCAGCTTTTTAAGTTTGACGCTATGCCACGGCCACCTAATATGAGTTCTGCACGGAAATATGAAGCATCAAGGGCCTTAGTAGATTATAAAAAACATGGTGAGTACCCTGGACGCGACAAGCAGTCGAGAACCATCCCTTGTCAGTCCAAGTTTTTTGCGTAGTACACTGTACAGCCTACAATAAGCGATATTTGGCATGCATTGGTCGAATTGGAAAAGGCAAGGAAGCAAAGTGTAGAAGGAAGTTAGTTATTGGACAAACTTGGGCAAATTTAATACATGTAGTCAAAGTTTGTAAAGAAAATTAATAAATCAAGTCAATCTTGTGTGGGAAGCACTGCCATTGTGGCACTGCCATTGTCATTACTGGCGAGAATTTGTAATTGCGTTAAATATTTCATACAAGTTTCAGGTATATTCATAGCCTCCTCTGAAATGTGTTCCAAAAGTGTCAAGAACTTGAGGAACTTGAGCCTTTTGAGGAAGTTAGATAACTCCGTGGCAAACTCCCAAATAAAAGTGGAATCTACAAATCAATGTCACTATTTCGCTAAATGCTCTGCACAACTAAATGTTCTGCCAGTTTTGTCTTCACTTTGCTGTGCATAATTGGGAACGTATATTACATAACTAGTTCAACTAGGTCGAACTAGAGTTTATTTATCCGTAATGTTCGTCTGTCTGCTTCTCTACAAGTCAAGAACGGATTAACAGGTTTTCACAAAATTTGGTAGAAACATAGTTGGAAAATATGGTTTGATAAAAAAAGTTTAAGCGCAGAAAGCAGCTAATGACTTATTAGGAACATAAATGACTACATAATCCTTAAATAACTTGGGATTATTTAGGTAAAGTTAAATTGCAGAAACTCACAGCCTGCTGCGGGTGAGCCGAACCATAACTAAAAAGTTGATGTATACATATGTACGTACATTTCTAGCTGAAATCTCGTACATATAGTGAATAGTGACTAGAAATGCTTGATTATCATGCAAATGTGCATAAAGTTTAAACTTTTTGGTCTACAGAATGATCCCAACTGACGAAATTCTGGCTCGGGCAATGAAAAGTTAAAGTGAAAGGGTTTTTAATCCAAATATGGAGTATCATCCCCAAATGAACAAACACTTTCACAGAGAGCGAAATGAAAGTGTTTAACTTTTCTCACTCTGCATACATACATGTATGAAATAAATAATAAACAAAAGTTCTTTCATCACAAACTTTCCCATGCGATTAAGGAAATTGCTTTTTTAACAAAAGTGGAATTGAGATACACACACTGACGAAAGGAAAGAGTATGATGGGCAATAAAAGAGTTTCAAACTGCGACCTTGAGAAATATCGAACTTTCGCCAACTGTTATTTGTAGAGTAAGAGCATTATTGAATATAAAGTATAAAACTGAATTGAAAGCAAACCTATTGAAAAGGGCAGATGTATGTCGTTGAATTAATGTGTCGCGAGCAAATCTTTGCGACTGGAGTACTTTATTGTGAGAGTTCTCGTAATTGTATTAAGTAGTACGTAACAAAGGAAGAATATAATATTCGTTCATTGTAAAAAGTGCTGCAGTTGAAGGGAAGTTGGACCGTTTTGCTGACTCGTCGGTCACTTGGCGAACGAGCATTTAGTTGAGTTGAGAGCTTGTTCTTCTCAAGTGAGTGAAATATAGAGACTTTGCGGAAAGAGACAGGTTCATGTATATATTGATGAAATGTGAAGAGTGGGTTCCAAACAATATGAAATGAAACCCACTTTAAATCAGAATGTGTTTCGCAACAAGAAAAAGTGCTCCCTTCCGCCACACGTTCTCTCATTCAAGTATCCATCCCTCCATATGTGCATACTCCGTTGATGACCCATATTTCTGTCCCGTTTCTTATCTGTTGCGTGGTTTCGTAATAAGCCATGAAATTCTCCGAGAAAGACAGCGTTTTTCACCTCTCTAATCCATAGCCCGTCCACTCTGAATTGGGGCCACACTTTATATGATCTTGACCTGAATATGACTTTAAGCACGGTTTTGTTTAGGAATACAACAACTCAAATGCCATTAAAGAGGTTTTATATTCTGAACGGCGCCTAGAACGACAGTTGTTTTGTGTAGATGAGTAAAAGTCAAGTTATCATGTCCTCAGCGAGGGTACAGTTACATAGCCAATAGTGAAAGTGCAACAGTATTTTCTTGGTTTTTTATCACCACCACTCCGGTTTCTGCTCAACTCTTATTCATTCTGTTTCTCGTGGACGTGTTTGCCAAACTCTCAACTTGTCGTGTTCTGCGTATCCTTCGCAAACCACAACATATCCCAGTAACAAAACTCAATTTCTCTTTGGATGTATATTTGTTCGTATCTGTAGGCATTTCTAAACCGCAACTACATGACGTCTCAATTTCTCTGGTGCGGTTTTTGGGTACAAGTTTTCTCTAGAGTTGTACTATCCGCGTAAATGCACCTAAATAAGTGTCATGTCATGATTCAGGCGACTTTTCAAACAAAAGATTGTACTAGTAACGACGTATGGCTGACTCATATTGAAATTGCAGTTGAACTTTGCATGTCTACAGACTTTCACTTTTGGAATTGTTTGCCTCGTGTTCATAATTATTTATTAACGCCCTTCTGTGCAACTAAAATTCATCCTTCTCATAGTATTCTGAAAATGTATTGGAGAAAGTTGCTGGATTAAATAGTTTTCACCTTCTATTAAGTAATGTACGCTAATAATTTGCTATTGCAACATACACTGCACAAAGTTCCTATACCAAGAGAGTACCACATTGCCCCATTTACCTATATCAGCCGATCATGACTAATACACTTTTCGGTCTAGTGTCGATACTGGCAAATAGGTAAGCTGCAGGTGCACACAAACATGCAATTACTGATTAGAAATTCTCAATTTTAGGGGATAAAAATAATCTTGAAATTGCAATGCCAATTATGCAGTGTGTATGCAAGTGTAGAAGAGGGTTGGTTGTTGCCATTCCATAATTCATTCTAAACTGTTGTAAAGTGTATGTACATAAGTAAGCGAAAGAAGCGAAAGCCGCTTTACTTGTGAAAAATGAAAAGTTAAAGTGGGCGTTTCTTCTCAAATACGAATTGCGGTATATTGTGAATACACATGAACATACACTATCTAAATGCAGAACAAAAGGGCATAAGATTCCGTGAATACATGCAGCTCCATATTTTCCTCAGTTGCTTTTGTTAACTGTCAGGACAAACTGAAGCCAAACCACTTAGGAGGAGAGACCCTCTACATGTCCCTCTCAGATCTTGATGCCCTTGGCATATTAGGGTCCCCTAGGTGAGTGTATGAAAACCCTAGAGTGATTTTACTCCATGACCACATTTGCGCCCGCCATACCCATTTTACATACCCATTCAAGGGGTAGAGAATCACAAAATTAAAATTAAAATTCCCAACTTCAAAAATCCACCAAAAATCTAATTTTGCTCGGATTTTGATAAAATTTACATTTGTGTGATACTAGATACTTTGTGGTCATATCCAATAGCAATCTCAACTTTTTTGAAATTTTCGAAATTTTTGGTCATTCTGATGAATTATTCGCAAAAATTCAAAAAAGTCGAGATATCTGCTGGGTATGATCACACAAGTCTGTGGGATCAGAAAATGCAAATTTTATAAAAATCCGAGCAAAATTAGATTTTTGGTGGAAGAAGTACGTGAAAACAGGGCTTTTTTCGTGGTTTTTATACCTTTGACGGGGTGTGGAGGGCGCAAATGGGGCCATGGAATCAAACCACTTCAGGCTTTTAGAGACTCATAGGGTACTCCAACAAATACAAAGGACACCAAAATCTGAGAGGGACATGTAGAGGGTCTCTCCTCCTTAGTTATCTATGTGCTCGCTACGTCTGCCCTAAGAAGTAAAGGATATGCAACACAATTCACCTTATAGTAGTTTTTATCATGTTGGGCAAAAAAGTTAAGCTGTGTAAAAATCATTGCGTGGTGAAAGAAAGGTGCATACATACGTGCTCAATTTACACAAACGGCATTTAACACTGGGTTATGCAAAAGAATACGCCCAGAGTCTGAGCCTCAAACACAGATCGCTTTCACTGTAGAAAAGGGTTTAAATTTTACGCTTTAAATGGGGAAATTAAATGGGTCAATTTTATAACCCAAAATCTATGAATGGTTTTCCCATATCGAATGACGTTTGCAGAAATGGAGTAAAATATGTGAAAAAAAAATAGCTCACTTGAAATAATATGTCTCATTGTGGCCGTTATAGCCAAAGAACGGAACCATGTAAGTTATCATCCAAATATTCCCTCCTCCTGCAACAAATCAAAAAAGCATTATTAGAGTATCTGTTTAGAACATGCTACATCATGGGAAGACCTATTCATACATTATTTCGAATGTTCAAGTACTTCCTGAGATTTTGGTTTGCTAATCGGCAAAAAGATTATGCAACGTATGACAAATGGTTATAGGGAAAAATCGTTAAATCAACAATAATAGCTCTTTACAAGAAGCTACAGGAATATAGATTTCTTGTCTCATAAGTCGAGTTCATAATGTAAATCGTCCTGAAGTATGTATCTAGAACACTTTGATGTATCCTTTATTCAGGGATTTTGACAAACATTTCACTCCTTCAAGAAGCCATACATTTTTGAAAGGTTTTTAATATAGTGTTAAATTGAAAATTAGGTAGGATCGGCTCAAAATAACAGGACATCTATTCGACCATCTCGTGGGATATTCTCATCCCAAATGTTTGAAGGACACTAATTATTACTTACGCACAAAATTTGTAATTGCTTTACTCGATAAATATTTGAATAAGCTAAAAAGCGTTTTTACCACAATCGAAGTAAGGTTTGCTCCATTTCCCATCCTCATATGTTACGTTCAAGATTTCTTCTTCAACCAAATTCGTTTCATTCCAACGGAAGCTGTGGGAACCTGCAAAGAAAAGACGAGATTCAGTGTCTGCGATCCTAAGTGCTCGTTTTCACACACAATTTTATCAGTTGACTCGCACAAGAGCCATCCATTTCCTGCTACACTAAACTACACATTCTACCTCAAAAGGAGGGATTATCTATACTTTTGTTATAAAAATCAAAAATCTTAAAACCTCTGCTATCGAAATTTAATGTAACATGTCCGTTTTTTAGCTTCACATTTTACAATTTTCATGCACGTATCAGATCTAAATATCTTCAAATTATTTAATTGATTGCACGATATATGTGTACATACGATATGTGTATAACTATTTATTTTATTTAATGTTACTTTGTTCAAATGTTAATAGCATTGGCGGTATATGCATTTCAAGCCGACTAAGCATACGTCCAATTACCACTCGACTAAAAAATTCTCTCGTCTTGAAGATGGGCATTTCATTTGTTGGAAGAAAGTCACGATTTATTAAATAGAGATCTGCTCAACGTGCTCAAACAGCGTAAGTGGAGAGAACACGCTTTCTTTTCCCTCTCTCTTTCTCTCTCTCTCCTCAACTATTTGCTAGAGTTCCGCTATAAACATCAGCATAGTCACGAGAATGCTACACATCCATACACACTTTCGTCACGCACAGACCGAAATCGTCAAACTTTCCCTAACTTGTGCAGGAAAGTGATTTTGAGTACATAAAAGGGAACCACATGCAGGGTAGTCAGGACTGAGGGAAGGTATTTTTTAGGATGAAAACCATCAAAAAAGATTGTAAAAGAAAATGTGGCGCAATAGTTTTGAACAACTTTGTTTAGACTCAACTTTGCATTTCAATGCTTAAATCAGCAAAATCAACGTGCCCGGAAACCCTACCTGTATAAGTCAGCCTAAGGGGGACTCAAAATCGGTTACGGTTTTAACCAGGTGAGGTTTTCGTATGTGCTGTGTCAGGAAACAACTCGAGCTTTCATAATATATACGGGTGATCATTGTAGCTGCTTCAATCATTTTTTTACTTGTACAATACGTCTGTTTCTGATGTGTACTGTACTTCAAAATTTGTGATGGGACCGGATGAAACAGTTTTAGCAGAGAGTAAAATATGCCGGTCGAGTAGGAAGTAGTGTGGCTCTAGCTACATGCATTCATACATGCTTTCTGTGGATTGGAAGCCAAAGCTCTTTCCAAAATAGAGAAAGGAAGGCATTTTGGTAGGAATCCAGTTAAATTTCCCTTGGGTACTTTTCATATGGATACTACCGCATGCATACACACGTATGTGTTGCGTAGTTAAAAGAAACATTTGGCATGCATTCAGTCCCTTCCTGCATCCACTTCGCACATTGAATCCCATTCAATTTGCTCTGCTAAACGGACGTTTCCTATCCAAATGAGCACTTGAAAAGATCCATAAATGAAGACGTAATCCGCACATACAGTCAATGGAAAAAGTATTGGCAACCCCCACGCCAGCTAAATACAATTGGCTGTAACGTTGGAATGCATTATACAATTGGCATGAAAATTTGTAGGCCTTTAGCAAATATAATGTAGTTTTCGATTATAGTCATGTTTTATTGATTAAAACTAGATAAGCACAGTTTTTAAATAATTTGTTGGAAAATTTGCAAAATTAACCCGCAAAAAGTATTGGCAACATGTGGCCAAATTAATTACGCGAAACAATTTTCTTAATCAGCTACCACATTTCATTACGGTAAGTTAATTAGGTGACCAAATATGACGTTAGCTACATTTTAAGTCTACAGTTGTGTTGTCTGGAGCCAAAATGGCGACACCAAACGAGCTGTATTGGCGCCGGGAGAAATAATCATGTCTCTTTCACAAAAAAGCTTTCTTATCGAAAATTCAAAGAGAAAACATACTTTTCCAAATTTACTATTGAAAACGTAGCCAAGAAATACAAAATGGCAATCTCAGTTTCTACTTTTCCATGGTGCGAAAGGAAAAAGTCACCTACGCCCACGAGCCACTGATGAATCAAGCAAATTATCACTCGAGATCGGAAGATTTCAGCTCCCAAAACCATGTTGAATTTGAGAACCAACTGTGGGGTCAACATATCATGCAATATTGTGATCAATCAAAAATCATGCCATGGGGTTTCAGGGTCCAGAAGCTCGACTGACGCGAGGGTCCCCAAAACGAACCAACTCAATAAATTGGAATGGACTAAATACCACCCTGAATAGACTTCCAATGAATGAAAAATGTTCTGCTGGTCTGACATAAGCATATTTTGCTTATTCGGAGCCAATTGAATGGTTCAAGTCTGGCCGATGCCATAATAGGCTCACAAAAACGAATATGTTCCTATGACAGCTAAACACAGAAGAGGAGCGATTATGGTTTGGGGTTAAATGACTAGGTCGTGGGGTAGGTAGCTGGTCATTATCGATGGAATCATGACCAATGAGGTCCAAATAATCATTCTAAACGATAATTTGAAATTGTTTGATAAAAATCTAACCTATGAAAGAATTTTATATTCCGAAAATTCAGTGACCCCAAACATGTAGCCAATTTAACGATGCAAGATTTTGGATATCGAAAAGGTTAAGCTTCTTTCGTTGGCCACACAGTCTCCCGATGTGATTCTGATTTCCGGATTGAGAAAAGAGGGACTGGTGGGAAACCACTCTTCGAAAAATGAGCTTGTCAAAAGTTCGAAGGAAGTGTGAGCAGCCATATAAAAAAACGTTATATAGGAACTTGTCGAATAAATTCCACGACGTATTTTTGCTCGTATTGCGTCGAGGGGAGGTGCTACGTAATATTAGAAGCAGTTTGTCATAATAAAATTGGCGTTTCATTGATTTATGATTTTTTAAGTTAAGGGTTGCCAATACTTTTTGCGGGTAAAGTTTGCAAATTTTCCAACAAATTATTTAAAAACTGTGTTTATCTAATTTTAATCAATAAAACATGACTATAATCGAAAACTACATTATATTTGCTAATGGCCTACAAATTTACATGCCAATTGTATGATGCATTCCATGGTTATAGCCAATTTTATTTAGCTAGCGTGGGGGTTGCCAATACTTTTTCCATTGACTGTATTTTTATTCCCAGCCAATAAAGAGATACTTTTATGCCTTCTTGCATTTTGGTCTGGTCTGCGTGCGTTAACTGCATGCTGTGCTGTATGTACATAGATATGTACTAAATACCTAAATGTGAGAGTCACCCAACGGCTTTCTCCGTTAAAACGACTGCATGTAAAGTTTAGAGTTCTCAATGAGTCAGCTGTCTGTTTTACATGATAATATAATCAGTATCCAATTATGGCGTCCATCACAGAACACGAATCCTTGTAAAATTAATGACACTACGATGTGCACTATGACGTGGTCTGTTGCTATGATTCATCGATTTGTTCATGGGTGTCGGTTATACAATATCTCAGGACGGTTAAAGTTCTAAAAATCTACTTAGAACATGATTTGCATGCTGTTTGAACAATTTTTATTCATGAGAAAAGCTTGTTCCAAGCTAATATTTAACCGAAGAAAGGAGATCTTGATCAAAATTTTCCCATGCACGTGGAATAAAGTTATTAATTAAAAATTGCTATCACGCAGATGATAACTTTTATGTAATGTCTTTTCTCATTTTCTTTCTGGATTGAGTTTTCCTGCTGGTCTAAACTCAAGATGAATTTTCATGTCTATATTGATTGAGCTGTTTCCTGACTGGTTGAGCCCAGCAGCGGAGGCTCAAATCTTGAAAATGGATGAAAGCAAATATGTAGCAGGGGTGAGAAAGCTTTGGTTGTTTCCGTGCGAGAAGTGCTTTCGCCTTGATAGCCATTCATCATTTTAATATCAGGCTCATCATATTAGAATTTTCCTCCATCTTTCCCAGCAATTACTTTCCTTGACTGTGGACACCTCCTACCATTCAGGTCCAACTTTGTTTAGATAACCATTTTTCATGTCAAAATTAATTTCCCAACAGATGTACTATTAGTGTAGGCAGGGTGTAGACCCTGCCATCCAATTTCCAAACCCTGCACGCTCGCACGTGGTCTGTGAGCAGCGAGAGGCTATGGTACTCATTACGACCATGTGCATATTCATTTTGTCCCGTGGCTTTCTTTTTCAAAGAAAGTTTACTTGTGGTTCCTCACGATTTAATTAATGTTTTTAATCATTGAGCTTCACTACGCCATAAAAACCAGGCTTTATTAGTGAAAATATCAATATTAATCTAGCGTGCTGAATAGTCGGAAATTAAGGCTGGAAAAATACGCTATAAATGAGTACACTCCAAAGAAGGCTTTATTTTTCAAGGGCATTTATCACCTTCATTTCTTTGATCTTAGGTACAGCCCATTTCACGTTTTACTAGTTGTGGCATTAATTCATGATTGATGTTTCAAATTGGAAATTGGAGCTATTAGTGATAATAAATATCTGTCCATGTGTTATTGATAACCTGTCATTTGTGTGCTCGATAGACCCCGTTGAGTGGGTGATTACATACGAATGATGAAGACACGATGACTTCTTGGAAAAAGAAGATGACATAGAGTTAGTTGGATAGATTTCCTTCACAACGTTCGACGCATAAAGCAGCCGCTGCTTTCTCCAAACAAAAGTGAGTACAAATGGAGAGATTCTGCCTCAGTGAATGAAAGATAACGAGTTCATCCGCAGTCTTCAAATCAGCACCCTATGACACGAGAGAGATGAGAAGAGAGAAAGTGAGTCCCATGGATTTGGCACAAGCAGTAAGTAACCAAGTCGCCTCACAATCGGAAAAATAAAGAAGTCGACAGGAAGGAGCAATAAGTCCCATCTTAATCAATCTAATGGAAACACGGCGGTGGTGAGACATCATCAGTGTCAGCCAACTAAATGATCCCTCATTGCAATTTACAAAGTGCTCTATGCTGCTGCCCGCCTATACGAAACGGAACCGTAGGAAGAAACAACAACCGTCTTCGCTTTGAAAGAAAATCCCAACTACAAGTTTAC